ATCTTTCAACAATTCTTTTCATTTTACAGGGATAGCTGCTATGAGCACTTCCCGCCACTGGAAATGACGGCCGTTGTTGATGTAGTAGTTGGCGTTGTAGGGTGTCCGTCGTCGATGGTGTCAAATTCGTGAAAAAGACCGTCCAGCACCCGCTGGAATCGAACCTAAGTCCGCTGCGCGCGAAGCGGGAGCGTTACCATTGAACTACGCCAGAGCATTAACCATGTTTTATAGTACCCGATGCCCGCTGCAGGCGCTCTCTGGAAAAAGAAAATAGCAATAACAAAATGCCGCTGTAGCACTGGCAATGCCAAAAGCTCGTGCCGGCAAAAACGCGCTTTCACAAACTCCGGTAAAAAAAAAAAAAAAAACTTGAGGTACATTTAATCACTTCTTATGAGTTGTGAATGCGAAAGCATGCAAGCCGCTTGTCCGCTCCCTTTGTCGTCTGCTGCGTACTTTTCATCACCGGTCAGCGCGTGTGCTCCCCTGGTGGCCTTGCACGCTCCGACATCGCAGTGCCATGGTGTGAGCCGTCGTGGAAACTGACGAGCGCAGCGGCCAATGGGAGCCCCGTCGACGCGCGCCAGCCAATGGAACCGAAGGCAATCGCGGAAACTAGGTGCCGTTTTCGCGCTTCAAACTGATGACGTCGGCTCGCTCCATGGGACCAGTTAATGCTTTCGCATTAAAAAAAGCAACAAAAGCGTTTGGAAAAAAAAATGGTCAGATGTCTATTTTGTTCCGAAAGCTTTTGTCCACGCACTTCACGGCTGCCCCACGGTGCTTGACCGCGACACAGCTGATGCCCAATGACTTCGCCGTAGAGTGTCACAGCTGTCGCTGGGACAATAACAAAACAGCTCAATTCTTTTTTTTTTTTTTCAGCAGTGTTTGGGCGAAATTACTAGAGTGCTGCTCTGACACGTGCTTCGTTTGCACAAGCACTCGAACGAGAGAGGTGTTTTGTAAACTCAGGTGCGTGCACCCGAATACCCGAAAGAAACTTTCAGCAATGTCGAATGTTTTCTATGATAAATGAACAACTCTTAACACCTGTCCACGGCCGAACCCTTTGGGAGGAAATTGGGAGGGAGGCATTCATATGTGACATCATTTCGAGATATTGCTAGACCTTTTCTGGAAGCTGTAAGTTATTGTACCCTAAAAACAACCAATTCATGGTGCAAAAGAAAAAAAAAGTTATAAAAATGGTTGCCTAATTTTAGGGTTCGGAGTTTTCGGTTTAAACCGATAAAAGATGCGCCGAATCCTTTTTTTTTTTTGGGGGGGGGGGGGGGGGGGGAATTTGGTTTTAACCGAAAAAGGTCAGTTTTTGGTTCGGCGTTTTTGGTTTAAACCGATAAAAACCGATAAAAGTAAGCCGAATTCATTCTCTACAATTTTGTTTTAACCGAAAATAGTGAGGGTTTTAGGGTCGCGTCGAGCTGGGCGGGGGAGGGTGGGGGAGGGGCAGGTGAGAGGGGGCGTTAAAGGTTCGACATTGTGTGACCTCTCCGTGATTGCCCTCTTCCAAGGTTCAACATGCAACAAAAGAGGTCTTGGGTTGTCCTTCGCGGGACATTTGTGTCCTTTTGTGATCGGGCTTAATGTGTCAAGTTCCTGGTCCTAAAAAAAAAGTTCGGGTGTGGGATAGTACAAGGTTTTTAGCTTCACGCAAGATCTGCAGCCAGAGTTTAGTGAGTACACGAAATATGTTGTGCTTCATATCATCGCACCATGTCTCTTTTGGTAGTCAATTTGGTTGATTGACCGATTTTGAATCAGGCAGCGCTTCATCTCCTCAGCCTGCCAGTGTCCAGTGTTATTGTTGAGAGGGCATTCTCGAAGCCCAGGGTCATTAACAGGAAAGAATGAGCGTGGCTGAACGAGGAGAACCTGGCAATGTACGTATGTGTTTACTATAATAAGATCACGTAATCCTGATCTACAAAAAATAAAATTCCTTTTTTTTTTTTTTTGTATTTGCGTCGTTATTCTTTGAGGGATCACAAATATGAGATTAACAAGGATCATCTGATCCGGTGTCCGATGATGTTACTTTCATATTCACCGAACAAAAAAAAACGAAAATTGAATCTTAAATTAAGCACCGAAAAAAGTACGCCGAATTTTGAAAAAATAAAAACCGAAAAAGCGGAACCCTGCAAAATTGTAGTGCCGATTAAAAAACGCAAAGTGGAAAAAGTGAAGGCAAATGGTATTTGGCGGAAGGCTTTGCGGGGGGTCCTGCAACCTCAACCTGCAGGAGGGTACAGGTCTTCTACGTCACGCACCACAGGCGAGCGCGTGGGACCAAAAGCCGAGAGGCAGGCCGGACACGGGTATTGAGTCAGCCTTTGGCTCGTGCTCCTCACCGCTTGAGCACTACTCTCGGTCCAACGCTGACGCCGTATTCAATCTGAGCACTACGTAGGGTGACCACTGTAGTATTTCAATGCGGGACACGCGGGGCAGGAGGGGGGGGGGGGGGGGGGGAGTTTATTAAGACGCACACAACAAACCGAGGCTCTGTTAACACGTTTATTATCCTGTACTGTTTGTACGCCCGCAGCACTAAAGCTCAAATATTTTCCACTCACAGTAATATATTTTTTTAACGCCAAACATCTTATTAAATGTGTCGAAGTTGAAAACAAAAATGGACGGTATCAGACCTCAAGGCGTCAAATGTAAATAAAAAAAAAAAAAACAGTAAATCTTTTTCGGGTTATTGTTTCCTGTCAACGCTTGTTTTTATCAACATGGTCGTACACAATTTTTTTTTTTTTTTACATTAGTGAACAAACGGTTAGGGCACAAACGAGCTGGTGGTTGTCAAACGTTTGACTGAAAACCCCCCGACTGGGACAAGAAGGGCCGAACAAACACGAAGTCTCAAACACAGCTGAAATTTATTCGACAACCAAAGGGCTTATATATAGCGAGTTCGTTTCACGGCACTCGTGCCCACGCGTGCCCACTCACAGCGTGGAACGGGTTCGTTTCGGCCGGCACTCCACGAGTGGTTGCACTCTCCGAGTTCGTTTCAGCGCTGACACCCCACGCGTGCATGCACTCGCTGCACCGAGAAAATCGGGAGTGCGCCAAAATGCAATCCCGTCATGCCTCGCTCCGGTGGGGCCGGCGAGGAGCGGGAGCAGACGACAAGGGTTCGTCTGCTACGATGTGTCGCGGAACCGAACGGGAAAAAAAGTAGATTTTCTGATAGAACTCGCGTCCCGCGGGCAACGAAATGAAACGCGAGCTTGAATTGGTGAGCGTCTGCTATTTCACGAAGGAAGCAATTGACAACCCGTGATTTGTTTGCAGGTTTTAAATCACTCTGTTGCCGTACAAACGCTAAAATATACCAGTGTGTAAAGAAATGCTCAGAACAAACGCAACAGCGGCCCCCGAGATGTCTATCACCATCCATGTGCGGGTGAAAAATTCAACATTTGTCGAAAAAACTCCCCCAGCAGAAACCTCTGACTGCCAGCTGCTTTGTAGACAGCTGGTTGCGGAAATTTACGCCGTCTGTAATTATCTCTACGGCAGCCTAGCTGCTTGAAGCCATCGCAACTATAAACTACAGGTTGCAGCGACCAACGTTTGTAGATAAACGTTGGTAGCCGACCACATTCTCGCATTCCCGCGCAACATTCCGAACAGAAAGGCGCTAGTTTCGGTTTGAAGTCGGTACCTTTTCTACAACATAGATGGCGGCAGCATCAGTCTTTTGCACTCAGTGCATTTGGCGGGTTCGTTTGAGTCCAGTTTTCCGTGCAACACTCTGTGAGTGCGATGCATTCTGGGAGAGAACTCGAACGGTGCCAGTGCGTGTGAAACGAACTCGCTAATAGGCAGCAAATCCTACACAAAACACCGGAGAGAGGGAGGGAAAGAGAGAGAGAAATGGGGAATCCCGATTCACATGCCACAAGCAGTACAACAAAGCAACCTTTACAATAGAACTGAGAAGCAGTGACTTTATTTATACAATAAAAACAAAATCTTTTTCTTTTCTTTTTTTTTTCAGCATTGTTTACATGGCAGTCCGTCCCTTCTCGTCCCAGTCTCGGAGTTTTCAGTCAAATTTTTTAGCATTATGTTCTCTTTCGACCATTGCAACTGTAACTGTCTTCATTAAAAAAAAAAAAAAAATCCACAGCCACATTTTCGCATTGACACAGCAAATTGAAAATAATTAGTACAATATTTCATATTTAAACTTTTGGCGAACTATTTTTCTCACAATATTTAGCCACCAGGAGGGAGGCACAACGGCGCATGCGCCTCGGGTTTCCTGCAAGAACGACGGCCGCTTCCCGCAATGCTTGGATAGAAAATGGCGTAATATTGAGATTCACACGATTACTAGCGTTCTCCGCGCTTCCTCATGCCCCGTTTGTTCGGCCACACCATGAGTTGCGGAGTGAATTTTACAGCAGTGTGAAATGCGGGACATTTTGAAGATTTTGGAATTTCTCGCGGGACGCGGGACACGAGCCCTCAATGCGGGACGGGTGGTCACCCCAGCACTACGGTGGATCAGGAGGTCGCATAAGTGCCGCGCCAGCACGTGACGAAATGTTAGGCGGCGAAATGTCATTGAAGCACTAGTCAACGCTACATATAATAAGCTGAGTTATGCCAGATTGTGTGCGTTTAAAAACACATTGGACAGTGAAATGGCTGAGATGGTCATCACTAGGCAAAAACGCACGTGTATGAAGGCATCGTAAATGGATCCCAACTGGATAATACGGTTCTCTGAATTTTTATTTATATGTATTTTTTTTTTCAGCCGTTTATTGACGCAAAATTTCAGCGAAGACTGAACTTTTGGCTATGTGTATTCATTTTGCCGCGCGAAAAACGCAATTCCGCTTCTTTCGGCTGGCACCTTGTACTTGACGCCACTTATAATAGATGGCGCGAGTCGCCGTCCAAATGTTTCGGTTGAGAGTGTATTTATTTTAATTTTTTTTTTTAACAAGACTGCTGACTCTATCTCCTTGATCGACACTCGGTTTTCTCGCGCTGTGTGATGAGCTACGATAGTTGTTTGAATTTCTTTGAATCTGCACAGTTTGATCGACAAGTTTGAACTATGTTCGCAAACTGTTGCTAGGATCAGTCGTCTACAAGACCTGCACAGTGAAGAGAGGATGCAGGATGCCACCTCAGCGGCGTGCATGTTCCCTGTGCGGGAATACAGCACCGCACAGACTGTTCAAATTTCCCGTCAATCCTTACAGGTGAGTGTCACCCCCGCCCGTTTCGATCTCACTGAACACCGTACCTTTGTCTGTTCGTGTAATCACTGCTGCGTGATGCACGTTAAAATAGCCTAGATTATGTCTTACTGCATTTTCCGAAGTGTTCTTCTACGTGCAGCGGAGACACCATGTCCCCTTGAGACAGATTTGCTTCCCCCATAGCATACACAACACAGCGTAAACGGCGGCAGCTAGCAGACGCTCTAGCTTTTTACCTACTATCTGCCTTGCCTCGCAGGCTGCCATTTACGCACCTTATCACAACAAATTTATACTCAATTTCTGGTTGTCTTCTCGACGCATGCGATCAAAACACAGCACCTGACGCCGGGCCAAAAAAAGCATCCTCTTATTTCAGGCACAACTTTAATTGGCAACTTCTTTGGATAACTTAAATGGTCATAATATGACATACATCACGCTTGTGCCATAAAGTTTTCAATCAGGCTGGTTGTTCACATGCAGTGTCCGTTTCATTCAACTTGCCTACAGCTTCTGGCGCTTTGGAAAAGAAAGCTAAACTAAAAAGTGACCAAGTAGGCAATGGTGTGTAAAAAGCGTAAAGGGTATGGATGAAGCTTGGAGTCACCGCGTCCTAAACGAACACGGTCAAAGTTGATAGTACGGCATTCTTATTTCTATTAATAATAATAGGAATCATCATACTCAAGACGTCGTAGTGTGTGGCCAATCGTGGAGGGTCGACTGAAGTGACGCTCTTGGTCGTTCAGGCCGTCAACAATTCATTGAACGCCATACAGGAGTGCACTGTTCACTGCGCATGCTCACAATGAGCTCGTGAGTATGAGCTGCCAAGCCCCACAATCTCGATGATGTGAAATGCAAGTTGCATAAGGATTGTGGATGCTCGCCTCAGCACACGCTCGGCAGCTGCGAACTCAGTTATGGCCTGTAGTAAACACTTCCTATAGTCAGTGACAGGTTAAGAATTCAGTAGATGATCCGCCTCCTGCACGACCACATTGCCTTTTGCTGGACTCTGAGTGTCATTACGGCGGTTACTGAGACGTTGCTCCAGAAGACCAAAAAAAAGCAGAGGACGCGGCCAGAGCCGCCACAAAGGAAGTGTAGACCAGAAGTGGTGCCGTATATACATAGAGTGTCCCACAACCTCAAGAAGGTAGTGAATAGGTACAATGTACCTTTCGTGTTCTCTGCGCTACGCAAGCTTGCGGACCTTTGTCCGAGGATTTCCTTGGGAAGAGAGAAGACGAGTGGCTGCAACAACAAGCACGCCCAACCGTTTGTGGATTGTGCCACAGCGGTGGTATACGAAATTCCTCTTTCGTGTGGGAAAGTATATATTGGTCAAACTGGACGCTGTGTTAATGACCGTGCACTGGAACATGAATTGTCAATCAGGGATAAAAGCAATGCACACTTGCCAACTCACTGTGCCGACTGTGGGTGTGAGGCGTGATTTCAAGAGATCAGGAGCTTGGGTAGAAGCAAAGATGGCACAGCCAGAGAATTGATGGAAGCTTTTTATATAAAGAAGGGACCTGACTGTGTTAGCGATACCTCGGTTTCTTTGCTTGAAAGTGAAGTACCGTTTTTATCCGGGATGCTGGTTGGATAATGACCATCGTGGAATGTGTCGTGGCGGGTGACTTTTCTATCTGTTTTCTGTTTCCTTTCTCTTTTGTATAGCGTGCTGCGCATGCTCTTTCTGGATGTTCGTGGTCGATCGAGCACGAATAAACTAGTTGGAAGTTTGCGCTTGTCCATGTCTACTTGCTTGTGATTGTCCCTGTGTCACGCGTAAAACCTCTAGACTGCAAATATATCGAAGCAGGTAAATTCTAAGTGGATTTATTGTGCAAAGCCTGACCGTCTGGGTTTCCTTCCGTTTTGGGTGCAAGTGGACCTGGGGCGAAGAAATGTTTGTTGCGATGGTCTTACCGACTTTTTCGTATGTTTCCGTCAGGTTACAAGCTTGGGTGGAGGCTGTCGACGAAGAGCACATCACTAAGGGAGTGCAGACGGGTCGCCCCCAGAGATTCGCTCTGTGTGAAAGGCATTTCACCGACACCTGCTTCACGAGCACATTGAAGACGTTCCTGAACAAGTATGCCGTGCCAAATGTGGAGTAAGTTCTAGTGCGTTCACGTGCCTTTCTCGGATCCTGCCAGATGTCCCAAATGCCATGCCATGGGTTGAGACGGTTTGCTGTTTGAGAAACCCGTCGCTGCCTGCGTGTCCCACATTCTATGTGAGATAGTGTGCTCTGGCTCATAAAATGCAAATGGGTCCCCACTGCAAGCATGACACATTGATGCGAAATAAAAGAAAAAAGATATATATAATACTGTCCCAAGTTGTTCTTTTTGTTGATTACCTAATTTTCACAAAGTTGGGAATCGCCCGCAATTTGCAGAAATTGGTCATGTGAACAGATTGGATAAAAAGTTGACACTTTGAAAATGGTACTGACACATTCCATTAAGCATCAGTATAAGTGCATGAAAATGCACATTCATTAGATTGCACATAATTTTGTGTGGGTTCCCTCAATAATGTATTTGAAATGAAATAAGCCATAAGCTGGAATGCACACCTCCATGGACATTTTTATGCCTCACCTAAGTTCATTGATAACTCCTTCAGAAGTGAGCCGGATCATATTGCGTCTTGATGCTTCTGCGTGTTCTCGCTGGTGACTGCTACGTTCACGCTTTCATTTGGTAACAAAAAAATGCCTCTCATCTGCAAATCAGGTCTTTATCCCTGGTTTAAACTAGTGGACTATAAATACACCAAGGGAAGCAAACTTGCCAGTTCAAAATGTCCCACACTGAAACAAAACTTTTTAACTTCTTGTTTTTCTTTGTGTGTGTGTGTTTTTTTGTCTTGTTGCAACCACAGTGTTAATGGGCATGATGCAGTCAATTAGTTTGCACACTAAAATTGCTTGCGCTTGGCTACAAAATTCTGGCCACACCACCCAATGACCATTTTTTGTTTTCTTGGGAAGTGAACTTGAGGACAGCATTAGTAAAGCACATGGAGTTAACTAAATGAAAACATTAATACACCTTTTGTAATTCTGGAAAGCAAAAGTTATAGTAGGTGACAGGTTAAGAATGCAGTAGAAGGTCCTCCAGTGTGTGGAGAACCTTTCATTCTGCACGTGTCTGATGCAGGACGCAATGAGTATGTACCGGAGGCAGAGCTTTTACTGCATTCTTAACCTGTCACTGTGTATATGTAGTTTACCTAAAGCTAGCCACCCTATGCATAGAGATTTGGGGTTTTATGTAGGCTCCATTCACTAAGTTTAGTACCTGCAAAATAGTCAAAATTTCTAGCCTGTGCCAAATTTTCTTGATATTGATCTCGCAACAACCAAATAAAAAGGTAGTTTATAGTATCTTAATTTGTGAAGAGAGGCAGTCAAATGCGACTGCCAAAAGACAGCTGGTACCCTGTTTCTAAGCACCACTTGATTCTTGTCATTGGCTCTCCTATAAAATATGAAACTGTCCTCAAACATTGAGAAGCTGTGGCTTCAGAAAATACTGAACATGACACATAACCCAATACAGATTTATCAACGAGGCAAGCTCAGACACTACTTCAGAAAGACTGCATTCACCATTGAACCCTCCCCTAGCCTAACAAGAAGTCTGAAGATAAGCTAACAACTCAATAAAAATAATAATAATAATAATAATGTTGTGTGTATGTTTATACAGCCAGAAGTTAGTCACCCCCAATGGGTGTCTGGACCCGTTTGCTCGAAAGCACTAACCGTGGCTGAAGTTAGCCGCAGTACCTAGGAGAGGGATTTTAAAATCACGTGACTGGCTCGGTAGGGATGCGGGGAAACATGGCGGTGCCCCGATGAGTGAGCGCTGCTCGCTTTGGAACAAATATGTTGTAGCTGCAATATCAGGCACGTTAGTCAGCAATGAATGATGCAGAGGCTTTCACTTTGCCTTACCTCACTTAAATCGCAAAGCATGAGCAATGACCTCGCCGCATCTTTTTAGATAGTCTTTTGATTCTGGCCATTCCTAAGCCTAAATGAATGTGATAACTGTTGGCATGGCAACGTTTTTGGAAAGTGGACTGCCTTGACTCAATCGGCCAGGTATTGATAGCACACAAAAGCCTCATTGAAATTTCCTTCCAAGTTCGAAAGAGGACGACGAAGTTCAGTCCTAGATACGACAAGGAAAAAGTGAGAAGTGAAATGCGGGCGGTACACCGGCAGCATGGTTGGCCAGCGTGTAAGAACTGTATATAACACCATCATAAATTGAAAAACTTGTAATTCGGCTCCAGTGAAAATAGACCTATTAGTAAATTACCCAAGCATCGAGAAGAACGCTGAAAGTGTAATTCTACGGTCCGCACGCGCTGGCCTTCCTCCTATAAAAGATTCAAAGTAAGTAATCATAATATGGTTTTGACGAATGCGCGTGCAAGGCAAAATTTGTTTCAGACTTTCAGACTTTTGGAACAATTATTACTGCAGATGCCAGCACGTGCAACGCGCTTAACTACACTCGTAGCATGCACCTCGGTGCTTGGGAAATTGAGAAAAAGGTCTATTGGGACACTGCCTGCTTTTGTGTGCTATCGATACCCGGTTAAATGAGTCAAGGCAATCCACTTTCCAAAGACGTTGCCCTGCCGACAATTATCGCGTTCATTTAGGCTTAGGAATGGCCAGAATCAAAAGACTATCTAAAAAATGCGGCGAGGTCATTGCTCATGTCTTGCGATTTAAGTGAGGTAAGGCAAAGTGAAAGCCTCCAGCACCATTCATTGCTGACTAACGTGCCTGATATTGCAGCTACAACGACATATTAGTTCCAAAGCGAGCGGCGCTCACTCACCAGGGTACCGCCATGTTTCCCCGCATCCCTACCGAGCCAGTCACATGATTTTAAAATCACTCTCCTAGGTACTGCGGCTAACTTTAGCCGTGGTTAGCGTTTTCGAGCAAACGGGCCGTGGTGTCTCAGCTGTGGATGAAAAATTTAGCCGGTGGAGTACCACCACTAGCCTGGGGTCTTTAACGTGCATCACGCAGTAGTGATACAAGACCGCGTGCCGATACAGTGTTCATTCGAATCAAAGAGGGGAGGGGTAGGAATTGAATGCAGGATCCTTAGCTTCTGCAGTGCGAGCTTTCGTTACACGTGCTCCAAGCTGAGGTGCGCTTATAGCTATTGTCATACTAGTTAGCTTAGAATTGTTTTTCTTTTGGCTTCTGAATTGGGGTGAGGACTTAAGAATCAGTGAGGTGCCTCTGTGTACTTCTTGATGAGACTATATTGAACCTAAATTTTCTAAACTCTCTGTGGGGTGCTCTGGCTGACATGGAATTTCTCTAAAAATATATGTTCCTAGTAATAGGCAGTATGCAGTAACCACAGGCAACATTGCCTGTGGAAGCAGAAAAGATGAACAAAGTTTAAATGCTCTGTGTCATGGTTTGACATGTTTTACAACAGAATTGTTGAATTCTATTTTCTCTTGACTATGTTCCATTGGTGTGTGGCAATAAACTTTATTGGTGCCTTTCACATGGCTTCAAGAAATGCAGACTAACCTCCTGCTGTCTAAACACAATTGTACAAACGTCTAATTTTTGCTCTCGAAACTTGGGAAAGTCATCAGTATGTATTTAAACTCACAAAATATGTACCTTACAAAATTTGTGATTACCTTTATACTGTAAACAAATTAGTTTTAGCGATTGAGAAATTCGCAACTTGAAAACTATTGCAAAAAAATTGTCTCTTGAATACTGTAAACAACTTAATTTTTGCGAGGACCTAATTTTCACACATTTTGCGAATCGCCTCAAATTCATAAAAAATAGGTCCTGCGAACAGTTCCGGTAAAATGTAAACACATTGAAATCTATATTGAGGTCCCACCGCGTCACGAAAATTAGAGCCGGCGAATTATTTCAAAACTTCAGCTTTGACCTAAACTGTGAAATATTGAGCCCACGAAAAATACGTCGTTACATTATATCATACCACGGTAACAAAAACATAGCGTATCACTCCAAATTTCTAAATATTCCAGAAACCAACACTTTCAAAAATGTGCAAAACATTCAGCTTGCAAAAATAAAGTTGCTTGCAGTATTTAGTAGCCCTACTACCATAGAATACTGTACATCCGCCCATTGCACATTAAGCGCCCATTCCCAAATTTGTAAGATCTGAGAAAATATGCACTGTACATTTACACGTAAAATTGATGACCGGACAAGCGCCCCTCCCCCATTTTTTTGTGATTATCTCCAAAGTTTGAGTAGGTGCTTGCCCGGTATTTTACGGTAATGCAGTATTTTTTGGTGTTTTTAACCTAAATATCTAGAGATTGTGGTTGTTTCTCCTTTCTCAACACCCCCTTCTTTTACCTTTATTATTTTTTTTTTACAGTGACAATTTACGAAAGAATTTCTTAACTTGGAATGTCATCTACGGTATTATTTCTTTTATGTGGTACCTCTCAGTTGCTAGCTTATGTGTTCAATCTGTCTTTTGTGTGTCAACATAATACCCATGCAATTTTTTTTTTCTTTCATTTTACAGTGTTAAAAATCCTGGACACAATGAACAACTGCTACAAGCTGCAGATTCGTGGTACCGAAAAATGCAGTTGGCTAAAATGAGGCCGGAGTGAGTTGTCTAGTGATAATGACTATGTTGCTTAGAGGTGCGCTGGAAAGAATTGCAAACTGATATTTGTGGTTGCATCAAATATACGCTTCGCATGTGACGTGGTCCCATTGCCTGTGGTATTTAGAGACTGCAATTTATCCTAAAAGGAACACTTTATAACATTCAGGAAAGGCGTGTTTTAGCAGGCTATTCAACTTTGCATCGATTGAAGGTCAATGTATAAACATTGGCATGCCTCAGATATCCAAATTGTTTGTTTATTTGTTTACTCTGTAGCAATTTTTCGTAAAAGGTTGGACAAAGTGGGCCAGGCATGGTTCATAGAAAACTGGCAGAGCTGTGATAAACTTGGCTCTTTCCTTCCTACGGGATACCTAACTTTAATAAAGCAAGGTGCTATATTTAAAAAAAAAACTACCTTCTCTATCAGAGTTTACTGCTTCATAGACTTAGTTCACTTGTGCCTGAAGGAACGCAGGATTCCGAAACGATGCATTGATATTTTATTTTCTTTGCTTCAGCACCATCAGGACGAATCAGCTGGAAGTTTCCGAGGAGACCCCTGATCCCAAGGAACCAGTACAATCGGAAAACTGGTACATCTTTGGCCATTGCTTTTTGAAACATCGGCATTATACAGGATGTTTCACGAAAGGTGGACAAGCTCGATATTGCGAAAACTATGCATTGCACCAAGAAAAGGCTTGTGTCATTTTGGTCCTAGGCCGGGGGTGTGTTAAGGAAAATTATTAAAGTTTGGGATAAATAAATTGTTATATTTTTCATGCAATTAATTTCTTAAAATATTGAGTTTAAGGGCATGGTTTTATTTGAAACTTGCTGAGCATCATCTAAAAACACTAAATAAAGAAATTGGAGTGCGATAGAAGGCACACGCTGCTTTTTACAGCTTTCTGAAGAACCGCAAAACTTCAGCGGGTTTTTCAGTTTCGGTTTGCAATCGGAGCGCTTCTTGGCGCCGACGGCTCCGCAACCCATGGAGAAATAGTTCAACCAACCTCTGCTGCGCTGTCCTCGCGCAACGCAGCAGAGGCTGGTTGCACTATTTCTCCACGGGGCACGGTACTGTTGATGCTGTTGTACGGACCACCTGCAGGCTATGTTCACTGCGTCTTCAGATCGAACGGCCGCGTAATCGTTAAAACTCTTGTCTGCTCTCAAACGTTTCTGCTTGTTGTCGTCTGCTCGTTCAAACGAAACCGGCCCGTAGACTGTACGTCCGGTCATTGCGATAAGAAGTAAGTGGAGGACTCAAAAGACTTTTTTAAGTTTGAAGGTTGGTTGAAGTGAATAGTCGGTGTAAACAGCAGATACAAACATATCTTGATAATTGTTACCTGTGGCCACCACCGACTTGTTATGCCTGATTCACTTGGTCCGATTCTGCTTGTGATTTTCAGTATCGACATCGACATCTCAGCTGCGCTTCACGCTTTTGCAGCCCGAGCAACGTCGTGACTGAAAATAGCGAGCAGAATCTAAGCGTGCGAATCAGGCTTGAGCATTCAGTCTGCGGTGTCCATGCGAAATGAATTGCCGCATGTTACATTATTCAAGCGAAGTTTTGCGGTGTAACCAGCCTCGTTAATTTCGCTGAGGCCGCCACAGTAGTCAGACATTGCCAGGAATACGTAGAATCGACTATTCCAAAGTTAAAAAAAGCATGAGGACTCACACCAATGCCGACAGCATCGCATTCCAATTGTTTGTTTACGGGTGACGGCGAGCTTTTTACCCACACTCCATCGCGCATGCGCGGCGCAGGTGGTGTCCTCAAGGGGCGCTCCGGTTTGTTTGTAAACATGAGTTGGTCTATACTGCCGTAACCAATTTGCACTTTATGCACATTTTTTATGCCAAATTTGTAGGCCTGCTGCCTTTGTGTTTTGTTGGTGGTTGGTGCCTCGTCAGGTGATTCAATCACCTTTTGTCCTAAACGCCTTAACATCTGTGTCAAAATAAAATGTCAATCAACCCCCCCCCCCCCCCCCCCCCTGAAAAAAAAAAAAGAAATGGTGAGCTTATGAGGATGTTTAAGGCTCACTTCACATTTTTTCTTCCAGCATCGAAGTGAAAAGTAGCGAGCAAGACCTCTCTTCGGAAACTGCTGACGGAGCACCGTGTAATGACAGGTCAGTATGACTTGGCGTTTTTTTTCTTTTTCTCTTTTTAAGGTTTTGTTTTTGAGTCATGTTTATCTACAACAGAGTTATGCTTCAAGCCCCAGAACAGGAGTTGACTTCTCACTACGAGACTTAGCTTCTTATACGAGACTTGAGGATAGTTCCTGCTTTGCGTTTGGGCGTGGTCGACTGCATTACAGCCACCTGTGACTGCTTACCACAAGAGGGCACGCTGGTTGCATCTATTAGATCGCCCCGAACACTTCTCATCTGCATTTAACTGCTAGACTGAAAGTTTTACGGCAGGGATGCGCAACTAAAAGATTAGGCGGGCCAAAACTATGTTTATTGAAGACTGTGCGGGGCCGCACCTTGTGCAACGTGTTGCATATTTTGGCTGTGGTCAGGCTTCCGATATCAGGTGTCATTGTATTCGTTACCATCCTTAACACATCTCGCAATGTCATGTCCATCATGGCAGATCAAAGGCAGTTCTCGCTGAGAGTCATCAGTGAGAAGCTCTGCTCACATGCATACATGCTCCCGAAAAGTGACGACAGTTTCAAGGCGTGGTCCACCAGGTTTCCGTACTTGTTCTTGTCCAGGTTTTTGTTGAACTCATGCAGCTGAGATGGTCTTCAGTGCTGGTGGACACTGGAGGTCGGTGAGCTCTAGTTGCATCGTCAGATTGGAGTCCTTTGATCTGACGATGCAGCCCCTAACTATCCCAACAGGAAGGAAAGGCTTGATAGCCTCCGTGGTGAAAGAGGGAAGGGTGGGATCTGTTGAGAGAGGGAAAGAAGTTTCCGCGTTCTGTGTATAGACATGTCAAGACAGAACCGCACCATGAACAGGGACAGCTGCACACGCTGTTTTATTCTTGCCAGTGGGATTAGTGGAGAGAGAAAATTTGAACTGAGAAATCGTAGTTCCTTTGCCGAAGACTGAGAAAAGTAGGTCAGAGGGTTTCACTGCTGCCTGTCAAGCGGAGCGGGCGCTCAGTAGATTGAATGGCATAGTATGCAACACTCTGTGCTGAGCTGGGCCACGGGCCGCTAGAAAAGCACGCGTGGGCTGCATGTGGCCCACGGGCCGTACATTGTGCACCCTTGTTTTACGGTATTTGCGAGTTCAAATCTATGCACTCTGGACGAGAAGCGGTCGCTTGTAGCGTTGTCAGAATTATTTCGAGCCCGTGGTAGAAGAGCGATACGTAAGATGTACACAGACGGGAAGTGTTCCAGGGCTGCCCGATAGATGGCGCTAGCGTGTTCTAGTTCGAGCAGTAACTCGGAGAGTGGGGAAAGAAAGAGATGTCTCGGCAATGTTTCCTGACCTCAGGGGTAGCGGGTTTGTGCACCCCTTTGCGTCTAAGGGACAACAAAAACTCAGACAGCGAAGGTAGAGGATCAGAGTCATCTGTCTGTGTCACCTGCATTTTTAGTCTTTCCGCCTCTTGGTGCGAATCGGCACCTTCCATTAAACTGCGTGTGTTTCCAAGTTTCTGTGCGACTTAATTTGACGAGATGATTTCCCCCAAGCATCGCCAGCCCCCCAAGCGTTGCCAGCGTGGACGGGCCGGATTCCCCTGAGGAATGTCGGCAAGATGCCGAATCCGCCATGGAGGGGGAGGAGGAATACCTGCAGCCCTGCTTCACTCTCTTCATAAGTCCCCGGGCATTGAAGAGGAAAAAAGGACAGAATCAGTAGGTGGTGTTGCCCTTTTTCGCGAGTGAGGATCCGAAGTTTACGAATTTCCTGTTTTTCAAAGTAAGGTGGTGTTTAGATTTCAAAATGTTTTACCCGAAGATGTATAAAGATTTTGGCTTTACTACAGCATCAGCTGTACTGGGCTTGTTGCACTGGGCGAGCGCCGTATTGCCAAAAAATGAACAGAGCGTGCACACATTTATTGTGGGTGGCTTTGGCACCGGGAGAAAGCGAGTGCAGTGGCGATTCGCTTGCCCTTTCAATGATAATAGTCGCGGTTGAGGCGCAGCGCGTTCGGCCAATCACAATTGTGCTGGGAGTCGTGCAGTTGCATTTTTCACCAACTGCTCTTTCTTGCCTTCAGTCACCCGTTCCCTCTGCACTCTAATGGTGAATTCCGCTCGCAGATCTCGAGCGCTCCAAAAGCGCTCCATTTGGAGCGCGCATATTCCGCTCGCAGATCTGGCTCAAGTTGGTCATCTTCCGCTCGTAGATCTCTGGCAGCGCCCGCTCCAAGGAGCGCCCCAAACTCCGCCGAACTTGCTCTGCGGGGTTTCACAGATCTCTCCGGAAGTCGACAGAGCGGCCCACGTGATTTCCGACTAAATCGGCGGTGCGCATGCGCGGCGAGGTTGGAGAGATTGGCGGGCCGGTCGGGTCGTGGAGTTGGATATGTTCGGGTGCGTCGGTTGTTTACTCTGGATTGTGACGGCTCCAATGCTTCTACTTCGCGTAGATCAGGGATAAAAAGCCGGGAATGTGGAGCGTGGCAAATCGTGAGCGCTGACTCTGTGATCGCGAGAGGAAGAACGTGAAAAGGAACGACAGAAAAGCCGGAGGCAGACGCAAGGTTAGGCCTATTCATTCTGCAGCCTGTGATTGTTTACCTTTTTGCACTGCATTCCGTCGGCGTTTTCCCGTGAAATAAAGCAAGAAGTGGTTAGGCAACGACCGCGCAAGTGATAATTTGTTACCTCTGTGTTTATTAAAGTCGTACTACAAATCTGAACTCCACCGCTGGCAATCGCTGTCCGTGCCCCGCCGCTTCGAGGCGGCCGAAAGGTATGTGACGGTGCCGAACGCGGACGTCTTCGTTATTTGTGTCATGGGCGCCGTGGTACGTATATAATTTCGCCTGGTCTGTGTCGCGTGTTACTTCTGCAGCTAAGCAGTGACAGTCGTCACTGGTTGTCGGAAATATTAGCCGTGTCCCGCAAATCGGGACACGGTTGGTGGGACTGGTCAAGTTCGAGCAGCGGCCATTTTGTACGGCGGAGGGAAAAGGGGTGGGAAGGGGTGTGGGGGAGGTCGCTCCAAAAATGCAAGTTTATCTTCCCCTCGTCGATTCGGAGCGGGTCCCACGGTGCGGAATTTTGCCTCCCTCGCGGATTTTGGAAAGCGCTCCAGATCTACGAGTGGAATTCACCATAAGCCTTTGTGCGCGAGAATGGGGCAGCCGAAGCATGCGCCGTAGCAAGCTGTGGCTACTCGACAGCATGAACACGCCCGTGAGGGAGAACGTCGTCTATGTGTAAGCACCGACGGTCTCACCATGAATATTAGGATGGAACGAATTTGACGTCGAAATCATGCTGTGCATAAAAGTGAAGCAGCATGTAGAGGAGAATGTTACCGAGCGAAAAATAGACACGCCGGTGCGACCAAACAATTTGTGTGGCGCGTCCGCGAGAACGTGTTTAATGCTAGCTGTTCGCCGTGTGATCGGTCGTGGTTTATGCAAGACACCGCGCGACGCAACATCACCGAAATTTCCAGTCAATCATGACGCAATATCATTGAAATGTCACACCAGCTGACACTGACCATTCGCTTCACGTCGTGTGATTGTTTGTGCAGATTTTTTTAGCTACATGACTTTTTGTCTTGGAAACGCACTACAGCTTCGAGAAAGCCGTAAAATTCACTTGTCAAGAATTGTTGTCGAACTGCCAGAGGTTTCTTGTAAATTCTCACTTACCGTAGTTCATGGCAATTTCTATGAAAATAGTTGTGTCCGCTCGTAGCAGGACCTTCCTGATGGCCTTCTGGTGGGGCTTTGTACCTGAAAGTTGGAGAACTACTGTCTCACTCTTCAAACATGAAAACTACAAGATTAGGTTGAGTTTTTGCAAGTTTGTAGTTATTTTTTATCTGGAATAATGGTTTCAAATAGCATTTGTTCATACATATTGAAGATTGGGACGCAGGTTTGAAACAGATTTTTTCATACCAGATGTAACTTCAAGCACCTTAAAGCTAGAATGCCTAGGAAACATCACAATGTGGAGAAAGAATGACAGTCGTAGCATATAAAGAAAGAAAAAAAAGTTGCTTGGAGCACTTGCCAAATTTAAAGTGTTTGCTAAAATGAAATCCTGAAGTGGTATAACAGCCGAAAGGAAAGAATATTTCTATCCTTTGTTACATACATTGTATACAACATTGTGAAAGAACTGGCACGATTACATAGCTATATTTAGTGTCTTACTTAAACAAAAGCATGTGCAAAGTTTATGCTAGACAAAGCCACAGGCTTGCAGCAGTACCTTTGATGGCGTTGTGCATTTATTAGTGATGGGCTAAACTTTTGCTGAATCCGTAGATTCGGCAAAGCCGAAGTTTTCCCAAACTTTTCGAAAGATTCGTCAAAAATACATTACGGGTATTGCCACACTTAAAAAAAAATCTTTTGCTTTTTTGAATGAAAAAAAAAATTTTTTATTAGTACATATTGACACTTGATAATAATCCCTGGAAAAGGGGGACAAAGGACAGACACAAATCTCCAAACACAGCTCGGTGACTGGTGCACGACTGAAAAGGTCCACCTGTGGTCCTGGTATCGAAAGAGGGACCTCTCCATTTTCAGTAGGGTGCTCTACTAACTGAGCTAACCAGGTTTTAGATGTCAGTAGAGTAAACGGGTTTTAACAGCTGCCACCAGTCGAACACCAACAAGGGTGAAGGCATACATTTTAAGGTTATGATGATAATATAATTAATGCAAAAGTGCAAGTGAGCTGGACAAGATGTGTTTGGAGATTTGTGTTTTCCTTTGTCCCCCTTGTTCCTCTTCTCCAGGAATTATTATTGTTATTCTTGTCCAGTTTGCTTGCACTTTTGCAGTAATTGCATTGTCATCATATTGACACAGCTAATTTTATATAAGGTGATATTCTACAAGATAATTGTATCTGTGTCATTTTTATGTGTTCACTGGCAATTTTAGTGACTTTTTGCATAAGTGGTGTGTCAATAAGGTTGGGTAGTAGCGGGCACAGTCACAATACATGAGTTTCTGTTTTGAGGCCTCACCAGTGCAAGCCTGCAAGTATGCACATTGTTAAAATAAAGGCAGTAACACTGTGTTCTTACTTTCTCTGCGAGTCACTGTTTCGTGCGCAAAAATGAAGGCAACGGCTGCTGAACCCTCACCAGAAGAGGTAATATTATTGTAAATATGCGTGTTTTTCGATTTGAGTCACTTGACGCCAGCTTTACATGAAAGTGTGCTTCCCATATTCTGAACATCTCGTTTTAACTTTTAAATTGCCAGTTTCTGGTGGTAGGACACACGCGGACGTTTAGGAAGATGGAAAGAATTAGGAATGTTGGATGTGCAACGTCGAGCATGATAGTTCTGTGTTTAGTTTTATGGGGATAGATTAAAACCGTGAAATAATGCTAATTAAAAAGCAATATTATTTTGTTTTGGCACAAAACCTGTGAGCCGAAAACAGGATTGCTATAATTGCGAGAAGTGCTTTCATTGTTTGTCAGTCAATGTTGCAACAACCTCGTTGCATCACTGAAAGATCAAATGAAAATCACGTTACCCAGAATGTACCGCATCATTTGTCACTTGCGCAGTGGACTGCATCTATATCGGGTCGATTGTCTGTTCTTCAGGCAGAAAATATTGAACAAAACCACACTCACAAAGGCTGAAAAACACACAGTCACCATGTCGCTTACTCCGCACTTCGCCGTAGCCGCTGGTAGTACTACGGTACTACACTGTAGGATGGTAACCAATTGACCACACAGCGTCCATTTGCAATCCATGATCCCATTGCGTTGTCACATGTGCGCAGACGTTTGCCAAATTTCTGCCGAATCTTTGCCAAACTTTCCTTCAATTTGCTGCATCTGAAGTTCGGCAGATTTGGTCCATTACTAGCGTTTATGTATGAAACGGACCGTAGGAACGTCATTTTGTTTTATTGCACTCCTTGGACACTAGCTTTTGCATAGCTTATGGTCGAGAATATTATAAAAGCAATTTCTTTTAACCTTGTCTTGGACTATCAACAATCTAACATAAACATTTTTGCAGCTAGTATTTGGTCTATGTAGAAACTATCAATGGCATGTTTTAGCTCAGCTTACTGAGCATTGTCTCTGTGGCAAATTTTATGATGAATCAAGAAATACTACAATACCGTAATATCCTAAGATAGGCCACCTAAAATCAAGAGCAAATTGGATGAAAATAAGAAGTGGGCTAGCTTTCGATGTGCAGTCAAGAAAAGTTTTGAAAATGCTGATTTTAGGTCATATGTCCCTGCCATCTTGTTATTGCGGCAAGGGGCAATGAAGCAAAGATGACTGTACTTCTTAGTCGGCAACGTTCGCATATATCTCACCATAGTTGACTAGCCGTGTTTACGCCGAAGACAGATGTTTTAATTACATTCTTTGTTGGACATAAAACATTTCATACACTTTGCTCCACCACCAAAAAGAGTTGTTTCTGAGTATACTGTCACTGAACAAGTTGACAGTCAGTGGCCCTAGTGCACACAAGGTACAGAAGTGTTTGTTATCTAGCAGACAAGAAAACATCCTGCTTTACAAAATGCTTGATTAAAGTAAAGACCTTTGGAACTACCTTCTGACACTTAATAACTTGGGACTCCTATTTGGTAGACTTTTACATGCATCTGTGCTTCACATGTCATTTTCATCATGTTTCAGGTCCAGCCCCAAAGATTGTGAGCTGCCTGTTCCACAGCTCAGGGTTACTTGCGTCTATCAGGAGAAGATAATGAAGAGAGCGCTTCAAGTAAATGTTCATCACGTCGAGGCAAATCACAAGGTGTCGTGTACCTCGATTAAATTCCCGTGGACTTTGCATATTGTCTTTATACTTTTTTTCTTTTCACATTCCATCCTCTCTTTCTTTCTCTTTCTCTGAAATTCTCAACAGATCTTTCAGTTTTGGCAGTTGGCATTAGTAGTTTTCATGAGCCTCATTTTCTAAAACAAATCTTGTCTGAAAGATATTGTGCCCGCCAGTGACGTCACAAGGAGGAGGGGCGGAGGGGCGGAGGGGACCCTTCCCCCCCCCTCCTTTTTATGACGGGCGGCCCGCCCCGGGTGCAGCGCTCAGGGGGGTGTCGTGACAAGCAACGAGCGGAGGGGGGGGGGGGGGGGGGGGTTTCGGCAGCCCTTGAGGGGTGGAGAGAGGGGTTGTGGCATACACCGAGCGGGGAGAAGGTGGGGGGAGGTGTCAAGGTGGGCTACCGCCCCAGGTGCTGACCCTGGTGACACCACTGGTGCCCACAAGAAACTGAAAAACAAACATCCTTCTCAGACAAACCTTTTTCCTTTGACAGCCTCAGTATGCTTATACAAATTCATGGTCATAGTTGAACTTAACTAGTTTGATGGGGATCATCTTTATCAAATTCGTTTGCACCTCATTTAGAAGGATGGCATGACTCTGGGGCCGGAACATTGCCGAAAAGTTTACTTTGTGAAAACAATTTGATAGCTCTGAAAGCTCTCTGTTTATCGACGAGGTTTGATTACTGGTGATCTGTGTTTACTTTGAATGATTGAGCTAAAATTTTAATATACTATGATACACTTGGCTTTTTATTGGTTGGATGCACTTTGTGCAATTCTGCACATGCAATATTAGTGCTCCTGTACCAGTTTTATTCCTTGAAATGTGTGATTGGCAAGCACAATGCAGAGAGATTATTTAAATAAATATGGATTGTAAGTACTCTGAGAGCTTATGCAATTATGAATTGCAGTTTAAAGCAATAAGTTTAAAATTTCACAAAAGCTCGTGTTAAAATATGATATATGGAAATGAAGAAAAAATGTGAGAAGCTTGTAATAGCAGTAGTACAGGTGTGTGGCACACCTATATAGTAACACTTTTTTTTTTGTTTTTGATATTTTAAGACTTGCGTTTTCCCTTAAGCCTCAAGCGTAAATTCAATTTGTGCACTTGGTGGATGCCTTTTCGGTTCCTAAGGGTCCCCTCTGACATATATCACACGTAAACATTTTCCACGCTACCTGTGCCAGATGGAACTTGGATCCAGTTTATTGGGAACTCCAGTGTTTTGCATGCAAACGGACAAAGTGCACCAAATAGATTGTCAACCTGAGAATGACCGATAGTTGTGAGGGTCAGGGTGAGGTATTTGTTTCACTAAAATATAAAAGATGTTTACAAATCTCTAACGTGAAATTGGAGCGCAGCTCTTGATGTGGAAGAGAGGAGGATACGCCCCTCCTCCTCCTCCGTACAATTCAGATTGGTGTTGAGGTCATGTAACATCAGTTTCCCCGCTAAATCTAGCGGAGAAACTGAATTTGTCCATGCGTGAAGTTATATAAAGTCATGTGACATTGTTCTCCCCACTAAATTTAGTGGGGAAACTGATTTGGTGTTGAGGCCACGTGACGTCAGTTTTCCCGCTAAATATAGTGGAGAAACTGAATTTGTTCATAGGTGACATGACACAAAGTCGTGACATTGTTTTCCCCGCTAAATTTAGCGGGGAAACTGAATTGGTGTTGAGGTCACGTGGCATCAATCTTCCCGCTAAATCTAGCGCAGAATCTGAATTTGTTCATAGATGGCGTGACAGAAAAGTCATTTGACGTCATTTTCCCCGCTTAATTTAGCGGGAATATTGACGTCACATGACCTCAACACCACTTCAGTTTCCCCGCTAAATTTAGTGGGGCAACTGAATCGGTGTTGTGATCACATGACGTCAGTTTTCCCGCTAAATTTAGCGGAGAAACTGAATTTGTTCATGGGTGAGGTGACAAAGTCATGTGACATCATTTTCCCCGCTAAATTCACAGGGAAAATTGACATCACGGGACCCCAACACAAATTCAATTTCCCGCTAAACTTAGCAGGGCGGTTGCGCCGACACCGACGGTGGAAACGGGTGCCTAAGAGCTGTGCTCTAAAACACCTTTGAACTTGACATACCCATATCACTTTGATATCTTAATTAAATGTACACAATCCATGAAACATTCAGATCAATGGCATAAGAACAACAAGGATGGTTTCGAAAGAAGCTTTTTGGGAAAAGCCAAGATGATTGCAAATCAAAGGATGTAATGAAATTCTTCCACGGAGTTTTGCGAATAGGCTTCGTCCATGTGCACCCCTTTCAAATGTTAATGAAAAGACCAAATATCTAGTTAACAATCATGTTGGACCACACTTAATGCTTGAAGGCTTTAAACGAAAAGCAATAATATCTTATTTATTGATGAAACAAAGGTTTTTAGCCTGTTTGAACCTTTCCTCCTCCGAAAGCTTTCAAATCACCTTCATTACAGCTTTTTGTTAATTTGGTTCAGCTCACACACTCCCTGTCATAAAGTGTTATTGCTGGAGCCATATCTCAGAGTTTGTAATAGTCTGTCAAAGGCTCCTGTATAAAAATAAATGCCTTAAACCTTTTTTTTTAATTTGGTTCAGCTCTCACACTCCCTGCTGGAGCCATATCTCAGAGTTTGTAATAGTCTGTCAAAGGCTCCTGTATAAAAATAAATGCCTTAAACCTTTTTTTTTTTTTTTTTACATTCCTGTTACTTTAGTGATGCTCAAAGGTTACAGAATTTGTTAGAACTTGCAAAGTAACCTCCTGCCAGCCTCCCAATGATGGCTTACGTTTCACTAGGTGAAGTCTGGCAAACCATCTGCTCCCGTTTTTGGGCTTCAAAAACGTGTTTTTTTTGTTCGTTTTTTTTTTTTTCAAGTTCCTGCCATTTGTTTATTGAGAAACGGATTACTATACTCTTTCTCGCATTAAGTTTGCCCTCGGCCTATGTTACGACCCGACGGATCCAATTGAGCAGCGCCAAAAGTGCATTGTCACGACGCTCGTCATCTTTGTGCGTTTGCTGTCACCGGCTGAACCAATCGTGCGCAGAAAAAAGTATGTGATCACGGGGCATTTGTTGTGCGTGACTGGTATAGCCAATAAAGATGACGGGCGCCGTAACGACGCACCTTTGACCCTGTTCAATTGGATCTGTCGGATCATGGCATTGGCTGCAATCTGACTTGGAGTGGAGCGGAGTATAGGAGTAGTGACGGGGAGGGCACTTACGGGAGGAAATCTGGTCAACCAAGTCGCACGCTCACAGGTGCTGCAAGCCGTCAACACTCCGACACCCGGCCCAGCAAAGCACAGGGTCATGTCCGGTCACGTGACTTCTGTCGAGGGGGAAGTCAACTTCATCGTTAAAGAGGTGGGCCTTCTTGTCAAGCGGGCATTGCGGCGGCTTTCGGGGCTCCTCTAGGAGAACCCTTTTTTTTTTGTCCTAATGTTGCGAGTGGGGTTTTATTTATTGTGGTCGATGATCTTCCTTTTTCCCAAATCTGGAAGCATAGGGGAGTGAGAGTCCAAAGAAACACCGTTTTGTAACAGCTGAATGCCAAGTGTTTAGTCATTAGAAGGGTATTATTCTGCGCCCTTAAAAGGACAAGGTTCTAGAATAAATAGGCACATTAATCGGCACATCGTTATGAAACATTATAGTCAAGCATTCCAGTCCAACAAATCAAATTGAATGTTTTTTTTGTTCTTGTTTTATTTTTGCATTTATTTTAATTGCAAGCCGAACTTCAAAATTTTCTAGGAAAATCTTTTTTCCACGAGAATTTGTCACTCTTGGCAGCCCGAGTCCGCACGTTTGATGAGTCCTAGCGGGTAAATATAGTAAGGGTGCAGGCGAGCTGGTGAATATGAATCATATTGAATAAGCCTGAGACGAGTAGAAAAGAAACATCAAAACGTAGAAAGGACAGAAAATAGACGGGACGACGTCCCAATCTGTGTGCTCGTTTAAATGGTGCTAGAACTGCACTAGTTGAAGTGGGTAGCAAAGGCAATTATCCTTTATCGTTGCATCTGTAATCACCGACAGGATGGGAACATCTTTTGAATGCCCGTTCTCCAACGCGTGCCCTTCTGACTGACTTTGGTTACCCGTGCACGCTCGCGCCGGAGGCTGGACAACTGAAAGACTTTCCCGCCTTTCTCATTCTGCCTGTGACTAAAATGTGGTTCTTGCACTCGTTTCTAATGTTAGTGTTTATGGTGTGGCTGTTTCAGTACCTGGACCACCTGGGCTTTGACACTGTGGCCAGGCTGTTCGAAGAAGAGTGCCTGAAGGCGCAGAAGCCCATCCAGGATCACGTTGCCAGTTCTTACAGGGACGAACGCATTGCGAGGATACTGGTGGGACTTCCTTTGTTTGCCTCGGTGTGTGAGGGGGGCCGACAGAGAGGACACACAATCGCAATTGTGTGTCCTCTCTCTTCTGTCCCGTCTGTTTACGCTGTGCGTTTTAATCATCTCGGGCAGGGCATCGACAAATAAGGTCATTTGCCTTAACTTTTTTTTAACCTACGCTATGTGCAGTGTGTACATATATATCCGGGTATTTTTCACCCTTTCCAAAGGTATATATCATTTTGGGGACATTTCTGTCTTTCGATATAATTTACTGCAATGTAAAGCGGGAGCAGAAGGAAGAGAGGGGCGAACGACACAAAACTTCACTTTTTTTGTTTTTATGTTAATTGTACTCCTTTTTTCTTTCTGTCTCTGGGTTACTATGCTTATCTTAAACCAGCTCGCCTACAATCTCGCTTTACTTTCAATAACTTACTGCACTGCTATATACATGATGTTGAGAAGTATGTGAGCTATAGCATCTTCATATTTAATTGCAGAAAATTAAAATATTGACCCGACATGAGCATTTGAACCAAAAGAAACCAGTCATTGAGAATTTATTATTTTTAAGTACGTTTCAATTAAGTTCTTACATATAATGTCAAATCTAGCTGTTTTCATCCTAAGCATAGTTTAATTTTTATCTCCTGATGAGCAGTAAATTTATTTTGGGTTACCAACACTGGTAACGATGTACAGTCGGCAGCAGAAGTTTGCAGGACGCAGGAGCCCCAGTCGTCGCTCTGTCATCTGACGACGCACCGTCGCTTTCAAGACCCACGCTTTGCGCATGTGCATCCCTTTGTGTTTGCAGTCTGGTCTTTTTCGCTCGCTTCCATCCGACGTGCAACCTACTATAACCAGGACTGGCGCAGGATGCCGTGAAACATTATGTAGAAGCAAAAGGGGGCACGCAAACTTCATCACCCTTCGCAGCAGCTGAGGCAGATGGGTGGCACGGCAACTGGCAAGTGGCACCTTGCGCCAGTTCCGATCAAAGGGAAACTCCGCAGATTTTTTTATATTCTTCGATTTGGCTGGAAATTGGCAGGTCACATGATTAACCCTTTCTAAACTAATAGCCAAAATGTTTTTTATAAAAATAAAAATTTTTTGTGAAGTTGTTGAATTTTTAATTTACGCTGGCAGTGAGGTTTTCAAGAGGCGACGCTCTACTGGCAACAGTGAAAAATCCTTACTTTTCCCTACCCGTTTATGTCACCAGCGGGCAAGCGGACGAGCGACTCGGGCAGCCTGAGTCGCTTCGCGGCCGCCTGAAAATAATATTGATCACTCCAAAGCCGCTTCGTGGCTTCGAAGCGATCAAGAATATTTTTTCACAGCTTCAAGGTTGAAAGTTCCTTTGCGAGGGGTAGCAATCTGTGCTTCATGGTAGAGTGCCGGGAAACAATGCCAGGGAAAAGTTTTTTACTCTTGTTTTCATGGGCGAAAAAAATGCGCTTTCGGCAGCAGTTGATGCCAGCCACGTCAAGGTGCTTTTGCGCGAGGTGTCTTCCGAGAGAACTAGTGTCACATAAAACATTCTCATTTATGCTCGGAATACTTTATAGTAGTCGTGTGCTGTGAGTTGAGCAGCCTCCTTCAGCTGGAACTAAAGTCACTGGATAGTTGAAACAGCTTCAAGAGTGGCAAGCGCAGACTGAAGCAGGCTGTGACCACTACGACATCCGTCCTAAGAGAAGCGCTAATAATATCGAGAAAAAATAGTGCGCTTTCTGGCACTGTAGTCGACATTTGGTGCAGCCACATTTGTTGTTCACAATTGCTTCAATAATCTTTTTTTTTTTTTTTTCATAAACACTAATTTGTTTTGAACATCAAATCTAGTTTTTTTTGCTCGTTCCAGAGATCCACTCACGTGACTGACCTGGTAAACACAGGAGGTGGAACGTCTAAACAAAGTTAAATTTTGAGTTTATACATGACTTTTGACACACTGCTATTCTTTCTTGTATCGTATTACAGGGATTTAGGGAGCAGGTGTTGGGCTTCATTAATATACGATAGAGCCATTGCCTGGTTTGTCAAATGGTTGACATGCAATTTTCTCTCACAAAAGAGGTAGTGAAAACGCTTTTATTTTATTCTTTTTGCAGAGAAATGTTATAGGGCTGAAGGTTTTTTAAAACTATGAAAATATTAATGTCGTTGAGGAGAGGCATGCACATTTAGAGCTGATGGAGGCTGTGCAAAACCAAGACTTAATCTGTAAAAAATCTTATATAGAATTACACTCTCCTGAATGACCTCGTGGATGAGTGTTTGATGAGCGTGTTGCGTTTCTTCTTCAACAGTAAGAAAAAATACATATATATAAGTACACTTTTTTTTTGTAAATTTTGTGAACTTATTTTGAATTAAAAATGTTATGATGCATTTTTGTACTTTACGCATTGTTGCGTTTCCAAGAACATATTCTTTATTTGAATATGAATAGTGTATGTTTATTTCACACGCCTTTCATTGCGCCTTGATGTTAGCTTGGTGGTTGCGGAGTTCTTTTAATTTTCATTTTAGCACAATCTTCATGAAAAGTAACCTGCCATTTGGTCTACACAAATGCAGTTTATTCCATTCTCTAGACGATTGAACGCAAGGCGATTGGCCACCGCCATGTCTCTGCTCGTGCGGACAAACCCATGCAAGTGCAAGCTTGCCAAAGCTATGTTCACGAGCAAGCTGCAAGTGCTTGCACGCATGGGGCAGCAATCGGGTGCTCAATGTTTACGAGAATCACAGTCGACATGTGTTTTAAAAGGGGTCGCTTCAGAAGGTGAGCAAAGCATGCGCCTTGCGCACGAATGCTGAAAATGGCACCGGCCAAAAACGCTTTTCTGGAATGGTCTAAAGATATTTTGCTAAATTACCTAAGCACCAAGGAACATATGCATGCTACAAGAGTAGTTACACGTGCTGGCGTCTTAAAATTTAAAACGAATGGCACGCTTCTTCTAGTAAGACGAGCGTGTGGGGCACCTGTACCAACATTCCGAGCATTCTCCGTGGCGCTTGGACAATTAGTCAAAAAATGTATTGCGTGACTCTTCGACCTTTCTTCGCCAGCGTAACTGCCAGCTTCTGATAGAAAGAAAACTTATTTGCTAGTGATTTTACAAAACTAGCAAGCCGCGGATTGACTGTACGAAGTTGCAAAAACGGTTTTCTCAAAATCCCAATTGCTTTCGTTTTTTTACTTTCTCCTAGTTCAGCCTAGGCACGTAGCCAGGATTTTGATTCAGGGGGGGCCGCTGCCACCTATGACAAAATGCTGTATGAGGGGGAGGGGGGAAAGGAGGCCCCAGCAAAATGGAAGATTTCGGGGCGGGCCAGGCCCCATGACCACAACCCCCCCCCGAATACGTACCTGGTTCAACACGTAGGCCAAGGTCATGTTTTGCGCAAATAGAGATCATTATCAACTTCAGATAGCACGAATGCCCCTGTTTTCTCGATGTTAAGGCTGAGAAAGGCGGGCGCGAGCATACCCGATTGCCAGTCACGCGCCTCGATGCCCGCCCATGACGTTACATTTGGATGGAAGGGAAAACTGGGAAAAAACTAGGGAGAACGATGTTTCAACTTCAGCAGCAAACAAAATATCATTTTTTTACTTAACTAGAGTGAATCTGGGGGAACAAGATAGCATTTCGTATTCAGGAAGCCATTTGCATTCAGATTATGCCTTTAGATCAGGTAGTTCGAAAAATTGCCAGAGTTCCCCTTTAAAGGGGCCCTGCAGTCATATTTAAGCGTCTACCTTTTTTGCGGTTTCCACGTCTCTTGAAGTTCGGGCAAGCCAGCGGGCACGGTGAGAGTAACTAAATATCAGTGCGTCATATTTTAACCGGACGACGCGGAAACCTCCTCCACCGACGAGGGCGACCCGCGGTACCGAAAGCGCGCAAAATGTGACGTCTTTGGTCCTGGGCTTGTCACTGGTCAGAGCCGCTAAAAGCTTCTTTTTAGTCGAAATACAAAATATAAGTGTCGCGAACCGTTTCAATTACTTATAAAAGTAGTTTTTGTTCACTATTTTAGATGAGAAAAGAAACAAATGCAGTTTATAGAGTACGGAAACAAGAAATGACCCGTCGACATACCCGCCACCAAGCGGTGTAAAAGGCGGCGCATACTAGAAAGAAGTAGTGGGATCAGGCGCCGACACAGAAAGGTCCCGGATGTACGCGGCAGCGCTGCGGTCGTATGGGCAGGAGGATCCGACCGGCTCCGAGCCTTCCGAAGGCCGTCGGCGAGATGCTTTGTCTTGCGGTTTGGCCATTTCGCGGTATGGCAGCGCGAAGTGGCTCCCACTCTGAACTGATCTGTGTTTGCCCCGTGTTTGCTGTCGTTTGTGGCCAATGAAGTGTCATACCCAATGAGTGTTTAATCACGCAGCAAAGGCAATGAGAGCCGCTCTGGCTGCCCGCTGCATACAGCCTGTCCAGAACACGCTTTAGTGGCGCCCTCTCGCGCCGTCGACACGGAATGCGGCGGCTGTGAGCGCTCGCGGTGAGCTCACTACCCCTCCTCTAGTTCACGGCCGCTCAAGCAACCAAGGACGTCAGGAGGGAGGTTATCTTTTGCTTGTTTATGTAATTTTGATTTGCCTATAACTTTGAAAATAAAGTGAATTTCAAGAAAATAAAAGTTACACTAAGTTACTACGTTCAGTGCGCTCAGGTTTGGTGCAAATTAAAAATTAGTAAAAAAGTGCTTGCAGGGCCTTAAGGGCTGTTCGTACGGGACACTATTTGTGCCGCTTACGACAGAAGATTGTACCACTTCGGCACACGCATATGATTTCAGTGAGGACATCAAACTCGCTGTTGGGCGAGAAACAGCACAACTTTCTTGCGATGTCAGTATGTCGTCAGACATTTAGGGACGCTCCTCCTCGCCATTGTTTTCTCCTTTCTTGTTTTTGGGAGGCTTTTCAAAACAACAACAGCTGCGGAGGCCTCGATTGACAGCCGGCTGGGAGCGTGGCCTTTATTTTGGGGCCTATGTCTCCCAAGAATGCAAGCAGACAGTTGCTTGTTGCCCCCCCCCCCCCCCCCCCCTCCTTCCAACCCTTTCGCCAAAGGTCGCCTGGAAGCTGACCAGAAGTAGGAGAGAACTTACACACTTCCATCAGGTAAAAGTCTGAGAAAACCTTTTCTGTGTGGACAGCCCCTGAGCGGGAGCACACAAGATGGAAGCGAGAAAAAAAAGATGTAAATGCAAGCTCGAAAGGGTGTACACGCTTTCATTTGATAACTTTAGCAGAAGTGTGCATTCTAGGGTATGAATAATTGGATGACTCGAAGCGTGGCATACTTTTGTTCAATGGTGATTCTGTAGAAGGACCTGCAGACGCTGTTTGATGAAGGCAACGAGGCGCGCTTCTTCTCTGTCTGGGACTCGGGAGTCTGCCGGGAGCTCCGGGAGGATACAAGGCTGTCCTGCCGAGACCTGGAGTTCCAGCTCCGTGTCTACTTTGCCATCTTTCCCTTGCGCCACCCTGAAAAAGCGGTGAGTTGCCGCCCTTCGCCGCCCCGTACAAGTCGCTGGGCATTCGGCGATTTGGAAGGGTCACGAAAGTGAGGCCTTTGGCTTTCGCTGCATTTCATTCAAAACTGACCATTGACTCTTAGTGATTCTGCAATGAAAGGGCACGTTGTTCTTAGAACTACGGTAGACTCTCGGTAATTCGAAGCTCACAGGGACAGCGAATCGCATCGAATTAAGCGAACTTCGAAATAAAAGAAACTCATATAAAACTGAGTATTTTATTCAGTACTAACTTAGGAGAAGTACTGTTTGATCTTAGATCGTCTTCGCTGACGCATCCGCGCCACCGTTACTCGGCTCTACAAGTGATGGACGTGTCGTAAGGAGTTTTTGGCATTCTCTTCGCCTGAGAAAACACATTCTACGACGCCTAATGCAGCTTGCTCGTCAGCAGCACTCGGTGCTGGAATCGACGGCGGTGAGAGTTCCTCGTTATCAGAGTCATCGTCACTTCCTTGCACCGCCACACCAGGCCTAACCACTTTGATTATTTCTATGTCCAAAAGCGGACCAGAAACCTCGACGTGCTTGTCAACCTCGACATCCTCGTCAAACGGATTGTCTCCAAAGGCTTCCCAAAGTTCATTACATGTGGGCACCTCTTTTGGCGCAGCTTCGTCAGCAATATCTCCTGTCTCGCTTGCCTCGCTGACGGCGTTGACGGTGATGAACCCGCAGTGGTAAAAGCAGTTGGCGATAGTTGCCGTCGTCACTTGATCCCACGCGTGCGCGAGTATATGAAGGGCACTGAACAAGTTAACCTGGTATTCTTATCCAGTGTCCATGCATAATATCATTTGTTCAAGCAGATGTTTTCTGTAAAGGATCTTAAGGTTTCTTATTATATTTCTTGATCCATAGATTGAAGTATGGAGGTGGTACTCACAGGCAGGTAAGCCAGACAAATTGCAGCTAGATCAGAAACGTCGACATGAGCGCTGCGCTGATCTACGAGAAGGAGCACCTTCCGGCCAGCTGTGGCAAACTTGTGGTCCAGCTTGCGGACCTATTAGCAGAGCAGGCCAGACGTCATCCAAGCTCATCATTAGCTTCGTAGTTCAGAGGCGCGGTTCTCACGCCTTTAACACATTTGGGTTTTTCAACATTTTTGATGACTAGCAGGCGACAACGTTCTGTCCCAGTCATGTTTGCTGCCAAGAGCACTGAAACTCGATCCTTACTTCTTTTATCTCCTGTGCAGTCATTCCCCTTAAAGGACACATGCAAAGGAAAAAAACATAATTTTAAACAGCCTAGATGGAAAAAGAATCTTATAAAATGAATTTACAACAAAGAAAAAAAATTTAGAGCTATATTTACGGCGCGAAACGAATCTGTAGTTGGCGCCCGTAGGAGCCGCTGCGGGTCACGGGGTGGACCTGTGCACCGTCGCACGGTGCCGCTGCCGCCTCGAGGCTCGAAGTCACGCCACCACCGCACACTGAGCGTGGTGCGTCGCCGTTTCAACGCGTTTCTCTACGCCGCTGCCGCCGCCGCCGCGCTAGTTCGTCTACTCTGCGGCGCTGCTGCTGTCATCTGACCGGCGCACAGGTCTATCACGTCTGCTTGCACTTTTTCCGGAGCTTCCTTTGGGCTCTTAAAGTTACTTATAAACCTTTGCTTTTTGTTGCACTTGAAACAAAGATGAATAAGTAACTTTTAGAGACCATAGGAAGCTTTCCAAAAAGCGCAAGTACCACGCGACACATAGCGGCCACTTTTCCGCAGCGCCCGCGGGCGCCTGCTACAAATTTGTATATCGCCGTAAATATAGCTCTAAAAATTTTTATTTTTCATTGTAAATGTGTTTTATAACATCTTTTTCCCAACCAGACTGTTTAAAAAGAATAAAAAATTTTCCCTTGCATGTGTCCTTTAAAGGGAAGCCACGGAGCTTCTTAAAAAAATTGAGTTAGAAGTGAATTCTAGTGGATTCTTACCCCATGAACCCGAATACCCAAACCATTTGCTGCGCAAGTATTGTTGAACGTGAGAAGACCCAAAAGGCAGTCGCTGTGCATGACGTCATCGACGGATCTTTTGGCTGCTCAAGGCTAGGGAGGCAGGGCTTCCACTCTACTTTGAAATTGCTCTTATGGCTCTCCGGCACGTCGCATTGAAACATAATTGTGATATCTGTTATTCTAACGGCCAAATGAACACAATTCAAGTGTTTTTTCTCAAATGCAGAACCGCCCCATCTTCTCTTTAAAGCTAGATTAGCATCTTGTCGGCAGTTCAGCAGTTCGTGACTTCGTGCTTCCTTGACCATAATAAGAGTGCTGCTTCAACATCTGGATGCGCGCCAGTGCGCATTCTTTTACGTGAAGCTTGAAACTTTTCTTGTTCGTACGCACTAATTATTGAATGCTTGCTCTTTAAGTATGTTGAGAGCGTACTCAGCTTGATGCCGTATTTCTGGGCAATGTCCTGCTTTGACGACGCGCTCTCTTCGACTTCTTGCAGCACCTTAAGTTTGTTAACAAGGTTCAGTGCACGGTACTTACCCCGCTGAGCCATCGTGATACCAAAGCAGCACGACGGAGCGATTGTTGGGCTGCGCCAGTCCAGAGCACATATGAACGTGCCAACACACTTTCGGATCTTGGTTATGGAGACTAAAGGGATAATTCACCACCTCCTCGTGCCGCTCTGCGGTTCTGCCAAACACCACCTAACCTTCTTGCCACTTATCTCCCTCTCTCCTCTCGAGGGGAGAGCATAGAGCGGGAACGCAGAGCCCAAAGCTAACAAGCAAACAGCCGTGCATGCAAGGCTGTTTTTTGCTTCCTCGCTGCCAACCTGCAGCGCGCTGTGGTGCCCGTGGTGCCGTCACGCTATGCATCAGATTGCATCATCCCTAGCGCGGTGACGCCAGTGACGCTGCCATCGCGGCCGCGGGCCATGGCGTTGCATAGTCCCGCTTGCCGCTTGTTTTTTCCGTTCCCGAAGTTTTCGGACTTGAGGCGCACACAAAAAATCCTTTAAGGGCACAGGGTAAGGTAAAATTTAAAAAAAAAAATCAATTTTAGTTTTTTTCACAATTTGAAAAGTTTAGTTCTTTCTGCACATTTTCCATTGTCCCAGTGTTTTTAGAAAGCTATATTTCTGGCTGAAAATCACTTCTTCCGACAGAAAGTAGCAGGTGACCACACCTCCTTTTGGGATACACTCCCTGTTTATCGATAAATTCTCCAACAAAACAAAATCAACACAAGACCTAAAAGCATGTCCAGTAACAGATAATCTAAAAAAATTATTTCGCAACTACGGCATAGCTTTTTTTTCAACCAAGACAATCACAAGACGTGCACGTTTTTCCCAGGTGTGTACCGTGTGTACATTCAAGCGTTTGTGTTTTCGTAACGACAAAATGGCGCCATTGAAAGCTGTTCCTTTATTCAATGGTGGCAGCATTGCACAAGCCAGTGTTTTGAAGTTTTGTGGATGGAACCCTGTTTGGAAAGCCATCAAGTGGCTGAGGGAAGTTGACATCACTCTAATATACTTTACGGACTAAGCGACATGGCAAGACACAAAAGAGGCCCGGCAAGCAAAGCGATAAGCCTAAAGGCGAAGACATGACTTTAGCAATGCCTTTCAAGCTGGCGGCTATTGAAAAAATTACTCTGAGGCTGTTGGTGCCAATAGAAATTCGTTAGTCACCAGTATTTTTACTTTAAACTCAATTATCTCAAAAGAGTGTTTTTTAGTACCTAGGTACCATTTTTTCCTTAACCTGACATTATAGAGGGTTGATTTTTTATTCCTACCACATACATGGGTGTTCAAAAATACTGAACTAAAATTAAAAATGTGCACCTAGCAGTTTTTGAGTTACAAAGTTTTTAATAGATGAAAAAAACTAAAATTTCAGTACTAGAATAAAAAAATATAAAAAAGAACTTATTTTAGATTGGTTCAAATTATTCTAGTTCAGTGGATAAAACAGAATATTTCTAACAAAATGATATATACATGACAGGAATACTCCTAGTAGTCACCGAGAAAAATGTTCCTCAACATGGCCTCAAATGCATGGGGAGTATAGGACCTACCCTGTGCCCTTAAATTAACCAGCTCCCAACATTTAGCCTTTGAATTAGCGCGTTTTTCCCCATAGCATTGTACATGCGATTGCCGGGACCCGGCCAATGCTTTGAACTAACCAAAAATTTGAATCATGCGACTTTGAATTACCGACAGTTAACTGTATAAGTAGCACAGTTGCAATAAAGCGTATGGAAGTATCTATCGCAGATTATTCATATTTGTAAATATTTGTCAATGCGCACATCACGTGTCTCTTACTCACAAACTTCTTTTTAGGTGGCTACACATCCATTTGATATCTGTATTGCCTAAAGGCAGTTTTTTATATCCATTATCAAAAGTCCTGTGCTTTGAGGCATTGGGTGAAGCTTGGACTAACTTCATGAAACCTAATATAGCCTGCGCAGTGCTTCTGTTTGCAACACAAAGATTAAAGGGAATGACTAATGTTAAAAAAAATATATATATATATGAAGCAGACCGTGTCTGGATCATTAAAACATGAATTTCTGCTTTCATAAGCTCAGAATAATAGGTTCTGGTCATATATATGCGCATCTTTCGTTTAGGAATATTTATCTTCTAGGCAGAAAACAATGAAGTAGGAAAATCCTTCAATCAAAATTTCACTAGCTACTAGACCCGTTTCAACTTATCATAAGAAAATAAAGTTTGATAAAATGACATCACTGTCTGAGTTATAGGGTTTGTATTTTCCAGTGTTCATTATTGAGAAAAATCGTCAAATGTTTTTCTGTATTTATTTTTTAAAGACTGGTGTTATCAGTTGGTCGACTTGTCATGAGGTTAAGAACAGTGATTATCAGTTAAAAAAAAGCAGTGTTGCCGTTGAATGGGTGATGAAAGCAGTCAAAATGAAAGTCAAGAGCAGCCAAAAATAGCCTTTATTTATTTTTGCGACAGATTTGCTGCCACCGTAATTCTAAAAGAAAATGTCGTAAAAAGTGAAAAACAAATTAGACTTTGCACGCCCTTAGTCAACGTGAACAAATGCTGCCACAGTGAGAGTAATGAGGTTCATTGTTTTGAAGGAGCTCGATGGGCACATCAAATGTTGAAGATGGCTTTTTGTAGCCACAGCACAAACTACAGTGTAGACCGCATATAATGTATGTCGCGGGAGTGGCGAAAATCTGCACTATAAGCGGTACCGCACTATAACCGAAACATCAATTTTTCAGGCCAAAATACATGCCATCAGACAACTTACCTTTGTAAAAGAATTTATTTTATGTTAGATGAAAAATAAAGCTTAGTTTGAGGAAAGTCTTTATTTCACCAGGCTAGTACACTTCTCTCTCAAGTGTGCTACACATTTTGAAAGAAATTAGTTACTTTTGCCTGGCGTAAACGGACGTTGCGAGCGTTCAGGATTGCTAACCCTAATCACTTTTCTCCGGCGATGAAAACGCATGAAAGTTCGCATCCTTTATACGGTACGCGCCAGTAATACCTTCAACTTGAGCACAGGCATGAAATGCTCCAAATAAGAAATCCGGGCGATGTTCGAAAACACAAATGCTTAGAAAGCACCACTGTAGTCGAAGTAAACAAACACAACGACAGGGGCGTTTCTGCCGTCTTAAGAGTGCCGCCACAACATCGCCGCACGAGTAGGTGGATCTTCCCTTCTAGTACGTGCTGGGTTATCATAGCGACACACAACAAAAATTCACAGTCAAGGATAGCGCTTTTACGCGGAACGATGAGCTTCTACCACGCCGTCTATGTCGACGATCACCACTGACGCTATGTTTGCGGATAGAAGCAGCCGGCCCGCGACCGGCATGCAACGCGCGCGAACACTTCTCCTTTACCTGCGATTGGTCTGTCGTTGCGGTTGTTTGTTTCCAACGCAGCGGAGGGATGCACGCACGTGAACGACACGTGCGTGCGTCCCTCCGTCGCTATGGCAACTGAAGCCTCTCTTCGCTTCTTCGAGCAATCTCCTTGCCCCACGAGTGCCGCTTGCGGCTTGCGCCGTTATCTAGTGTCGCACAGGGAAGCGTGCTCGAAGCGCCGGTCAGTCGGCGCGCTGTTCCAAAAACCGCACTATAACCGGTATTTCCCTTTGCGCGCCTGCATTTTAAGCGGAATGTAAATACATGAAGTTTTATGGGAGGCGAACCGGTGGTTTAAAAAAGCCGCGTTATACCCTGTCCTGCACTATAAGCGGCTACGTTGTAAGTGGTCTATACTGTACACTCTCAGAATTGCCACAAAGAAGCACTGCTTCATTTTGTTTTTTCATTCAGTTTGCATTATCGAAACTAGATAAAAGACTAACAGAATCTGTGTTATACTGTAGAAGTGTTTCTGCACTAAGGTGAAAATATTCATCAACCACTGTTTTTTTGTTTTTGTTTTTGGTTTAATCAAGGCAAAAATATTCAACCATTGGTGTTTTTCGGCTTTAACCGATTTTGTATTTTCGTCATTGGCAGATGTTTAACGGTGTTTTTTGGTTAAAACCGGAAAGTGCACAGCCTAGTTATGTGCTTGAACTAAAATATTGCTTGCAGTTATAAAATCACAATTTTCTTGCTTTGGTATCACACATTCTCTACTTTAGTATTGCTGGTCATTCACCTCTTCTACATATTGATTGAAAATTGACGACAAACCAACTGCATGACCCTAATCGACTTCCAAGGTAGAAGGAGCGAATCCTACCTTTTGCCATTCCTGCCACATTGTGTGTCAAGTGCTTGCCAAGTCATTCGTTAGTTGTTGTGTTTGCTTTAAATAAATACAAAATTTCAAACTGCTTTTTAATAACGACTGCCTTACACTGCAGAGTCAAGAAAGTGATGGCATAGTACTTGTAGCCAAGCTTCTTTTTAATGTGAAAGCATTAACTGGTTCCATGGAGCAAACGGGCGTTATCAGCTTTTGAAGCCTTGCCAAACAGCACCTAAACTCCCCTGTCCCAATGGAGCGAAGCCTGTCTTCTGTAGCAGCGATCTGATGGATAGGCTCCCATTGGCTGGCGCGCGTCATAGTTTCAAGGAACAAGGCTCCCATTGGCTCTTGCACGGGGTAGTTCCAAGGAACACCAGCAGAGAAGCCCTCTCCATGGCGGCGCAGAAGCCCGGCCGTCTGTAAGAGGGAGCGGCTGGCCGCCGAACCAGCAGAGCTTGCACGAGCAGACTCCGGAGTAGTTGCACGGCCGAGCTTAGCACGACGCGGACACCTCACGAGAGTGCTTGCTCGGCCGTCAGGAGGCGCAAGCAGATCGGGATTCAAAGTGTCTTGGACGAAAAGAGGACGAGGCCCTTCGACGACGCGAGGTGGAAGCAGTGCGTTGCAGACGGCGTGCTTTTGCATTCACAGCTCATAAGAAGTGCTTAGGTGTTCTCGGACTTTTTTCTTCTACCTGGTGCATGTCACCTTCCGCTTACAAAGTTCGAGCTTTGTTATGTCTCTCATGCATCAATCTTGTGTCTTGGCTCCGACGTTTAGCATTTGCTTGAACTTGATCACATTGATGGATTGGAACACTTCACCTGAGGCCCTAAGCTACACGGTGAACCAGGGGACTTGGACGTCGCTGCCTGCTTCGATTGGTCGGCAATGTGGCGCTGTCCAATCGCAGCAGGCTTTGATGTACCAGTTTCTTAGCCCCGCCGAGTGGATTAGGTCCCCTAGTCACATTTGACTAACTGAAAGGGTAACTCTGCTCAGTTCCAAGAATTTCAGGTTATTGCGTGACCTCAAAATTGATAATGAGCAGCCCTACATAATTTTTTTTAATTAAACGTAAAATACAGTTTATGCAGTCTTGCCGATCAAAAACCGAAGCTTTGGCCGTGGCAGGCAACATTGTCCCCACATTGCCAGCAGCGTGGCACAACCACGGGGTAGTCACATGATCTTCAACTAGGTGCAGCTGAAATATCATCTGCATCGCAGAAGACAAATGTGTGAACACCGCCGAGCCTGCCGCTCGTGCTGCCGGTAGGCTTTCCTCGCAATATTAAAAGCAAACAAAAAATCATAGGGTATACAACGAAGATAGTGCAATGTTGACTTCACCCCACACCGCCCGCTAAATCGTTAAATTTTGACGACTTGGTGCATATCAAACTTTGTTGACCAGTTTAATAAACACTCGCATGGAATTACTGCATGATGTCTAGACTGCATTGATCATCATATTATATGATTTCAAAACGTGCCTTTGTCACGTTTTGAAACTGCGTACCAATATCATTGTCGCATCTTTAGTACCACAATGTGACGTCCGTTCTCCTCCCCGTGCAGAGGCTGCAGCGGCGGGTGGACCCAGGGGGCGCCATGGGCAAGTTCCGCCAGTACCTAGAGTCTCGGGGGGCCCCCGCCGGGGACGACAACCAGATGCTGCTCTACTGTGCCCTGCCGTACGTGCCCAACCCAAAGGCACTGCCTACCTTCAAGCAGATCTTCGAGGTGGGTGCTGCACACTTCACGGCGATTGCTCTCACTTTGCCGGAAAGCTCTCATTCTTCTCCTAAAAGCCTCGTCCCACTAGACCAGTGATTCTCAAACTCTCTGCGGACCCTTTGGTATCCCCGAAGGTTTTCTTGGGTGCCCGAAGCCTTAGATTGTTAGTCAGGCCGAGCGCAACAACTTGTTTTTTTTTTTATTGATGCTGGCTGTCCCACGAAAAGGGGGGGGATTTTAGGATCAGGCTTTGAAGAGAAGGGGGAGGGGAGGGGAGGGAAGGGAAGGGAGGGGGAGGGGGAGTCTGCTGAGATATAACGTTATGGCCGAAACGTTGCCCAGATCTATTTTGTTCAGCAAATGTTTGCTATGCCACCAAGGACTAAAAGTTTTGGCTGGTGTATATCAGTGTTTTTATTAGGAAAAGTTTACCTTGGAAATTTAAGGGAGGGGGGGAAGGGGCTGTCACCCCACACCTCTGCACATAAAACTAAATAGACCTAAGCATGTGTACTAAATGAGTAAGACTGATTATTATCCATTTCAGAGCCTCAAAGCTGTTTTGCACATATTTAGTTTCCTTCATTTACCCTTTTGTGCGTGTAATCATCCAATACCTTCCCCTCCCTTCTGGTGCATGGGGTCCTCCACCACTTCTGTCAATCCGGAAGGGCTCCCCGAAACATTGGTGGTTGAGAACCACTGCAAAAGAGCGACAAACAGCAACAAACGACAGCGACAAACGACGAGCGACAAATGACACCGACAGACGACCTGTTTGTCAGAGTCCAGCTTCCCACCTGTGAGACATGACGCAGGACACGCAGACGAGGGAACTTGCTTTTTGGTGGGACTGAAGTTGTCAAAAAAAAAAAAAAAAACTTCAAAATTCACAGACAAACAGAATCAGGCGATGCAGTTTTCGTGTCCCACTCTTAGGCAGAATATTCACCGGCAAACGCACCAAAAGTAGAGGCAATTATTTTGTTTTCTTAAATAAAGCTTCCGCTTAGTCTTCATTCGCCGTTTACGGCTTCCCTCTAACCGGCATGACCGTCAACACCGCACATTTTAAACCCGAATTCCCAAATCGTTTGTGTTGTTCGAGGCCCCATGATACGGAATGAAATTTCAGTCAGACTTCAAGCATGTTCTCATCCATATAATCGAGGACAGGTCTTTTAGCAGGATATACGGCACTTTAACCAGGTGCATGATGACAAGTCTCTTGCCCGCCAGAATGCCCTGCTGGAACGCCATGTTGTAGATTACCGGAATTCAACCACCAGAAGAGAGAAGAAAGAGAAGACAGAGGAAAGCACGAGACCAGGAACAGAAGACGATCGGAGCACGAGAGAATAAAACGGCCACCAACGAAACGGATGTGCTCGGGATCTTTCCTCAACATAATTTGCTGCCGAAACCCCTTGAGAAGCCATGGACCGCCTCTGCAGAACCCGTGGCGTTGTCCGCTCCGCCGTCTCTCGCACTCTCGCCCAAATCGACGCTCTCCTGGAGAACCCGGATTCCACTGAAGTCCAACTGCGAATCCCACTTGAGTACCTCACGCAAAAACAAGCCGCACTCAAAGACCTCGACAGTGACATCCTCGCGGCCATCACGGACGACGCCTTGGAGGACGAAGTGGAGGGTGCAGAAGAATACCGGCTACTCATCAGCACCTCTCTCGCGCATCTCCACTACACCCTAGACACTTTCACTACCAACGCTCAACCTCAGCTCCCGGAGGCACCTCCCATCAACCCTCCATCAACCGCAACAATAGTAAGCAGCCACCGGACCGTCGCCCTTCCAAAACTGCAAATCCCCATGTTTGCCGGTAACCTCCGTGATTGGCAGGGATTTTGGGACCATTTTAATGTTATCATCCACGCAAACCCCGATCTCCCACCAATAGAAAAATTCAAATATCTTATGACGTATCTAACAGACCACGCTAAACGCGCCGTCGAGGGAATTCGACTCTCCAACCAAAACTACGAACTCGCAGTACGAACACTTCAGGACCGGTTTGGACGACGTGACATTCTAATCGACGATCACATTGATCAGCTTTTGAACTTACCTGTAATTAACACCTCCAGCGACGTGGCAAAACATTGTCAGCTTCACGACACAATATGTTTCCGCACAACGTCTCTTGAAGGGTTGGAGGTTCCACCTAGCAGTTATGCAGTCGTTCTCCATTGAGTTCTCATGCACTGCCTTCCCGCTGACCTGGCTATCCTTTACCGTCAGAAGCTGAGAGAATCCACACCACCATCTTCAACGAGTACACCGGACCTGACTCCAGAAGATCAAGTTAATATCATCATGAAGTTTTTGAGGATACAAGTCGAAATCCGAGAAGATGGCCAAATAGATCGAGCAAGTTATCGTTTTCGACGAGGGCTATCGCCAATGACACCTCAAGAATCAGTTTCGGCAAATCACCCTTCAACTCTCGCGCTATCGACGGAATCGGAAGGCTACCGATCAACTGCGTGCCCCTTCTGTGGTTCCCCCGAACACAAACTCCGAAACTGCCTGGCCCCTTTTTCAACACAAGATAAGCGAACCAAGCTTGCACGAGCGCGCTGTTGCTTTAAATGTGGGAAGCGAAATCACATCGCTCGTGTTTGCTGTTCAGGCAGAAGCTTGTCGTGTTCCACGTGTGGGGGTCATCACTTGACCATCCTTTGTGAACTGTCACGTCCCCTGCCAGCCCCATCGCACACTCCGCAACCTGGAGAGCCCCCTGAACACGCCACATCCATTGTTAGCGCGCCAGCTAGCAACTCCTGTTCTTCTCCTGTCCTCCTCCAAACAGCTAGAGCATGGGCATCAGGGACCCCAAGAAATGTTCTCGTAAGACTCTTGCTACATACTGGCAGCCAGCGCACGTTTATCAGACGGGATGTTTCTGAAGAACTCGGCTGCGAAGTTGTAGGCCGAGAAGATCTAACCATCTACACATTTGGCAATACAGCCACCAAACACTCCTGCCGACGCGTGGCTGTGACCCTTCAGGGCCATCGTAGCAATCAGAAGGTGACATTTGAAGCACTGGAATTTCCCGAGCTGTGCACCTTATCGCACCAGCAACTTGATGATCATCTGCGGTTGCAACTTCATTCAAACGGATTTCAGGCCGCAGACATTCCTCCAGATTCTGACACAAGAGTGGACAATAACATAAGCGTCCTAATAGGTTCAGATGTCTACTGGCAAGTGGTCAAGGGAAGGATCCAACCCATGAGTCGAACCTTAACCGCCGTTGAAACCATTTTTGGCTGGGTGGTTCAAGGGACCTACTCGGGGAGTATCTGTCACCCTTCAACCAGAGCGCGGCCAGCAGGCTTCACAAGGCGTCCAGCTTCGACCATCTGCTGCCTGGCTTCATCACCTACCTCTTCTCGGGACACTCCGACGGGGAACGGAAGATGGTGCGTCGCAAGAGTTCGGGACCAAATCGTGTGCCAGAGATGGAACAAACGCTGCCTTGGGGCCTGGGCTGCGGCTCGGCGAGAAAGTTCTGCTGCTCGGCCGTGGGACAGGCCCCGTCGCATCGGTGCAGGGGCGGCTGGTCCCCCGGGCAGCCCCCGCCGCCATCCCTGCCACCACTGCCGCCCTCGACACCCGTTCCGGCACCGAGGCACTCCCTGGGGCGGAAGGACTACCACCACCTGGGTCCTGTCTACGCCAACAACCAGGCACTCTCGGCCAGGTTGCAGATGGGCGCAGACGACACGATGCCCATACCCGAGGAGCAGGATGAGGAACGCTCTTGCGAGGGTGCCCTGATCGACCTGGACTGCGACGGCGACTGCGTGGCGCCCGTGTGTCAGCGGAGCGCCTCGTCTCCTAGCGTGAGCTCCCGCGCTCTGGTGCTGTCGGACCTGGAGTTGTTCCCGCAGACCGTGCCGCTTCCAGACGGAGCTTGAAGTCCGTACCCTACTCTCTATTTAATTGGCTTGCGACAACGTTTCTTTTCCTTCTGCTTGTGTGTTAACGGCTTTTTTTGATCCCGCCCTCTTTTGTGAATTTGTTTTCACAGTACTGTCACTGACCCCTCGTGTATTATCTTGTCTCTTATTTCTTCGGCCGGCGCGGGAAGTTGTTGTAGATTACAGGAATTCAACCACCAGAAGAAAGAAGAAAGAGAAGGCAGAGGAAAGCACGAGACCAGGAACAGAAGACGATCGGAGCACGAGAGAATAAAACGGCCACCAACGAAACGGATGCGCTCGGGTTCTTTCCTCAACACGCCATGTCCCTTCATGATGAGCAGTGTTACTTTGTCGAGCAACTCCTCGAAAGTCAGCGTGTCTATCCTGATGCAAGGGTGGTAGTCCTCGGAGTCTTGAAGCGCCACCTCGTGCACCAGGTTTCTGCGAGCAAAACCAGCAACGGGAAATTCTCTTTTGCAACACGCCATGTCAACAGCCAGCAGGCGAGCGACGGGTACTACAAGGCGCCGAGGGACGGGAACGAGCAGGAAGCCAATGTGTCCAAGACCGAGGTCATCTCCCAAGGCCGAGTAAGCCACGGGAAGAATGGGAGGAAGGTTAGGAGGGTGGGTTAGAGGTACAAGTGGGCGAGAAGGATAAGTTTGTTTTCAAGAGATATTTCTCGGTGGGACTGCTCGCAGCGCTTCAAGTCTGGTGACAAACAAGAGCTTGCCTGTCGTCGATTGTTTGTTGACGTTTATCGGTGATGCTTTGTCGCTACAGTGGGATGGAATCAGCGATATGGCACTTTGCCGCATCGCCGCATGCTACACGTTGCAACATGCATGGTTGAGTTGGCAGTGCACCATGCGAAAGCACCGGGTTTGGATCCAAGTAGCCCTCTTTTTGGTTTAATCATTCTGCTGCTTTGGAAAGTTCCATTGGAATCTTGGTAGTTATTCTGTGTTCTAGTTGAAAACCCTCGTACACATAGAGCAGGGGTTCTCAAACTGGGTTCCGCGAGCTGGTCTCATGGGTTCCGCGAACGCTCAAATTGTACCTCCCCCCCACACCCACGCTGCAGGCTGCACAGCAGGACCATGCAAAGCGCGTTCATCTAACTTTGTTCTGACACCGTGATGGATATGGTGAGGATATATGAGAAGTAACACAAGCAAAATTGCCTGCGATTGTACTTATGTCGCTTTTTGGCGGGCAAATTTGGGGGGGCAGGGGGGGGGGGGGGGGGGGGGTTCCACAGCTATATTTCAAGCTTCCTGGGGTTCCGTGGGACCAAAAAGTTTGAGAACCCTTGACATAGAGCATGTAGAAATGCAACCATAGCACACTGCATCAGAACAGCTTTACGCTAGCGCAGTGGCGTCACTACGGTCAGCGGCACCCAGGGCGGTGGCCCGCCGTGACACGCCCCTCCACCCTCGTGGCCCACCTCAACATCTCCCCACCCTCGCTCTCATGGCCCCACACGAAACACACACACACAAACCACCCCCCCCCCCCCCCTTTCACTGCCCAGCTGCACCCAGGGCGGTCCGTCCCCACCCCCCCCCTCCCTCCCTTGTGACGCCTCTGTGCCAGTGCTCGATCCTGCTGTTATGCCGACACTGACACCCGCGATGCCCATTATTGTATACCATATTTTCTGGTCCATAAGTCACACTTTTTTAAAACATTTTTCTAGGTGCGTCTTATATGCAGGTTTTTTTGTTTTTTTTTATTCACAGTGCAACGCCATATTTTTATGCGCAGCCCGCCATCTTTCGTAGAGCACCCCAGTTATAGCATCAGTTCTTTGCACTTTTAGGGCTCTAAGTAACCTTTTGTCTCTAGGAAATGAGTGATAAATACTGAAATGGAAAGTTGGGCGAGTTGGTATGAATTAATTTTGAAAAACAGCGCGAATACCACACGGACAAGAAGGAGGAACACACAGGACGAGGCGCTGACTATCAACTGTCTATTCAGAACACATACATAGAAATTCACGCGAGGTCAGCTTCTTCTTTTTCCTCATCCAGTAATTCGCCATTTAGCACGCAACGTTGTAAATCATATCAAATTAAAACACACGAGTACATTAAAGCACACCAGCACAGGTATAAGTCATCACGTCTTCCTCCTCTTTTCTTCTTTCTTGGATCTTCAATCTCGATCTTCAATTCTCATGTCAACCCCATGTTCCTCTTTCTTGTCCGTGTGGTATTCGCGCTGTTTTTCAAAATGGATAAATACTGCACTGGCAACAGCCCAATTAAAATACTTTAATATTATAAGACGTCTTTTGCATAAGCACGAGAAAGAAAAGGAGATGTAACATTTGTCCCAGTTGAATGCCCATCACGAGCCTTTCGTAATGAATCCTTTTAAACCCACAAAGGGACAGCTATGTTGCTGAATGGAATAAACAAATTAAATAGGCAGCAAGCTACTGTCGAGAGCGAGACCGTTTATAATGAGGTCAAAGGGAATCGGAAATCATTACGCTATTTCCGCTTCTTTGTTAAATATGAACTCGTACAAATACTAACATGAAAAAAATATGTAACACTGGGTGTCACGGAGACATGAATATCGAGCCTGCAGAAAGCAGTCGAGGCTTCCCTGCACGCGTCCCCTGCTAAATTGGAGCTGCTTCTCGCCAACCGCAAGAAGCTCCAATCGAGAAAAAAATTCTGCTACGTATGGACCGTGTCGACAGCTGCGACAGCCCCGCGGAGGACGCCGGCGGTGAACGGCATTCTTTTTGTCTATGCGCACTCCGTCAAGGATGGCACACTTTTGATTCAAGGAGATTGCCTTCGTCTTGCCCGTGGAGGTGCTGGCAGTGCCGGAACTCTCCATTGTTTAGTAGCGATTACTGTTGTGCGAATATTCAAATTTTCTAATACAGTTGAGCCTCGATTCAACGAAGTAACCGGGACCCGTTAATTATTTCGTTAAATCGGGAACTTCGTAAAATCGAGGAAGGGAGACCTCGCACATAAGCTGCGCGGGAAATCCGAATTTGTTTGTTAAATGGGGAAATTCGTAAAATCGGGTTTTGTAAAATAGAGGTTCAACTGTAGCAGTTTCGAATATTACTCTATTCGATATTTGCTTCGAGAACAGTTGTGATATTTGTGCTTTTCGAAGTGTTGGTAAACTCGCGGTCGTGAGCTTGTTTACCGTTTAAAAATCACTAAGGGGCAATTTCTAAAATCAAAAATATACTCCCATGTCCGGCAAAACGGTATAAATATTATGGTGGGAACTTTTAAATATATTCATCGTAGTCATTTCATCAATTTTGTTTATAACGGGCAAAAGAAACCAAGCAACGAGTTCCAAAGACGCCGGCGCCATGTTTGCCAATCTTGGCGCCCTGGCTGCCAGCACTCTTTTCTTACCACCGTTGCGTCCAGACAAAAGGTTACAAAAACAAGTTTACGATAAAAATTAATTTATTATCTTAAATTCCATCGTTGCGTGTGATGGCGGTACGAAGATCTACGGTATCACGCTCGGCGTCGGTGCTTGGGGGCATTAAAAAATAATTTTACTGTCTTGAAACACGCAAGAAGGGCAACATAATTGTAAGAGATCTGGGGAAATAAGCATGAGCGATAAGTTTATTGCATGTACAGTGCCAAAAACGTTCATATTGGCTGAGAAACGCTTTCAGTACGATGATGCCCCATAGCGATCTTGGTGCGACTGGTTGTAATGACCCTTTCGAAGCTTCGAAAGGGCCCAAAATGGTGATCACCATGGTAACCGAGAGCGATGAGCCAATTCCCTTGAGAGGATTTATCATCTGTATGTTGGTATTTGTTTGTGTCCGGCTAACAGGTGGGAAGGGAATGGCGCTACTTTCCCAGATCCAGTGACTTTAGTCCCAACCAGACTGTTTAAAATAAAACATTCTTTTTCTTTTTAGTGGTCCTTTAAGTACCCACTGATCCTAGTGTCAGGCTGCATTGTGGAAAGAAAGTTCTGTTGTGTTTTTGTTTTTTTTTCCTTTTAAAAACAAAAGCTAAATACAGTTTGGAGAAACTGACTACACCAGGATGTCCTTTATAGCTGCAGGTATTAAAAGCCAAAAACGTTTATTTGCCTAGCTATGCAATGATGCCTAGCTAGCCTAGATATGCAATCAAAGTAGAAAATCGGTGATTGAAAAATTGCTACATGATTCACATTCTTCCCATTTCAAAGATTATCTCAGTTAAAATTATGCGAGGTAACCCAATGAAATTTTCTTCCTGGGTAATTTCTGATTCACAGTGCAAAGCAAATAAGCGTCCCTTGACATGACCACTTCAATCCTGAATTAAATATTTTGTCCCAATTTATCAGATGTTCTAATAATGACTTGGGAATTCTGGAGGTACAACATACTCAGAAATGTTTATCATTCCCGATGTTCCACAGGGCATGTGGAGGGGTAACTTAATTAAGGAAATACCCAATTGTTTTATTAGACCTTGAGTATTAGCTTTAGCACCTGTGGCCCAACCAAGCTTGGAATGCCTGACAAAAGCAAGTGGTTGAAAATGTCTGGAAAAAAATGTTTGCAAGCAAAAAGACTTGAGTTGGTATAAAAAAAGACCCGTGTTTGTTTCTAAACATAAATAGTACCAGCATTGAGACTTTCTTCCTTTTATCCTGAGAAAACATGAATGTCTTCATAAATCAATTTTCATGTTTTAGATTCAATGTATGATTGTAAAATATACAGTAGAAGGCCTTGTTATTAAACAATTCATGAAAGGAAAGGTTGTAGTGAGTAACAGGATGATCTTTTTTTTTTTTTCATAAGAATACATTATTACAAAAACATTGCTGCCTTTCTTTTTCTTGCAGAAACTACTTTTAGTGCATGTAAAGGAAAAGTGGTATTCAAATTGGCTTTGTGAGCATGAAGAGTTAAATTCTATGACAAGTTAGCCGAAGTCTGAAAAACAATTCCCGTTCCCTCCAAGAAATCTTTCGTTTTGAGAACATAATACGAAACAGACTTCAGGTGGTCAAAAATGTGTCCGAGACGTTTTTCTCTGTTTTTTTTTTCAGGAGGACTGGGTACTTGACCTGAAGAGTAAGATGGAGGAGTTTGTGGAGGAAGCTCTGACGGAGAAAGTCCAGGAACCTCCGCAGCCGCGACTGCTCGAACTTTACGTATCCTTGACCCCTGCACACTGTGCTACCTTTAGGAGAGAGTGCACGAGATCTGTCATCACCATTGGCCGGCTGCAAATGATTTTATCACTCTCAGACAGTATGCCACGGTGTTTCTCAATGTAGTCACCAGTCTCGTGTTGTGTGTATTACAGAATTGCAAAATAGACCTAACTCGGATTTCGTGTGCACCCGTTGTGCGTCACGGCCTAGCACACTGGAGGCTAGGAGAGTTGGCCCAGTCGACCTGCTGCCAAACCTCCAAGACGCGAACCAACTGCGCACGTTCAGTTCACATGCGTCGCATGCTGACAACAAATTATAAGTCACCTTACAGGATGCTTGCTCGCCTCAGTCTTGCATTCTTGGTGTTGTTGCAAGAAAGAAAAGGAAAGAAACATTGATGAGGCCACATTTCAAAAAGGTGGGGCGGCCCGTGCCAAGAAGACGAAAATTGAACTTGGGTGTCAACTGCGTTTCTTTATAAAATGCAATTCTGCATATGATGGTTTGATCGATAGACCAAAAAAACAGCTGCAGAATTTCGCAAATGTTTTGCTGAAGAGGACCATGTGCAATTACTTTATTGGTTCGCAATTTGTTTTTTTAAGTTTGGTCTGTTATTTAAATAAGTTTGACATTTTTGTGCACCATTTACAAAGTTGGTCATTCATAAAATGCTTCAAGATTGAAGGCTTATGGAATCGACTGTAGCATCCCGTTTGTGCTGTGGGTAACTTGCGCCGCATCCATCGGTGCTAGCACATAGTGTGCACTGCACATTGACAGGTGTTGCTCAGTGAGCGACATCACATTGCATTGCTCACCATTTTGATGGTAGCCTTTAAGCTGCCTGAGACAGACTAAAAATTAGCTTTCACAGATGTAGAGCAACTGCATTGGATACTGTACTTGTCTGACAAAATATATCTTGACACCCTTTCTCCAAAAAGTACTGCAGCGACATGGAACTCAACGGTAATTTTGTGCTTTCTTCCTCTCTTTCATGCAGTGCATGGTCAGTGGTGCTGATGTCTGCTTACAAAAACTGTATGTGCCTAGTTCAGATTTTAAAACTCGTCTGACCCAGCTTATTTTCCTCGGCAAATATGTGAATTCGTATTAAAAAAACTCGCAAAAAAGCATTGTGAAACTAAAAACAGTGCAAAGACGGACACCAGGAGTTCTGAAACTCCTTTATCTCAAGGAATGCCTGTTTCTCTCAATTGATGCATGAAGAACCTCATTCCGGTCTTGGCACTGATGCAGTAAAACAGTTGAGACGCCTACAGGCTTTGCAATCAATAATGCACATACCGAGAGCATTAGGCACATATGCATGATGGGTGGCTGAGGTCTGCTAAAGGGGGGGTCAAACTGAGAAACCACATTAGTATACTTAGGGGCAGGAGCAGTCAAGAAAATTTGGTACCTCGGGGAGCCTATAAGGGGGTGCTTTGAGAAAACCAGTTTATTTGAGTGTATCAGGTGGTCCTTTATTTCTCCTCCCATTAATTTATCATTTCTCCCCCTTGATCAAATGTTGGAGATAGGTCCTCTCTGTGTAGAATCCCTTCGTGAGTAGGGCATGTTCGCATTGTGATTGGTTTTTGCATAAATGGAAGTGCTCCTGTCGGTGCAACCTGTCTGCATATAGACCCTGGGTTTTGTTTTTGTCGTCGACTTGGTTTCCGTTCTCCTGAAGTAGACGTCATTCCCCAGATCTGCGCCAAGAGTTTCGATACCTCGAAAGAAGACTGCAGGAGTTTGAAAGTCACTGCATGAGCCAGGAGGAACAGATGAATAAACTCCAGGCAAGTAATGGAACTTGAGTTTGTACGTCCTCGAAGGATCTGCAATCTATTGTTGACCTTGTTTTGTATACTAGGCAAGTTGTGCTCACATTATTGGCTCTATCTGATGTCTCGTGTTTGTGCAGGAGGATTACAAGACCCTAACGGGCATCACGTCAGAACTGATCACTGCCCTGGAGGCAACAATCCAAGGAGACATGGTAACTTTATTCTTTCCTGGTATTCATGTACACATTCCACTTATACAGTATGTTAGCAAGAAAAATTGACCATATTCTTATACCTTATAAATACAGTTTGGTGTTGTTGGATTTTAGATTTTTTGCAGTTTGGCATACCTTTTCAGTATTATATAAAAAGCTGTAGATGGAAGGGGAGCCAGAAAGAGACTGAGTGATTAATCCATTTGCAGACCTTTTAAGGTTAGTGTGCCTATGGAACAACCTGGTTATCTGGGCCAGTTGGCTTGTCTCATAGTTTGAAAAACGGCCGAAATTACAACTTTGTGTTGTGTAGCTTGTCTCTGACTTAGTGGATGTTGCACGTTTTGTCCACGAGCAATACTTGCAAGGTACGTGACTCGAACGCTTATCACCGCTTCCTCAGGTGAACCTGGAGAATGTGCTGTTCTCGTGCGGGCAGCAGTTTCCTGAACTGGTTCGAATGCAGCGGTCTCGGACTTCGCAACTCTCATCCACAGGAAGTCCGTTGCAGGCGCAGGACTCCCTTTCCAAACAGGGCAGGTGAGTCGAGATCAGTGTTGCCTGAATGAAAACTGACTTTAAAAGCAGCCAGAAGTTTTACAAAAAGTAGCCTATGTTATGCCAGACTTTTTGCAGCGTCAGCCATACTGGGCGAGTGTTTTGTTGCCAAAAACGAACGGAGCATGCGCGTTTATCACAGGTGGCTTTGGTGCCTGGAGTGGGCGAGTGCAGCAGGGATGCACTCACCCTCTCGCTGATAATAGTCGTGGTTGAGGTGCAGCGCGGTCAGCGAATCGCGATTGTGCTGGGGGTCATGTGATAGCACACCTCGCCCCCTGCTCTCCCTCGCCTTCGGTCGCCCATTCCCTCGGCACTCTAAACTTTTGCGTGCAAGAATGGTGCGGTGGAAGCATTCGCCAGAGCAAGCAGCGGCTGCTGGACAGCGTGAACATGCCCGCGAGAGAGAAAACGTCGTTGATGTGTGGTGCTGACGGTCTCACCGCGGGTGTAAGGATGGATCAAATTCAACATCAAGATCACGCCGTGCGTGAACGTGAAGCAGCACATAGAAAAGAATGTTACCGAGCAAAGAATGAACGCACCGGAGCGACCTAGCAATTTCTGCGGTGCATTGGCAAGAACGTGTTTGGTGCTAGCTGTTTTGTATGCTGTTGGTTGTGGTTTACGCGAGACACCACGCGATGCAGCATCACCAGAAATTCCAGTTAATTACGATGCAATATCATTGAAATATTTCACCGGCTGACGGTGTCCCCTCGCATCACGTCGCGTGATTGTCCGCACAGTTTGTTTGCAAGAAATGTATCGAAAGCAATGCATAACTGGTTGTTGGCCGTTACCAAAGGACTATAGATAAATGTGTGTCAACAGTCGCCTGTAGTTTGTTGTGACATAGGATTTGCCTTCAACATACTTTCGTTGCCTTCTGTCGAGCTACGGTTGCGCTTGTCTACGAGATGCTGAAGTTTTATTGAAGGTAGAAAGCTGGTCCTAGGGGCAGATTCTTTACTGCAGATCTTACGTCGCAAGAAACTGAGAATTAATAAGAAAGAATGAGTGCCAAAAGCTTTGTCGTATATTTTGTTTAGTACTCTTTTTAATCCTTGGTCTCTAATTGTATGTTAACTACCTAAGCGGAGCTGATGTTTGTACATTAATCGTGATAAAGCTTGTTTACCTGAGACTCAGGCAACCTATTGAAGGCAGCTGGGCCCGTTTGCTCAAAGCCGGTTAACTTTAACCGTGGTTAAAAGTTAACCGCCCTTCCCTACTAGGTACCTACAAGTACCTAGCCAAGTTTGATGAGGGCTGGATGAGCGATAGCTCCGTGTTTTATTATGGGGTGGTAGCTGGTGTCACCTGCTGGCTGTAGCGAATATATGTGGCTTCCGTGGAAAGGTTCCCGACATGGGGGGACCCAAGAAATGCGCGCTGCCTGGTTTTCGCGACGCAGCGCGGCATACAATTCAGCTTAAGAAACAATTTTTATTGCTCGTGGTACAAACAATCGGCAAGGTAAAACTAAATTAACCCTTGTTTGGAAATTTTCTGAATATTTGGCTGTATGAAGTGAAGACAAGCCTCGTTGAAATTTCCTTCCGAGTTCGAAAGAGGACGACGAAGTTGAGTCCTAGGAACGATGAGAAAGAAGTGAGCAGTGAGAGGCGGGTGGTACAACGGCAGCATGGTTGGCCGGCATGTAAGAACTGTAAATAACACCTTCATAAATTGAAAAACCTGTAACTCGGCTCCACTGAAAATTAACCTATTAGTAAATTACCCGAACATCGAGAAGAACGCTGGAAGTGTAATTCTACTATCTGCGCGCGCTGGCCTTCCACTTATAAAGAATTTGAAGTAAATAATCATGATAAATCTTTGAAGAACGCGCGTGCACGGCAAAATTTGTTTTTAGGCTTTTTGCTTCAGAACAGTTATTACTGCAGACGCCAGCAGGTGCAGCACGTGTAACTACACTCGTAGCATGCACCTCGATGCTTTTGAAATTTAGCAAAAGGTCTATGGGAACGCTCTCTGCTTTTGTGTGCTATCAATACCCGGCCGATTGAGTCAAGGCAATCCATTTTCCGAAGACGTTGCCATGCCGACAACTATCGCGTTCATTTAGGCTTAGGAATGGCCAGAGTCGAAAGTCTATCTAAAAAATGCGGCGAGGTCATTGCTCATGTTTTGCGTTTTATGTGAGGTAAGGCAACGCGAAAACCTCCTGCACCATTCATTGCTGACTAACGCGCCCGCTACTGCAGCTACTACGACGTATTAGTTCCAAAGCGAGCGGCGCTCAGTCACCGGGGCACCGCCATGTTTCCCCGCCGTCGTCACTCTGCCGGTCACGTGACCCAAAATTCCCCCTCATAGGGAAATCCGGTTAACCATGGTTAGTTAACCAGCTTCGAGCAAACGGGCCCTGGTGTCTTCATTTCTATAATACTTTCCCTCTCATTTGTAGCTTGCTCCTTCAGATATGTTATTTTTTGTTATGTCACCTCTTTACGTAATGCATCTCATCAAACAGCAACTGATTATGCAGGATGAAACCAAAAATGAACACTAGAAATCACACTTGTCCCATATATCATGGTTTTTGAACTCATGGCTATATTGCGTGTGATACACAAAGAAAATGGACAGTATGCAATAATGTATTCTGTTCTTTCTGTTTCACGCTTGCCGCAGGGCCACTCCTGCACATTTTTAAAATAAATTTCCTGTTTCGGGTATGGAGCAGGGAAAATTATTTCCATAGGCAGCACCGCACAAACCTGGGCAATGCTGCTGTTCTTCTTTTGATACTTCCTTAAGAGCAATGTTCCGAGCGTGCCTCGATCATTTGTTTTATTTCATGGCTGAAGCGTAATGTTTTACTTCGTGACATTGCATATCTTTTTGGACGCAGTAACAGCATTGAGAGGGACTACTTTGCCACGAGGCTCGACTTCTCCAAGATAAAACACGACCTGACCGCTGCAGAAGCCACTCAGCGGTGCCTCCTTCTGCAAGCTCTGAGATGGGTCTGTGTCTAAGGACTCAGGTTGTCTTTAACATTGAATATGTTTTTTGGCCAGATTAGCTTTGTGAAAATGTAAGAAAGAGAGAGACATAAATGTCATGACCGAGAAAACATTATATGGTGTTAGTATAGCAACGGGGCCTCTTCAACCTCGTGCGTGGTGCGTCAGTACCATTGGTTTGCGTAAGCAATCGCATGACCATATGAACAGTCAAAGGCGTTCTCATCGGAAGTCACTGTACGAGTCTCGACACATAAACAGTCTCACCGACATTCACCAACCCAAAAACGCGTTTTGTGGTTGACAATTTTGTTGGGTATGACCGAAGTACCGTTTGCTAACCGAGAACCACAAGTCAAAGGTGTATTAGTTGCACTTTTAAACGTTGAGACTTCGGTCGGCCTGGAAATGCGCTGCCTCATTTCGACGCAAGGCAAGCGGGCGAGGGCAAGGTTAGGACAGGCGAGCAGCCGTGCTACCCCTTCTTTCTCTCTCACTTCAGTGTCGTGCGGTAGATGCTGCGAGGGGAAGGTGGAGCAGACGGGATGTTCTCGCAATCTATTGCTTGCAGACTTTCGGGAGTTTCGCGAGTGATTCATTTAATGAACTGGAAGTTCAGCAGCACGTGCTTTCAGGTTGCCTCCGATTGCCAACCTTTTCCGTCGCGTAGCATTTGTGAGCCACATGAAAACCTCTGGAGTGCACGTCGGAGTATCAAGTTGCATAGCGCACCCGACTGATACTAATCAGGAGACCCAGGAAAGCTCAGATCCCTGCATTGATGCATTTATTTTTCTGTGGACTTGTCGAGTTTAGTTGTTGATTAATACCGTCTATTTATCCGCATTTTCGCATTAAATATTTCTTCTAAATGATATGCCGCCGTGCTCAGGAAGTGCAACTAACTGCAGTGAGTAGTGAAGCTCTGGCTGTACGCTGTGACACAAAAACTTCACCAACTTCTTTTTTTTTAATTTGTGGATTGCTTTTAGAATTTTGGTGTCTAATGAAACAAGGATGCATTTATTTACCTTGTTCATTCCCAAACTAGCTGTCTATAGTCTAGACTGTGAGCTTCTGTATGAACAAGGCAGAATTGTATGGGAATGGATCGGTCCTCGATAATTTTATCAATATATCGGGGTGTCAATATTAACCCTTTGAGGGGACGCGGCTGTACAGCAGTATCCAAAGGTTCCCACCTAGACGCAAAAACATGTGCACCCCAGAAGGTGCTGCTATCTGTCATCTCTTTAGCAAACTATAATTGTTGTATTCGCACTATCTTCCACCTTGCCGAGCTATTTAGTTTCAAAAGTATACATTATATACAGATGATACGCTCAAGACGGTCGCTTCGCGTGTCGGCTGCTCTGGTGGTAGTGACCACGGGGCACGGGCTCTTCCAATTCAGACTTTCGACACTTCCCTGAATTCCCCGCAGGGGGCACCTGTGAAAGCAGGTGTTTGGAGAGTGGCGTCTCCACGGACCCCGAGCCACGCGGGTTCGCCCGCCCACGTCTGGCTGTGCGTGGCTTTCCCGTGTCTGGGGAAAAGGGCATCCTGGTGGTTGAGTCGAGCCCGGGGTAGGTTTGGACCCTTCGGGGCCCCCCGGGCGAGGCAATACACCACTTCGGCCCCCGCTTCTCATAGACGGGAGTCCTGGTAAGGCCCGGCCAGGATGATTCAGTCTAGTCGCCACTTCTACTATCCCCTCTCTACTTTCACCCTTGTCTTCCCCTCCTTTTTACTCTTCTCATTTCTCTTCTTTCCTTTTTCAACTTCTTTGGCGGCAAGGGCTAACCTTGGGTGGCGACAGACCCCTTGTCCAGAACCACACTTGGGTATAGTTCCTGGGCAGTGCTAATAGCATAACGTTTCCAGCTAAGCCCTTTTTGTTATGGTGCGTTATCTATTCCCATGTAGGGCTCCGTGGTGGGCGGCACACCACAGGTTCCGAACAAACTTCGCCTCTTATGGCAACCCCCCAAACCAAAACCCCCAGTTCTGGACGTGCCGCTAAGAGGCATCGTCCCGAACGAACAGTCATAGTCAAAGATAAGGAGGATGAAACATTTTCAAGATTTATGGTGATTCACTCTGAGGTCCCTGACAAACCTCTATCTAAGATATCACCGTTTCTGGTAGCGAAGGTTCTCGACAGTCAGATTGGTTGTGATTATAAAGCAAAGAAACTGCATTCTGGTGACCTCCTTGTTGAAGTTGCAAAAAAGTCTCAGAGTATTACTCTTCTAAAATTGACATCTCTAGGTGATATACAGGTAACAGTGAGCACACACAGAACCCTCAACACCATTCGAGGAGTGATTTCAGAAGATGATCTACTTTCCAGCAGTGAAGACGAGATCTTGGAAGGCCTGCGGGCATCTCAAGTAGTGGCGGTCAAACGCATTATGACGAGGCGTGATGGTGCAGAGGTGAAAACTAAGCACCTTATCCTGACGTTTGAATGTCACACGCTTCCTGCACTCGTCAAAGCTGGCTACCTGAACTGCCGTGTCAGACCGTACGTCCCGAACCCACAGCGATGCTTCCGTTGCCAGCGTTTTGGTAACGGATCGCGAAGCTGTCGGGGGAGGGAGACGTGTGCAAAGTGTGGGAGCCACGACCATGTGGCCGACATCTGTGAAGGTTCAGTTGCCTGCGCTAACTGCAAGGGTCCTCACCCTGCTTACTCTCGGTCCTGCCCGCTGTGGCGACAAGAAAAGGAAATACTTGCCTTACGAGCCAAAGAGAACTTATCGTACCCTGAAGCAAAACAAAGGTTTTCTTTCATTTCCAAAGGTACCTACTCCGATGCGGTGCGCAGGGGCCCTGCACCGCGTACGGAATCCAGGGCCACTCGGTTCTCTCTTGAGGACTTGGCAGGCCCCTTTCAGGCCCCGAAACAATCTGCGGGGAAGCAGGGTGCCCCAGGTAACGCTGGGAGCACACAGACTCCCCAGTCGATTCAGGCACGAGCTCCGGCTGACCGGCAGCCTCGTGCCAGTGGCTCTTCTCAAGATAGAGAGCGAGGTCGTCGTTCCAATTCCTCGGAGGCGGCCCGCCTTGTTACGGAGCAGCAGGGCCCACCTGCTGCTCCATCAACGTCAAAAGATGTTGAAAGCGTGAATGTGGGAGGGTCCCGGCCTGGTACGTCGAAGCCTTCTTCGGCGGGATCTGGCCGCGGCCGGAAACTCGTGGCTCAGGTCTCCGACCACGTCGGAACTGGCAAACCTGCATCCAAGGTTCAGGATGCAGTGGGAACTGTTGACATTGCCGACTCTTCAGGTCCCTCCTCGGATCAGGAGGACATGGAATGGCAAACCGCTAAATCAAAACAAAAAGGAAAAAAGCCGGTGGTTCCTCCTTAGGGTGTAGCAAATGTAGAACTGCTTTAATTCATTTATGGAATCTTTTATCCTTTAAAATGGGCTCTGTAATTCTTCAGTGGAACTGCCGAGGCTTATTCGCTAACCTTACAGATGTTGAGTTCCTTTTAGAAGAGTATAAGGCATCTGCCTTATGCTTGCAGGAAACACACTTGAATACATCTCATACTAACTTTCTGAGACGCTACAGTGTGTTTCGTAAAGACCGCCCTAGCACGTCCATTTCTTGTGGCGGCGTTGCGGTGGTACTTCCAAAACATATTCCGTGTGCAGAGGTTCCGCTTCAAACGCCACTCGAAGCTATCGCTGTTCGTCTCTTGTTGCATAAAGCCATAACTGTATGTTCAGTGTATTTTCCACCTTCTCTTTCTCTGAAGCGACAAGATCTCGGCTCTCTTTTAAGCCAGCTTCCAGAGCCCTTTCTTTTACTCGGTGATTTTAACGCACATAGTACCCTCTGGGGAAGTGATCATACAGATACACGTGGAAAGATAATCGAATCTATATTATTTTCACAGTCATTATGCATTTTTAATACTGGCCATCCTACATATTTTAGTCCTTCATCCTTGTCATCTACATGCATCGATCTTTCTATTGGCAGTGCCAATCTGCTACCCGATTTTTCATGGACTGTTGATCAGAATCCCCATGGAAGTGACCACTTCCCCATTATTTTAAAATGTAACGACACTCCGCAGTCCTCACCTACGCGCCATCCACGCTGGAAGTTTGAAAAAGCAGACTGGAGCCTTTTTAAGCAGTCGTCACTCCTTGCCTGTTCTCGCCTCGATCAGCTTTCGATTGATGAGCTGAGCCATCTTTTAACATCCCATATCCTCACTGCAGCGTCACTCTCAATCCCTCGGTCATCTGGACAGCTCCCTAGACGACCGAAGCCATGGTGGAATGAAGACTGTAAAGAGAGTCGCAAACAGCAAAACAAAGCTTGGAGTGTTCTAAGACGTTATCCAACTCGGGATAACCTGATATCTTTCCGAAAAATGAAAGCTCATGCTAGGTACATTCGTCGGAAAGCGAAACACGAGAGCTGGCAAAAATATGCGTCCTCTATCAATAGTAGTACTTCTTCCAAGGAAGTATGGGACAGGATTCATAAAGTAAATGGCTCATATCATGCTTTCACTATTCCACTTCTTTCCAGAAATGGGAAATGCCGAAGCAATCTTGAAGAGCAGGGCAACATCCTTGGCGAGCATTTTGAATTCATTTCCAGCTCGCAGCATTACTCGCCTGCTTTTCTGCAACATAAAAGGAAAGCTGAAAGTATGGTACTGAAAACATCCGGTGGTGAACGCGAAGCTTATAATGCCCCCTTTACTTTACACGAACTGAACATAGTGCTCCAAAACTCTAGGTCATCGGCTCCTGGTCCAGATGGTATTCATTATTATATGCTTCAACATCTCTATCCTTCCACACTTGATATTGTTTTATACCTTTTTAATCGTATTTGGTTTGAGGGCTACTTTCCATTGGACTGGAGAATGGCAACAATCGTACCCATACTCAAGCCCGGTAGGGATCCATCCTGTGCGGCTAGTTATAGGCCTATCGCTTTGACTAGCTGTTTTGGAAAGACTCTTGAACGAATAATTAATAGAAGATTGATGTATTTCCTTGAATTAAATAGACATCTAGATGTGAACCAGTGCGGCTATCGTTCGTCTCGGTCCACTCTTGACAATTTACAGTAAAACCTCGTTATAACAAAATGGGATATAACAAACTAATGGATATAACAAAGCAATCATAATTCCCCTTGCTTGCTAATAGGGAAGAAATGGACATTGGCTATAACAAACTAATGGTTATAACGAAATAATTACGATCGCTCCTTCAACTTTGTTATAACGAGGTTTGACTGTAGTAAGGCTGGAGACAGTCGTGCGTGAGGCCTTCGTTCATAGACAACATTGCCTATCTGTATTTTTTGACCTCGAAAAAGCCTACGATACAGCCTGGCGTTTTGGTACACTGAGGGACTTGTATGATATGGGTATCCGTGGTCGAATGCTTCGTACCATTGAGAGCTACCTCAGCAGGCGCACCTTTCGTGTTCAGATAGGAACAGCTTTATCTAAAGTGTTTGTCCAGGAAAATGGTGTTCCTCAGGGAGGCGTTCTTAGTGTCACTTTGTTTATTGTCAAAATTAACTCCCTTGCATTGGCTATCCCCCCATCGGTGCAATATTCACTCTACGTAGACGACCTTCAGATCTCTGTGTCGTCTTGCAATCTGTCACTGTGTGAGCGACGAATTCAGCTAACTATCAATAAGCTATCAACCTGGGCCGATCAAAATGGGTTTAAGTTTTCCTCAGATAAAACAGTTTGTGTATGCTTTTCTCGGAAACGTGGACTACTTCCAGAACCTGTTCTTACACTAAACAATTCCACAGTTTCTGTGAAGCCTGAGCACAAGTTTCTGGGTCTTACATTTGACAGCAAACTAACCTTTGGTGCCCATATTAAGAATCTAAGATTAAAAGCTCACAAATCACTTAATATTCTTAAAGTCCTGTCCCACCGATCTTGGGGTTCTGACCGGACGTGCCTTTTGAGGATATATCGCTCGATAGTGTGATCACGACTGGACTATGGCAGTATTGTTTACGGTTCAGCTAGGCCTTCCATTCTAAAAATGCTCGACCCTATTCATCATCTTGGGTTGCGATTGGCGACGGGTGCCTTTCGCACGTCTCCTGTGCCAAGTCTGTATGCAGAGGCCAACGAGCTGTCTCTTGAGAAGAGATGATTTTCCTTGGGCTTTATGTATTCCCTGAGAGTCAGGTCCATCTCTGATCACCCTGCGCGAATGGCCGTGGAAGACATGCGCTCTGAAAGGGTGTTTCAAAACAAAGCCACAATTGTGCCTCCCTTCTCTTTGAGATTGAAAAGGGCCAGTGAGAACATGGGACTCGATGGGAGGCCCCCAGTAGTGCAGTCTGCTGTTGCGGGAGCACCTTGGGAGCACTCTGTCATTAAGTGTGACCTTTCACTCACGCGATACAAGAAAGCTGACACTCCTAATGGTGTGTTTCTTCAGGAATTCTTAGCACTGCAAAGTCAGTATTCCGAATATGTAAGCTTCTACACAGATGGTACAAAGACGGAATCTGCTGCTGGGTGTTCCATGATTGGCCCAACAGTTCAACTTGTTAGGCGAATCAACTCCTCTGCTTCTATTTTTACTGCAGAGCTCTATGGTCTGCTTCTTACTATAGGCTTCATACTTGATAAAAAACTCTCTCGCTCCATCGTATACACTGACTCCCTCAGTGCATTGCATGCACTGTCTTCATTAACACCCCTCAAGCACTTCTGGCTCCTTGAACTGCGAAATAAGGTTGTTGCTGCCTCAAGACAAGGATACGAAATATGTTTTTGCTGGATTCCCAGCCATGTGTGCATTCCAGGAAATGAGGCCGCAGATCGTGCAGCAAGTACTTGCGTAAAGCAAACCGTTGACCTCCAGAACATTCCTTATGCAGACTACAAAGGCCTTCTCAGGCGTCGCATTAAGTGCAAATGGCAGGCTGAATGGGACCAAGAAATCAGCAACAAGTTGCACATGATCAAACCTCTTTTGAGCGAATGGCAGAGTGCACGGCACCAGGAACGCTTTTTTGAGGTTGTACTTTGCCGGCTCAGGATTGGTCACACTCATCTGACTCATGGCTACCTCCTTCGTGGGGAAGATGCCCCCACTTGTGAGCAGTGTGACAATGCCTTAAGCATTCTTCATATTCTAGTTGAATGTCCTGCTTATCATGAAGAACGGCTTTTGTATTTTTCACAACTGTATGAAGAACAAGTCCCACTACACCCAGCTCTGCTCTTAAGTGATGATTCACTTGTGACACATACTAATGTTTTCAAATTTTTAGATAGTATCGGCCTTCTACACCGATTGTAGCTTTCTTAATTTACAAATCATGCCCATCACCCTTTTACCTTTTGGTACCCCATTACCATCTTTTATCTGATCACTGGCTACGAAAGCCTCTTTTTTCTCTCCAAACCTTTTCCAGCAATAGTCCCGTTTTTGGCGCTCTATGGCCTTAGTAGCTTTTGCGCCATAAACACCAAATCAATCAACCAAATCAATCAAACTTCCCTGAATTGAATTAAGACAAGAGCGCATCATCTGATAAAAAAGCTCAGATTTGGAGCCTGAGACCGCCGTAATGTTGTGGAAGCAGACACACCAAAATGAAACCGAATCGAAGAAAGGCAACAACTTTTCACCTTCAATATTTCCATTCTGTGCTCCTCAATCTGGACATATTGCAAGCACTGTATGAGCTCCTGTTAGCCTAAAAATAAAAAAACTGTGCATTGATTAGTTGGTTGTGCTAAACGTTTAGAAACTAAATTAAACCAGTGAGTCACGTCTTTTTAAAAAAAAAACTCTACTCCAGATTGGTTAACAAGGTCTATATTAACAAAACATGAGTTTATATGCGAGCGTCCTGGCACTTCAGGACAACAAACAGTTTGCTTGTTTCATGTCCTTTATTTATGTTGTGATGTTTTTCTTGTTTTATTTAGAAACTGACAAGGCCATCCACTTTTGAACAACGGAACTCCGTGGTGCTTGCATTTGTAGACAATGATCTTCTTGGATTTGCAAAAAGAACACCCGACTATTCAGTAAGTGTTCAAATTATTGAATTTAGGCAGCTGCTATTTGGCATGTATTTGCCACATACAGTGATAGATCCATTTCCAGTGGGTCAGCTAGTATGGTTAAGCGAGTTGAAAAGGCAGCGGCAGGTGTTTAGAAAAGCTGACTCAGGTTTAAAATATAATCTGTTCACAATAGCCCATGCAGGTGTTTAGCCACCTTCCTTATTCATTTAAGACTGTTTTTGTATTTGTCTATTGATTTATACTAAGTGCAGATGAGCATTTCTATGGTGAAGGCTCGTCAGTTTACACCACGTTAGTCTGAATTTTTTTTATAAATCACACGAACTGCCCTGATCTGGCCATGCTGCGTACAAGTCCATGTATAGCGAAACTTGTTCATTTGCTCGCGAGTCAGCTCTGCCTCCGGTGATTCGAGCTGTGCACTATGCATATGCATTGGTATACATAGTATTCTGGTGATTTCAAGTCGCCGTGTTGGGTCAAAAATTGCTTCAGGTTTGGGTATTGTTTGCTAGCTTAAAGACAGCATTTGCATGATGTTTCAGAACAAATCTGTCATTACGGGCGGAACCAGTTGAACAATGAGGGAAGGGAAACAGAAAAGACAATCGACCGCTGGACTACCAACTATTTTAACAAATTGTCCTGTTCTTCTACTACCGTATTTACTCGAGTAATAGTCACACTATTTATGAACAAGGCCATTGCGTCTGCTTTACCGCAGAGCACATATACAGCCAATCATCGCGCTGCGCAAAAATAATGTAGCGAATAACTAGATCAAGAACATTATTCTCCATTCAAATGCTATCTTCATAGATGGTATCTTCACGCGAAGACGTTATTACTGTCCTGTAAACCGCTGGAATCATGCTGCCGATCGCGGTGATAGGCGAACCGCATACTCCGCGGAAAAGCGAACCCTCAGGTTTTCTTCCTAAACAGTGCGGCTATTACTCGAGTAAATACGGTAGTTCTTATGTGTACCCATTTTTTTCTTCTTTATCCTGAATTGTGTTGCCCCCTTCCTTCTATTTATACTGAGCTGTGAGGGTGCCCTGCAGGAAGAACTTCTCTTGAGGTTGCAGGGTTATTGAGGCGGAGCTCACACAGTTTTCTTGTTCGTTTTCTTTAGCCAAGGCCTCCAACATCTCTCTTGCAAGCTGGTTTTTATGGTGCCCTATGATGCGGGCTTGCTCAGGCTTTGCTTTGCATTTGCAAGTTCGACTATGGGCAGCGAGGAACCAGGACACCTTGCTGCCCATTGTCGAACTTGCAAATGCAAAGCAAATCTTGAGCAAGCCCACATCATAGGGCATCATAAAAACCAGCTTGCAAGAGAGATGTTGGAAGCCTTAGCTATAGAAAACTAAAAAAAAACTGTGTGAGCTCTGCCTCAATAACCCTGCAACCTCAAGAGAAGTTCTTCCTGCAGGGCACCCTCACAGCTCAGTATAAATAGAAGGAAGGGGGCAACACTATTCAGGATAAAGAAAAAAATGGGTATGCATAAGAACTAGTAGGAGAGGAGGACGATTTATTAAAATAGTTGGTAGTCCAGTGGTTAGTTGTCGTTTTTGTTTCTCCTTCCCTCATTGTTCAGCTGGTTCCACCTGTAATGTATAATAACCAGCTAGCTCAACTCACCCTGTAGTAAATGTGTCATGCTCTGTGTGTCCAGTGGCAGTGTGACATAGGCTTGTGCTGCTGACTCTTTGACAGCGCAACTTTGTTTTCTTGTACCTCCACAAGATGAGAGATGCATATGGAACTTTGTAAGTCGTTGTCAAGCGCATCGAATCCATGCCAAACAACAATGCGAAGATCTGCCCGATAGTGCAGATCTTCATATCGTTAGAGAAACGGTGATAGAGAAACGCATTGGCTTGAAATGGGAAAGGGGAAATCGGGTTTTTGTTATTGTTTTAGGCTAGGTGGCACAACCTATCGCCCGTCACAAAGGGTACAGCCGTTATCATCCATCCATCCATCCAGTGTTGCCTCAGAGCACACCTTTGTTGTGTAGAAACGCTATCATCATCATCCCACAGGGGACAGTTTTGGTTTTGCCCGAAAATCGAAAAATTTGTATTGTAACATAAATGTTGGGCAACGAAAAAAATTTTTTTTCTGCAAACATTATTTTTGAGACATGCCTGTCCTAACCGGGTAGAAAAAATATTCTCCTAGGTTCAGTGTTTTTTTAATGTTGCACGCCTCTCTTTCGGCTTTGAAGAGGACGAAGAAGACACCTTCCATCACATTTAAAGGGGCGGTGCAACAATTTGCGGACTTTGGCTAATTAATTGCGGGAATTGATCCCGACCACATATAAAACGAGGGACCGAAAACTATCCTTTCCTGCTTGCCCTAGTTTTCATTAAAAAAAAATAAAAGAAATTGGTATCTCTGGCACCCCTCAACTCAACATCGAAGCGGCACCAGCTTCGCCTGTGACGTCATTCGGAGTGGCGTAGGTTTCCGGTTGGGTTCTTCTGGCTTCCGTTTCCCCAGCGCTCGCCAGGCTCGCCGCTCTCCCGCTCTCCCGCCGATTCCCGACCAACATGGCGGCATGGGCGGACGGCCTGAGCAACGTCGAGCGCAAGATGCTTGCGATGCGGCGGGCAGTCAAAGTCGAAGTCGAGGTCGAGACACCAGGAACAATAACGATACCACGATACTACGGACCACGACCAACGGACTCCGTCGAGCGAGGGAAAGACAAAATGTCCGGGTTGCTCGTGTAGCCGCCGTAGGCGCCTCGGGGGTCGACGGATCAGAGCCGTATATTGCGACGGATGACCGGATGATGGCGACGGCAGGTTTTGTTGACTTGCGGTAGATGGCGCCACAAATAACTCATACCCTTTTAGCAGCAATATTAGGCTTTTGAAGCGTTTCTGCATGCCTAAACAACAAGATTTTTTAAACTTAACCTTAAATCAAGCTTAAAATTGCCTAACACTATCACTTACAAAAACCACTCCGAATGACGTCACACCACAGGTTCCATTTGCGGCCACCATGTGGCCACAGGTTGGGAAAAAAAGTGTTTTTTATTTTACGATTACGCAGCGAAATAGGGGTATTTTGGGTTAGGGTGGCACTTTTTCTCTTACTTATGCCGAAGTAAACAATATAAAAAATACAAGCTGCATATTCGTTCAGTGTTAAAATCATTGCACCGCCCCTTTAAGCACTGGAGCAAGAACTGATGACCATTACTTTCCAGAAAAGAAAGCAGGAGCTGATTGCAGATTATTTTATTTTTTTATGTGAGGAAACATGATTGTGATTTAAGACAGGGACAGAGCAAGAAGAGGTGCCACAGAGCACTTTGTGGTCTCAATTCTTCCTCTGTTCTTGTCTTAAAGGGGTAGGAAACGAAATTCCAGCATTCATTTTCTTGCCTGAATGTGTTGCATGTTGCACCCTAACCTCAAAAACATCAGTCTTCCGTTGAAGGACGCAAGAAAACAAATTTTAAAGCTAAATAAACGATCTTTTAATGTGCACCTGGTGGATGCATGCGGAGCCTATTTGGGAGGTAATCTAGCAACGTTGGGGAACCTGCTATGTAGTCGTGGCTTAGCAGATTCCTTCGGAGCAGCACCACCCTTTGGAATTTCAACATTTTCCTTCTTGGCTTTCCGCCTCGCTCAACTCACAAATCGCACATTGTACCAAACGGTCCAAGAAGATGGAAAGGAGGAACTCCCCTCTTTCTCGGACCCTCATTCGTGCAACCGAAAACAGCCATTCTCCCCCTAGGAGATTAGCCCGTCGCTCAAAACTCGAACAAAAGTTGCTTTCCCCGCCCCGTTCAGCCCTAAGCTGACAGTGTTGTGGAAGCTACGCGTTCCTTGGGCCAGCCACGCGCTCGTCACCCCACGGGTACTTCCAACGGCTCGGTTGTAACGCGCTGACGCTATTGACACCACCACAACGCTGACAACGCCACCAGGGGCAAAGCTCATAACCACGCCTGCCTTGCTACTCCACGAACGCGGGAAATCTTTTCTTTCTGTTTTTGTTTGCGCCGGATATCCCATGGCGCATCACGCCCTCCGTTCGCTTCTCTTCGAGCGCTTGCTCGAGTGCACCGTTTGGAACGAAAAATATAGCCAGTCGTTCAAAATACAAACGTGCGATTATCATTTACGGTTATTATCCGTCATGCTTGACTCATTTCCGAACGAAATTTGAATATTTCAATTTTTGTTTCCATACCCCTTTAAAGGAGAATCATATTTTCTCACAAACAATACGAACTCAGGAGATTATTTTTGACTGGTGGAAGTTTGCATTCATTCCCAGTACTTCCCAGTGCCGAATATGCCATTTTTTATGACTCTCGTTAGTTCGAACTTTGAATAATTCCAACTTTTCTTGCTTGAAATTCAGATTATATAGCTTTTGCTGTATGAAGCATGGAAAGCTGCCATGTAGAATTCACAAAATGTTTCGCTGCTTGCTATCGTTGGCTGTGGCCCAAGACGAGCATCTATTTTATCTCTCCACCAAATCTATGCATTAGTGCACTGTGTTTGTCTTTGAAGTGGTGGACTTCTGGGCTAGATATTGATTGATTGACATAGTGAAAACAGCACAAATAGATGAGAGAAACTCCAAGAGAACCAAAAAGAAAAGGGCTGAATGAAGGAAGAATGTACCGTAAAACAAAGGATTGCTGGTTCTTTGTTTGGCATGGGGTTCTCTTTCATTTGTTCCGTCTGTCTGCATTCTTTTCATTATGTTGATCAGATTTGTCTATGGAACAATTTTTATTATGTCTCTCTTCCCAGAATCGCATCCTGCACATGATCAAATCTGCAAACTCTGGCCTGCAGCAGAGCTTCACGAGGTTTCTGAACGCTCTGGCTTCTTTCAGCCAAGGTAATGCGGAACATGTGCATGCGTTTGGGGTCTGCGGCGGTACCAATCCTGTCTAAGAAGGCGTGCATTCTTACTTACGACCACTTCTTCAGACTCCATCTGAGAGCGTGCTCCTGGCTTAGGTAGTCTGGGCAGCGCTCAAACTCGGCCTTTGTAATAGCCGTCGGTACACAGCCAGCTCCGTGCTTGGGTGTCAGGTGCGGTGTATTGACCGTACATGCATTTAGTCCACATTCAGCTTGTGAACGGAGCCACTCGAAATCCTTTTTCCCAAGCTTGTTTTGTATATACAGTAAAACCTCATTATAATAAAATGGGATATAACAAACTAATGGATATAACAAAGCAATCATAATTCTCTTCCTTGCTAATAGTGGGAAGAAATGGACAGTGGCTATAACAAACTAATGTTTATAACGAAATAATTACGACCGCTCCTTCAACTTTGTTATAACGAGGTTTTTACTGTAACTAAGTTTTTATGTTTTCTGGGTTTCTTTCTTTTTTTAGAATGTGGGGGCATGTTTTTTGGGAAGGTTTATCTTTTCCCACAGAATCGGCGTTGTTCTATGTCAGCAGACCCTTTTTGGTATTCGGTGCCATCTGGTGGCTCAAACAGCAGTTTCCCTTTTACCATACTAATGGCGGTAATCGACCTGGCAAAGTCTGTAGTACTTTGCCAGGCACCATCACTTTCAAAACTCAGTCGCAGTCAAGAATATCTGTTTTTACAGTTCCAATTATTTCTGTATCTCTCTGTTTAGATGGTAAACAATTATATATAACCAGTAAGGACGGAGCACTGACCCACTTTAAAGTAGACCTGTGCGCTGTTTAGAAATCGCTGGCGGCGGCGTGCCAGTGTTCGCACCTCCGGCGGCGGCGTGGGAACGGCGCGGAGGTCAACAGATCGGCGGCGGTGTGGCACGGAAGAGGGAGGGTGGGGTGTAAATTAGAGAGTGAGTGAGGGGGAGAGAGAAAGGAGTTGTTTTAATTTAAAAAACAAAATGCAAAAACCATTGTAAGGGGCTGACCTTTTTTTTTTTCTGGAGGGCTACATCGCCTCCACTGTGAAGACTTTGTCTGTTGGAAGAATCAGGTACTCCTGCTTCCTAGTCATTCTTTTTACCTCTACATTTATTCATATATTTACGGAAGTAAAAAATTGAAAGACTTTTACAAACCTCTGTAATGTGAAATAAGAACGCAGCTCTTGAGGTATTTTAATTTTGTGATTTACAGTGACAGGAGGGTACACAGGAAGAGGAGGAGGGGAGGGTCCTCCATACCCTCCCCTCCTCGTTCTCCTCCTCCTCCTCCATAACCTCCCCTCCTCCCACAGCTTCCCCGCTAAATTTAGCTGGAAAATTGGCGTCACGTGACCTCAACACGAATTCAATCCCCCCTAAATTTAGTGGGGAAACTGAATTGTTCTTAAGGTCATGTGACGTCAGTTTTACCGCTAGATTTAGTGGGGAAACTGAATTTGTTCATAGGTGACATGACACAAAGTCATGTGACGTCATTCTCCCCGCTGAATTTCGCGGGGAATTGAATTGGTGTATAGGTCTGTGACGTCCCATAATACAATGCACGCGTTTACACTGATGGCGACGCCACGAAACACTGGAACGAGCGCCTAAGCTGCAAATGAAAGAGATAAAGTGTACAGACACACCGATATATTTCTTTATTTATTGATAATTTAGTAGGTCAGACTCATATAAAAGCAGAAGAAAAAAAAAACGTCAATACTATGCATGCATAAACCCTCCCCCCTCCCCCCCAAAAAAAAAACAAAGATAAAAAAAATGACCGCATCTCCACGTGGTGAATGATGTTGATTGGGGCGAAGCTCTGATGGTGCGAGCTCTCAACTCCGGATCCGCTTGGCGTTTTTGATGCTTTGCAGCAGCTTCTCGCGCCCTGTTCTCCGGAGCAGCTTGCTGTCTGCGTAGACGCTGAGCCACAGCATGCCGAGCTTTTCGTTCGTTTTCATTCATGTTTGAAAGAGAATGTGTGGTATGGAACGTGGTTACATATGCAATTGAGCATTTGACCGCAGCGCCCTCTCGTCTGCAAACCTTGAGCCAATGCATGCAAAGTTTAACGCGATTATATAGGCATTTGACCGCAGCGCCCTCTCCTGTATAGACGTTGAGCGGCTACATGCAACGTTTCATCCATGACGTCCCCAGCTCTTTAGTTACTACCACGTCTTAGAGCCCCCTACTCGTCCCGCAGACGTGGCCGAGTGGTTAAGGCAATGGACTAGAAATCCATTGGGGTCTCCCCGCTCAGGTTCGAATCCTGTTGACTGCGCAAACATTTTTTTCTTTTTTTAAGAAGACAGATGGGATGGCAATCGATGTGAGCTTGGATGCCGGACAAGGCTAGACCCTAAGGAGCTTCGCCCCTAAAAAATAATTAGCGATGTCGGCAGCGCGTCGCATTTATTGCGCGGCGGCGGCGGTGCTGCTGTCTCTGGGAACTTCGGCGGCAGCGCACAGTGGCAAGGGCAAAACAGGCAGCGACGCGGCACGGCGGCGCACAGGTCTACTATGAAGCAGTGTTAAAATCGTATACATCATGGGGCTGTAAATCTGATTATGTGCCACCAACAGATCGACTGTACCTGAGTTAAAAAAAAAAAAAGCTTACACAGCTCTTGTATTTAATTCCTGCGCTGCATCATACTAACGTCTCAAATGAATAGGCCTCACATCATCCACTTCCGAGCATCTTAAACCTCTTCCATCATCAGTAACCACAAAGCCGCTGTTAGTACGACACATACGCCATTCCTCAGATGATGATAATGATCAAAGTGGCCAGACTGAATTTTGGGATGGGTCTATTCTCAGTGTTAGACTCAAAATGGGCATTTATCTGAGTTTATGTAGAAGAAAGCGTGACACAGGCAGCTCTCCCACTCCCCCATCTGGAAAAATTTCCACTGAGCAGAACTTAACCACACCCCCACCTGCTAAGAGGAAAGTATGAGGTGACCAAATCCAGTGGCTCGTCTCGGCTTGACCCGGCTCTTGGTGGCCCCCAGGGCGCAGCTACCTGTCGAGGAATCTGCAGCTGGTGGCCACCCTGATTGACTGCTTGCTGTCGGACCGACTGCTGGAGCCCAAGTGCCAGGACATGATCCTTGGCATCCTGCAGAAGCTCAGCCTCAGGTGAGCCTGGCCCGACGTGCGGCGGAGGCATAGGCTTACATCCTTGGAGCAATATCAAATTTTCATCAAAGGTGTGTTTTAGTGGTGCATTCGACCATGTGAATTTTTAGAGAGTCACTTCCTTCCTGTGAAAAAAAGGGTTTGTTTTCGCCCAAGATGTAAAAGCAATAGCTGTAGCACGTTTGCGCAACTCGGGATCCTCACGTCGCCATGTACACGTCGCTCGGCACGGGCAAGCTCCCGTTGGTGCTCAGTGTGAGTGCGAAGCCGGACGCAAGTCGTGCAAGCCAGCCGTTCTCTCTGCGCTCGCTCCTGGAATGGAGTGCGGCCTTGGTACGGCAGCGCCAATAAGAATGTGGCAGGGACGACGCAAGTGAAGGTGCAGGATTTTCATGTGTTGTTGAGGGTGAAGTGGGGGGTGGGGTGGTAATGTTGACGTTTATCGATGAGTGGAAAGGGGGACGCATGGGCAGACAAACAAGGCAAAGCTCTGCGGGGAAGGCGGGTGCGAGGCAACGAGTTTTGGCAGAAGATATTTTAAGTTTCGTGTTGGGTTCAAAAAGAAGAGATGAAATAGTTAAATCAAACGAAATGAAAATTTCTAAAACCCTGCAGCATTACGCGTAGCAACTGGATTCTGCCCGAGTGGGATTTGATAGAACGTGAGTAATGTTTGAAAACCTGTCTTGAAGTCATCGCTAGCAGACATCAGGGGACGACAGACGATAGACGGCTAATGCTTCTTTGTCGTCGCACCGTTACTGGCGGGTTGTCGGGGCTCTCCTCTCTTCCCTCTTTGTGTGGTGCGGCCAGTGGGAAAACCTGTCCTCTCTCTTTCCGTGCCTTGAGGGGAGAGAAGAAGAGTTCTTTCACCTCCACGGCAATGATAAACAGCCACAAATGCCAACACCGAAATTCCTGCAAACTGTTACCCGCAAAGCTAAAATGAGACCAACACCCTTGCCACAGTCAGCAGCGGACGATGACGCAGACACTGGAGTAACAAAGGTTGTGCTTGCGTCGCTATCTCCCGAGAGGCACAGCAAACAGACAACGTTGTCATCTGCTCTCAACTGAGTGTGTCGTCTGCTCGCTGCTCCTGTCGGGAGATGGCTCTACAAGCATAACTTTCACTAAATCGGTAGTCTCCACTGTCATCTGCCTTTGATCATGGCAAAGGTTTTGGTTTCATTTGTTACAGGAAGGGAGCTACACCTTGAAATTTCACGAGGTAAATACACTTTTGACAAAAATTTAAAACTGCTACGTACAGTGCTAATCACATTTGTCAATAGCGCAGCAGTGCGCGGCTTTTTCTGGCGAGCGCTAGACTAGTGGGATTCGCGGCAACTAATCTGGTCGCGTGGGCAACGGGAAACGGTCCACTCAAGGGGTGTCCTCTCTAACCTTTTCTTCAGGTGCCACCGAACGTGGGAGATTACTCTTACACTTCGCTCCTGCTTTGGTTTGCATATCAGCTGCAATCTATCGTGCGCATATCAAAAGCTCGCTTTTTCCTGCATGTTTGTTTTCTTGATGCTTACGTTAATGATAAGCTCTCGTGCTTTATTTTTGTTTTCTATTGCTACGGCTATCTGGTATTTACGAAGAGCATGCAAGCAGCCTTCCACACATTCAGCAGCAGCCCACATCGAGTTCAACCGAACCGTTCCATGTTACCCATGTGACTAGACTAGTTGCCATGAAGGCCACCAGTCTAGCGCTCGCCATAAGAAGCCGCGCGCTCTCGCGTTATAGACAAGGGTGGTTAGCACTGTACACAGCACGACACTGTGAGTGAAAACAAACAACCACCGTTAAATTTCTTGTTTTTTTTTTATTGTTTCTTTTTTTTATTGAGCAGCTACAATAAAAAGTAGTGTGGCAGAACTATAAATTTTGAAGCTCACCAATACTTTGTTTGAATAGAGTCTAGAAAAGCACCGATGTCGTGTTTGCGCGCTAAGAGTGTCGCACAATTGACAGGGGCCGATTTTTCCGGACGATTTCAGAGCGAGCCTAAGCATTGTATAAATTAGCCCCATCCGAAAGTCAAGTGAGCACAAATGGACCAGTTGAATGAAACAGAACAGTTTTTGAAAGAAGCCTGGCATGCTGATTCGTCATCGGACGTGCAGGCGAGCCCAGAAGGAGGTGATGATCAGCCAGGGAATCATGGAGTGGATCGTCTGGACGCTCAACAATGACCGCAGGATCTCCCAGTACGGCCTGGAGTATGCCGTAGCCCTCTTCATGAACCTCTGCCTTCAAGCGTCAGGTACAGTCGGTGAACCTAGGTTGGAATTTCAATCCTCTGCCATGTCACTGGATCTCAAACCTTGCAAATTCATTCATTCTTGTTTCACAACTTCGATCAAGATTTTGAACCTGCCACAGGTTCAGAGCACTCCATCAGTCATATAACCAAGTGGCAAACCCAGGCCCAGGCAAGCTCAGGCTGACTAATTCGGTCATCATTATAGTCGAGCCTGATTATATCGAACCCGGGTGTTTAAAATTATTGTCTATTTTGAACAGTCAAGACATCCCCTCGAAAATTCCATCTAGAAGTGTGGGAGCCTTGTGCATCTGTATCTGGTAGGTGGGCTTACCCCAACCACTGTTGTTGCTGCTCCCGTGATTGGTATGCAGACGCTGAGGCTGTGCAAGGGAAATCATAGCGCGCACCAAACATTTGTCTAGCTTCAGCTATAGTGTTCTAGAAGGGGTGTAGTGGCAAATGCGGCGCACTCTTTGTGAAGCCTTCGAAGCGGATGCCGCTGTGTGGCACTGGGGTAGTTTCCCCGAGCACTAGCGCTGGCAAGATGGGGCATTGGCTACCTACTTGCGGTCCTATCTCGTGATGTTTTTATCACAGCAGATCATTTTATCAGCTCTGCAGTCGTCAGACTAATCGAAAAAGTGTTTCAGATGCTTGGAGGGTGTCATGCGGGGGCGATGTGCTTCTTAGAGTTCAACACGACACAAGTGGCAAGCCGGACAGGACAGAGCGTTGACTCGCAACTAAAGCTTCTTTACTCAAAGAAAAAGAGAAAGAAAAACACACATTGCTCCACGCTTGGTAGCTGACTACTGCACGCGCTCAGCTACCATGGGTGAAAGGTGCGCGTGCGATTGCTTGGAGCAATGTGTGTTTTTCTTTCGGTTTTTCTTTGAGTGAAGAAGCTTTCGTTGCGAGTTAGCGCTGTGTCCGGTCCGGTTTGTCTCTTCCTTTTGTATCTTAATGCGCTGTTTTATTCCATTATGTACAACGATTACCAACTAGCCCAGCTATCAACCTTATTTCAAGTGGCTAGCCTGAAACACTACACGGCTATGCCGCTACAACAAAAATAAACTATAGCTGAATGCTCAGTCAGCTCAATTTCCACCGAATGTAGCTGTAGGGGTTTAGATCAGATGCCAAGTTTCAGAACTGGGCGATATAAGAGTTATAAGCAGTCGTGTCACGGGTCACCAGCACCCAAGACAGTGGTGCACCCCCCCCCCCCGCCCTCTCGTTTCAAGCAGCGAAGCTTGAAACGAGAAAGCGGGGAGGGGGGGCGACACTACCCCCTTTCACTCTTTCACTGCCCAGCCGCGCCACCCTGAGTGCCGCACCCGGGGCAATCCCCCCACCCTTTCCTAGTGACGCCACTTGTTATGAGTATAATGTCCTTAATGTTTCAATAAAAGTATGGCCCATTCCTAAACTCCGTTGACTCCGTCTCAGCCAATCTAGCACTGTGATTGTATCATAACTAAGCGCGCCACTGCACCCATCCCAAAGGTCACATGACACTCACGCGGCATTGGATTGGGTGAGATGGCTCATAGCATCCGCTGCAGTCCCTTGTAAGGTAAAACGTAGCATAGTAGCAGACGCTAGTCACGTCCAGGCATTCCCAATCCGCTCCTGAAGCATATACGCTCGTTATGAAATCGGATTCCCAACGGCTAGCTTTACATTCCGGTGTAGATTAAGGTTGCTATTTCTTTTCAGTTTACGGAGAGGGAAACAGCGCCAAAAGTATGAAGGACAAAGAACGAGGAACACACAGATCGAGGGCTGACTGACAACTGGTTTATTTCTGGAAACCACCTACCGGCATAAAAACACACAGAGACAAACATACATTGGACCATCGCCTAAGGGCACGTGTCACAGCTCTTAAAGAGCATGATTTCCTCATCGAAGAGCGCAATCTGCCAGGAGCTCGGACGGCTGCTAGCACGAGAGGAAGTAAACCGACGCAGCCGTTTTCTCCTCCAGTTGTCGACCTCAGCACCATGTGCCGCTGTCCACTTTTTTTGGTGCAGTGCCTTCCATTGGCACTGGCCTCGCTTTTGTCACAACTCCCCCTTCTAGAACACTGTACTTCAGTCACATGCAGCGAAGGGGCAAGGAAGTAGAGGAGAAAAAAAAGACGCTCCACCTTGACTGCTTCGTACCCCAACGAAAAATTAATCCTTTAAAGGGGTACGGAAACAAAAATTTAAATATTCAGATTTCGTTCGGGAATGGGGGAGTCAAGCATGACGGATAATAACCGTAAATGATAATCGCACGTTTGTATTTTGAACGACTGGCTATATTTTTCGTTCCAAGCGGTGCATTCGAGCAAGCGTTCAAAGAGAAGCGAACGGACAGTAAGATGCGTCATGGGATATCCGGTGCAAACAAAAACAGAAAAAAAAGAGTCCCCGCATTCGTGACCTATCAAGGCAGGCGTGGTTATGAGCTTTGCCCTTAGTGGCGTTGTCAGCGTTGTGGTGGGGTCAGTAGCGTCAGCGCGTTACAACCGCACCGTTCGAAGTACCCGTGGGGTGACGAGCGTGTGGCTGGCCCAAGGAGCACATAGCTTCCACAAAACTGTCAGCTTAGGGCTGAACGGGGTGGGGAAAGCAACTTTTGTTCGAGTTTTGAGCGACGGGCTAATCTTCTAGGGGGAGAATGGCTGTGTCCGATTGCACGAACGAGGGTCCGAGAAAGAGGGGAGTCCTTCCTTTCCGTCTTCTTGGACCGTTTGGTACAGTGCGCAATTTGTGAGTTGAGGAGGAAAGCTAAGAGGGAAAATGTTGAAATGCCAAAAAGCGGCGCTGCTCCGAAGGAATCTGCTACGTCACGACTACGTAGCAGATTCCACAACGTAGCTATACTACCTCCCAAATAGGCTCCGCATGCATCCACCAGGTGCACATTGAAAGATTGCTTATTTAGCTTTAAAATTAGCTTTCTTGTGCCTTTCAACGGAAGACTGGTGTTTTTGAGGTTAGGGTGCAACATGCAACCCATTCAAGCTAGATAATGAGCGCTGGAATTTTGTTTCCCTACCCCTTTAATTGGTGTAACGTGTCGTGTCACTACAGCTGTGCAGTCGTGCTTCGAACACCTTGTTTCTCTTTTTCTTTTACCGCTTTTGTTTTATTTTATGTGAGTTTCTTTTTTTTTTTTTTTGCTCTTGTTTGTTTTTTAATAATAGATGAAGAGAGCTGCTTTTTTGGGGGGAGGGGGGGTTTTGGGGCTTGTGCTGTTGAGGTTGTGGCCACGTGCACGCCTAACCGCAAGAAAATGTATGTGCAAGTGTTGCCACTTGCGGTTCACGTCAACTACGGTTCTACTCTATTTAGTGTTTCTTCTATGTTCAAATCGGTATGCTGGATTTCTAGGAGGGGGGGGGGGTGGGCTGAAGCTCTATAAGCTCTTCCTGGCTACGCCACTGTTAGTGAGGTCAATATGTATGTATTACAAACTGTAGCAGGGGTGGAAGTGCTGTGCCAATTGTGCCACTGTGTGCCAATCCACTTTCGCTGCGCCCTCCTGCTCCTAAGCGTTCTGCCAAAACTAGCCTGCTCCTAAGTTCTGCCGAAAATAGCCGAAACTTTTCTTTTTTTTAAGCTATAATAATTGGATTGCTCTTTTTTACTAGCCACAGTGGTTTACCATGTCGTGCTCATTAAGATAATTCTGAACCAATGTTATGGGACCACCATACCAATGTAGTCGTGTTAGCATCATAGGAGGTGGCTTTCAATTGATGAAAACAGGCAGGTGCCAAGTGCTTATTTTCATGTAACAAAAATTATCATGATTTATTCCAGACACAATAATGTTTTGTTTCATGATCTCATGTTGAAGAGCCATCAAGCGCCAGCAGCACGAGGGAGAATCGCAGGAGTTGGTTGTTTAAGTCTCCTGTTTCGAACGCGAGGAAAAGTAAATGTGTTTTTAGTTCAGAAACATACCGTATTTGGACGAGTATAAACAGCACACAATAATAAAAGTCGCATGTTTATTTTTTGTTCCCCGTGCCAGTCCGTTTAAAGCACTTGTTTGGCTCAAATGGCTCATTTTTTTTTTTCACAGTGGCATAGAGTTTGGTTGCATGTACACAAAATACCACGAGCATTAAATCGCGTAAAATCTCGTATGAATGCCCGCCCCCAAAAAATCGTCCACCCCGTTTTTTGGGCTGAATGTTCATAGCATAAAAATTCAAAATCATTGACGCCCCCCCCCCCCCTTGGATACCCCCAGATATCGATGACACAATGTCGGACTAGAATCGTATCAACTGCGCGATCTGCGTTATTGGTACGTGTGACAAGCGTGCTCGCTGCAGGTTCCCTCGTGCTTATCGCACTGTGACACATGCATCTGCAACGTCCCCTCCCTGCGGTATTCGCTCCCGTGACATAAAATTTCCAGTTTGTTTCGCATTGTTTTTTTTTTTTTTGTTTTTTGGTACACCATTGGGCGCGCGCAATATCTATTAGTAGCAAGTTATGTGCTGTGTCCATGTTTTTCTGCCGTACCCGTGACGGGGGAGTTTATGGAAAATTCCCCCGCACTTATCGCACCCTGGAACGCGAATTCGCTGTGTCTGCGATCTGTGGTGTCATTAATGAAATGACAGTCGATGTGCAGGCGAGTTGGTGATAGTTAACTATGATGTTTAAAACCCGAGACTATGGTGAGGGAAAAAAATAGTCAACTTTGAAGTCAAAAAGTTCTCCTGTCAAGAACTGGTAATCCCCCCCCCGCCGTGTTTATCACCAATTTTGTGTAAAATCTTGCTGTCGCATCCCCGTATATTTTCCACTATTTTTCTTTTCATTTTGGGTGGGCGTTCTTTCAGGACCTTACAGTATATAAACATACCTAAGAGACTGCTGGCATGTGTTCACCCATCATTTAATCTCTAAGGAAAGCTATAACTACTCTAAAAATTTAAACAAATATGTGGCAGAATTTTTCTTGTGTGTGTTAAGTGTGTTCGTTTTTGCTGGAGACCATTTTTGCTCTCCTCATTCATGTCGTAAACGTAACAATGAAAGCGATAGTTGTTGCCTCATCTGTGGCATTTTTGTAAATGATGTACATGGTGAATACACACACTGGCACATGTTATCGTCCGCCGAACACAAACCCCAGCGAATTTCATGATGCCATGTATAGTTGTCTGGGGCACTTAACGGAAGCTTACCCAAACGACCACATAATATTAGCAGGCGACTTCAATTTTCCTGGTGTAGACTGGGCGACGCTTAGTCCCTCATTTCAGTGTGCAAATCCGGGTCACTGCAATGATTTTCTTGCCTTGGCTGACTGTTTCGGGCTGCACGAACTAGTTACCACCCCTACCCGAGGGAACGCGGTCTTACACCTATTTTTTGTTAACAAACCTGACCAAATAAGCACAATAAACGTCCTAGATTTCATCAGTGATCATGCGATTATTCACGTTGAAACTACCTTTACCTCCGAAAACCGAGCAAACAATCGCAAGACAATATTTAACTACGCTCGGGCAAATATGGAAGTTATGAATATCTCGCTAAACATATTTTTAGAAGAATTTTTGCCTCATTATCATGATCGCTCCGTCGAAGAAAATTGGACCCCATTCAAACGGGAAATTGGGAATTTTTTATGTCAACCGACATTCCTAAAATCAATATCGCATCCAACCATCTCTCACCCTGGTTCACAAATTCCCTCAAACGTATGTTGAACAAAAAGAAGAGGTTGTTTCAAAAAGCAAAAAGAACTAACAGAGACGATGATTGGCTCGCACATAGTCTTTGGTCAAAAAATATAAAAAAAGGAAATTATAAAGGCAAAAAAGGAGTTTTTCGGAGTCAAACTGACACATATGTTAAGAAACGATCCTCGTAAGTTCTGGAAAGTATTAAATCCTAGTGAAACTCGAAGCAATTTGTTGTTCACAAACCAAGAGGGTGACTACCTGTCTGATAGCGATGCGGGTCATATGCTGAATAGCTTTCTCTCGACGGTTACTCAAGAATCATTCTCGCTTCCTTCGCCACCGGAGTCTCAATTTGCACCCATGTCTCCCATTTTATTCACAAGTAACGGCATTGCTAAATTTATTGATAAACTACCGTCTCACTGCGCCGCCGGCGATGATGCCATATCTTCAAAGATTCTAAAAATGTTAAACCACTCGGCCTCTGTTCTTTTATCTCTGCTATTTCAGCAAAGTCTCGATACTGGCACTGTTCCAACTGACTGGGGTTTCGCTATCGTCAAACCAATCTTCAAATCTGGCATCAAATCTGACCCTTCCAATTATCGGCCTATCTCCCTCACTAGCGTTTCGTGCAAGATCATGGAACACGTCATTTTTACAGCTATTATGTCCCACCTCGACGACAATGGCTTCCCTTTTTCAAATCAGCACGGCTTTAGACAAAATCACTCATGCAATACTCAACTATTTGAATTCATCACAGATTTGGACTTTAACACTCATGCTGACACCCAGACTGATGTTATCTTCATCGACTTTGCAAAGGCTTTTGATACAGTTCCCCATTGTCGCCTACTTTTAAAATTGTCCCATCTTCAAATAGACCCATCTATCGTAGAATGGATTGCAGCGTTTTTGCGTGGTAGAACCCAATCAGTAAAGTTAAACGATACCCTTTCCTCAAAACTTCCTGTGACATCGGGCGTTCCTCAGGGTAGTGTAATTGGTCCCCTCTTGTTTTTAATTTATATCAATGGTCTTCCATCCACCTTATCATCAACAATCAGGTTGTTTGCAGACCATTGTGTTTTATATAGAAAAATAAGTAGTCCAAATGACAGTTGTGCTCTGCAAATTGACCTTGACAAAATTAGTAATTGGTGCTTAAAATGGCAGCTTAACATTAACATCAAAAAATGCGGGCTAATGAGAGTTACCAATAAAACTAATGTGATATTGACCCAGTACAGCCTCCTCTCTCTCGAACTAGAAGTTGCCGCGTCGTATAAATATCTAGGTGTCCATTTCACATCCAGCTTAACTTGGAACGAGCACATTAATCACATCATATTAAGCGCATCTAGAAAACTCGGTTTTCTAAGGCATACGCTGTACCAGGCATTCCAAGAGACACACCTGCTTGCCTATAAAACTATATTTTTATAACTATATGCTCCACCTCTTTGCCCTGTCATCATTGTTACCAAGTGGAGAGAGTTACCGACCATTACAAAAGAATGAGGTCACTACGATCATGCATGGTAATTAGCCAATAATGTGGACCCACAGGAAACATGTTACTTCACAAGTATATGTATAATTGGGAGTGCACTGTACAGAGGGAGGTACTATGTATAACCTAGCTTTTAGCTACTTAGCCAATGTAGAATGCTACCTCTCTCTTTGTTTGCTATTGTTAGTCCTCTAGATTAGATAGGGTAAAAGCTGTTGCGGTGAGATTTCAATATATTATATACTGTACATAACTTAGATTTTGCAGAGGCTTATAATTTACTTGACTTTTCTCTTTGGCCAATCATTGAAATTGGGTTTTCTTGCAATAAAAGGTTTTCGTTGCTTCTTTTTTCTTCCAGGAGTGGAGCGCTGCTTCAAGATGTATGGCTCTCTCTTGGAAATGGTCAAGAGACTTCTCTGCCATGATAACAAGGAGGTGAGGGTTTTAGCTCTCTCTGAAAGTACTGACACATGGGAGTACAGTTGTATGCAGTGTCGTTCGAGGCAAACTATATGCCAAAATGCTCTCCATGCTAGCTTCTGCAGAATTTTATCAAACTACAGGTGTTGTGTGTCAATGCTGTTCTAAAACTACATGCCTCTTTCTCGAAACTAGGAGTTGTAACTCGGTGTCCAGCACATTTTCATATCATTGTTGAAGTCAGATGGAAATATTTTTCACTTCGAAATATTGGCAATTAATAACATAGTAATTTATTTTACCTTCAAACTCAGTTATAGTAGCTCATATCGGATGTTAGACAAGGTATTTTATGTATTCTATGTTAACAATAACACACTAAAAATTTCTTCCAGTTTTCAGTTAGTCATACTGAAGATAGCTGTCACAATAGGCTGTCGGCTTTAGTTTGTTGCTCATAATGCGGCATATTTTTATAGCCTTCAATTTGGCTGGAAATTCGCGGACCGCATCAGTGGCCCTTTTTTAACTGATAGCCAAAATATCTTATAAAAATTTTAAAAATTTTGTGGAGTTATTGAGTGTTTTAAACTATGCCGGTCGCGAAAGTTCCAGCTCCACTGACCACAATGAAAAATTCCTACTTTTCCCTATCTGTGTATGCCAATGGCGGGAAGGCGGACGAGCGATCCGGGAAGTCGCGAAGCTGCTTTCCATGTTGCCAGCGATCGAGCTCTGCAATGAGCGGCAATCTGTGCTCTGCAGTAGATTGCATATGAACAATGCCGGAAAAAGCTTCTTTTAATGCGTTAGCATTAGTGCCCTAGTACATACGCTGACCTTGGACTGGCTTGCTTGGACTAACCAAAACCTGCAACGTCACCACGGGATGGCGCCATAGCCGCACTGGCTGTGGAAACTGGCTAGGAAAGACCTGCAAGCGCCGACAGATGGGGTGCAGGTGCGCGCTTTGGACGCCCTCGGTAGCTCGTGCCGTCGGCTTTGGAGAGCTGAGGACCCCCTCGGGTTGTGGTTCCATTCCTCAACCTGCACTGCCTTCCAGGCCGTTCTTGACGCGCAGTCACCATGTCACCGGGTCGTAAGCGCACGGTGCTGTCGCTTCTGTATGCACACATGGGCGGCAACATAATGCCCAAAAGGACCAAAGATGCCGTTTGCACAAAACCCCCAACGCTCGGGAACAGAGATTGGCCCTTTGAAGACAACAGTATACGGGCCGTACGCGCCAATCGAGGGGAGGTGCACTGGCGCCAACCGAGGCCGCCATGTGCATGATGTTTTATCCTTGTTTTCGTTGGGAAACAAAATTGTGCTGACGATCATGTGACATGATGCAAATGGACAGCATCAACTGGTGCCTACCAGTTGCCTACACGTCGACATTGTTTTTTCTAATGGGCGTCTTTACGCCGTAGAGCAGCCTCAACTCGCAGACCCTCTGGCATGGGCAGGTACGCATACCCGTAGCACATGGTGAGATTCAGGATCTTGCCATCACGAACACTGCGTAGGCACGTAGCACATACCTTGTAGGCAGTCAGCTCACTGTCCGGGTACAACTGAAGAACCTCATGGCAAGCCGCCGGCAAAATCACCAGATCTCGCATAAACCACAATCGACCACACTCAGAACATCTAATGCATTTCATCCTAACAGCCAGGGTGAGACCGATCAACCAAGCGGCGAGTGACCGAAAGCTAGAAAGAGCAGGTGGTGCCCTCTCCCAGCACCCAAGCCAACTGCGCTTGCTCCGTTAGTTTTTTGCGACGCGAGGCTCTCCCAGTACAACAAACTTAATGCAGCTGTCGCCGTAAAACTGCCTTGTTCCAGATCCTGCCGTACGTGAATGGGGCACTGTACAGTCTACTCGCTAATGTGGATATCCGGAAGGCAGCACTTGCTCTGGTATGTTTTTTTGTCTTTCTGCCAGGAAACTTTTCCATATAAAAACGGCACCTCGAACTCTTGTTCATTCAATCCCCCTCCTATTCAGGACAGGATAGGCTCATTTCTGGGAGTCTAAACCCATTTTCTTATGGCACCTTTTTGTTTTGTGTTCTTAAGCTTTAAATTTAATTTATTACATACCATCGACATCCCCCATCATTGGTTTTACCACCGCATCACATATTCTCTTGCATTGATCACCACGCAAAAGTTGGCCCTGCTTTTGCCCCAATGTTTTCAATTCCTTTTTTTCCGGTGACATCTGCGAATTGGAACGTCCTGCTTGAAGCCATCATATCAATAGAAGACATGAAATGTTGACCTTGTTATTTATCTAAAGCACTCCCTTATGCAATATACTGACCCCCCAAGGCTTCTTAAATAAATAAAAATCTAAAGAAATCCTTTGACACAATATACCACTAAACTTTGTGTCAATTCATGTTTGTATAAAGGGCAACATATCTGGGTAGAAACTGCAGTCTCCCCAGTGCTACCTTGTCAAGCATACTCATATAAAAATCAATCATGATTAGTGTTTTTTTCTTCTTTTTTACATGCATCGCATTATAGTTAGGGTTTCGTGTTTTCGAATAAATCCGGGAAACTGAAAAACACCAACCGGTAAAATTTTGGCAATTTGGATTTATCCAATAAACTCCCAATTTTGATGTGCCAATGCCCCCTCCCCCTCCCCCCTTCACCCCCCCCCCCCCCCCCCAAAAAAAGAAAAAAAGATAAACATTAAGACGGTATTTTACGATTAAATTTGATCAGCACACAGGGTCAATGGTCCTGAGAAAATGCCACCCCGTAGTTATCTTTGAAATCTCGGAGCATTGTCAAAAAGGGGTCTTACTGCTTGTCTCATTAAGGTTCATTCGGGACGACAGGGCCTTGTACTTTAGGGTCACGACAAAAGCCACTGTTTTGGTTTCCAGTCTTGGTCATATTATTTGTGCTTTAGAGGCAAAAGAGGTTGTGTTTTTTTTTTAAGTGAAAGCTATAGACCAAAGAGTTTTTGCATAAAATGGGGAAGAGGACCTGTTGAAACTTCTTTCATCGCTCCACCTCGCGCGGCCACGGGGTAGGTGGATGGAATAGGATGGGACGAATACGAGCTTCCGAGCAACTACCTCCGAGAGTTTATTGATTTTAAGGTATTGACATTTATCGGAGCAACACTTGTGTGCAACTTTTGTCGTGGGACACATTAGTATTGCCAATGGCAACTGCACCAACGCCAAATCCAGCTGAAAAGATGTTAATTGATATACGAGCCCATTTTATTTTTTTTATTTAGCATACGTTGACACCCAGATAATATTTATTTATTTTGAGTGGAAAACACCATGAAATTAAACTTCGAATTTCGGAGAATTGGGAATCAAACAAAAATAAACTCTGATAAACTCCGAAGGCAAAACATAAACCCCGAGAAAAACCCTCCGAATTTTCTGCAAAAGATAAATTCCAAAAAAACACCCTCAGAATTCAACAAAAAATAAACTATGGAAACATGACATTATAATTATAATAAAAAGGCAATATTTCTTTGTTTTCTCTCTCTCTAAATTTTGATTTATGGGCAATTTGATAAAAATAGCCCCCCACAAGACTCTGAACTATCGTAAGAAATAGGAAAAATCCCCTCTGAATTTAGTCGGAAATGAAGGCTAGAAGCCCAAAAGCGAATGCAAACTACACAGTGCATTAAGACGCTAGTTTTGCTCAATTGGTTATTCTACATAATATTGTAGTACACCCATAAAACACGGACAAGACGGAGGAAGGAGCAAACAGAGTACGGCGTGGAGGTGGAGAGGACACAAAGCCTACTTTAAAAAATCTTGTGACAACAACACTAGCATCGATCGTCACCCCTCACTGTCTCGTTAAAGAAAATAATTAACCGCCGAATGTGAGAGTTGGGCACCCTTTGATTTGAATACCCTTCACTGTGTTCACTAGGCACGTATGTGTTTTAAGTGCGTAGCTTCTATAAGGCCAGCTCTAGCGCTTCCTCATCCGAGTCTGGGATGTAGCCTCAGTTGGGGACTTTCCCGAGCATGTAGCCTCGAGTGAAGACTTTCCCTAGCATGGGGCTCGGCGGCACCGAAGCAGACCACATACATTGTAAAGGCTCGTGCTTGCGGGCTTTGCGTACCACCAAAGCTGCACAATGGTGGGCGCAGCAAGGTGAAAAGGGAGGAGCAAAGGACACACTGCAAAACAAGAGCGCCAGGTCCAGCAGCATCAGGAAGCCAGTGGCCATTACATGGCAACCGACCGACAGTTGAGGCGCTCATTCATGGACACTCCGTTCGGTGCAGCGCGTAATGTGTGCGGCAGGCTGTGGTTTCAAACAGACGTCAGCAGACGCATTCTAAGTGCTGCGCATTGAGAATGCCTTTGGGAAATGCCAAAGAGACAGTAAGTTTTCTCCCGATGAAGTCACTTTTATGAAAGATGCACAGTGTCTTGTCTACCACTTTTTCCATCTTGTCCGAGACTTTTTGGCGTGGTACATACAGTATGATGCATGCCACACACCGCTCATACTGGTGTAAACATTGCCGTCACCCAGGGCCTGGAGTCGAGCCTGGAGAAGGCCAAGGAGCAGTGTCCTCCGGAGATCCTCAAGCAACTGGAGTACGTCCACAGCAGGCTGCTCTCCATAGGTGGGTTGGTATGGGTATGATGGGTCCTCCTGGACAGTTTGTGGTAGGGCATGCCAAAACGCGCATGCGTCTTCATGAAGGCTCGCGTGAAATATTTTTGGAAAGATTCATTTATTTATTTCATTTATAACACACTGCAAACCATGATGGTCCAAGCAGGAGTGAATACAACAAAATACCGTTTAATCGCGTGTGAGGGCTGCACCCCCATTTTTAGGACACAGTATTGCAAAAAAAAAAGGATTACAGAAATTATTTGCATATGTGCCGCACCCCCTTGTTTCTGAGGCGCGCCGACTGCAATGCCACATTTCTATGGACAACTATCGCTAGGTGGCGCTAGCCACCTACCGGGCACGTAGCGGCACGTGTCCACATCCCCAATATTTGCTCTCCACTCATCTGTATCACCGTATGGCGTAATGGCTGTTACCCTCGGTTGTGGTCAACCACACTGTCGGGATGCATTCATGTTGCGGCCAGGCATTGAGAAAAGATAAAGGTTATGTCAGGTCCGGTGGCAAGCGCGAGGAATGGGGTATTCAGTGGGCTCGGCTCGCGCAAGCACTCAGGTTTCCGAATGCCGCTGTACGCTCTGGGGAGGTTTCCTTTTGTTCTTAGATTCGTGTCAGAGCGTCGTGATTTCTCTGCTTTTTTGCGCAATCTGAGAGCCATGGGCCAGTACCACTTCAACAGTCATACGGGGTTCAAACCGAAAGTTGCCGCTCATGCCATCCAGTATGGCAAAAAAAAAGAAGTGTAGGGCGCAGTATGTAAACTGATTAAATCCGACTGACGATTTAGTCGGGACTTTGGTGTGAAGGCGTTTCGGACCGTGTAGCCGAGCACACTCAAGTATGTTTGTGTCTGAATGTGGATACAGATAATTTTTTTTTAAACCCGTGTCCCCAAAAAAGGTTGCCCTCAAATCGTGAAAAAATATTCCGGCCCTTACACGAGTTTATACGGTACATTTTGCGCAATAGGAGAAAATATACACCACAAAATCTTCTACAAGAAATGCAACAAAAACAAAAGTACAAACAAGAAACCACCAGCAGCAAAACGTAAAGTATCAATAAGGGAACCTGTGCAGTCTTATCTAAAGCTCCACCTAAAGACGGTGCTTTAGATAAGGCTATTGTACTCCATGACATGTTATGAGCCACCGGACTCCATTTCACCTTGCAATGTACCGTGACATGCTATGAGCCACCGGAGTTAAGTCTCAGTGTCACGAAACAATTGAATTGTCACAGGAGGGAAGGAACTTGCGCACAAAGTCAGGCAAATGGCCATTATTGGCATTGCTCATGAAGTTGAACTTCCTTTTGGCCAACCAACAGTCTTAAGTCAAGATTTAGGGATGGCATTGCATGTGTGCGAAGTTTGTCTCGGGCTTCGTTTTGGCTGACCAGATTAACTGTGGGAGAGCGTCACTTGCGATTTGTTAATTTATAAAACTATACTTCGTAGCTTCTTGAACGAAGCTAAAAGGCCCACTTCTGTGCTCAACCTAGGACGCGAGCTTCCTGGTAAAGTGGCTACTGAAAATAACAGTTTGATATTCCAAAATTGTATTTTCAGCAGTGTTATTATTTTAGCTTTAAAAATAACGAGCTTCTTCCTTAACTCTTTACCTCAATACGACAAAGCTGTTTCGAAGGGACAGGGCTTTCTTAAAGGCCCCCTTCCCACCTCTTTGAAACTATGAAATCAGGGCATGTGGAGAGGGAAAGCATGTGAAACAGTGTGTAGGATACACGCTTGCCACAGACACAGATAAAAAGGAGAAGTGCTCAGATTTTTTTTCATTAGAGAAGATGCTTGCACACTGCGACAGACATTGCACCTGCTTAAATCGTTGGCACTTTTCCCTCGTTGAGCATAATTACGGGCCATTTGTACTGATACACGGGCAACACAATGCTGGACACATGTACAGCCTGCTAGAGGCAGAAGCTGGTCTCGATGAAAAAACATATCACCTTCGTAAGTTTTAGCCTGCATCTGGGCCACACACTTTGGATCCGACAGTCTCACAATGGGAAAAGTGCCAAAGAGTTTGAAAACCACACCTGAGAACATCACCTTGCAGCAGGGCCAATAAACAAGGGCTTGCATGGATAGTAACTGTTGTCCACATGCATTGCGTGTGCAATCAACCAATGGGCGTTATGTTTGGAGGAAGTGAGCACAGTCTGTTTCAGGGGACGTCTCCAGTGCCACCAGTTCCCAGGGTGAAGAGGATGAAGACGAGGTAACTCCAGTCCTATTTTGTCTGGCATGTCCCTACGTTGCTGTTGAAAAAACAGTGCAACGACGATAAGTGACAGACTCTGCCGATGAGTTCTGAGCAGTTTACCTAGTTTCGATTGCCTAATCATATTTATCTACCTATTTATATAAACAAAGCCAGCGTGTCTACTTTCCTGCAGAGAAAAGAAAGAGCCGGTCCTTCTCATTTGCAAAAAGCGAGAAGCAATCGATAAAGCACCGACAACATAAGAGACCGAAAATAGGAGTTTGAGTTCGAAGGAGTGTTTATTATAAACAGAAATTACCAGAGATCAGAACAGAGATGTTATACGATGGCCGTCAAACCTGGTAACCCAAAAATGGGATTGGCGCCGAGACGCTCGGCATGTGAATCTCACGCTCAGTGTCCGAGTACAGTTTACTTCCAAGTCCAAATGTTATCAGTGCTTTATCATTCCCTTCTCACCCCCCACAGATGGAAGTTGGTGATCTTTTACGTGCCTCTGTGCTGTGCAGGAAATTATACACCCAAACCCTATTCATAGGTAAACCTAAGAATAACATCAAAAATGTTTTTCTCACACATTCCCACAAATATTGGACAGAATGATGCTCATCCTCACATTGTTTGTCAGCGTGTGTCATGTTGTGAAGCACTGTTTTACTCGTGGTGCGTAGGAAGAATCCGAACTGGAGCCGGAAATCGACCAGGACGACCCTGTGGTGACTAGGCCAGATCACCCTCACGGTGACCAGCTGCTCAGGCTCTGTTACGGTGAGCAGGTGAGGACCGAGGCTCTCGTTTTCCGTCCGAAAGTTAGGATGGTATGTCGGAGGTTGAAAGACATCAAGCTGGCAGTTAGAGAAGGCTCGATGGGCATTGACTGAACGAAAGGGGAGAAATAACAGAAAGAGTGAATGGGTGTGCAGGCAAGTTGGTGAGCCTCAAACGAGACTCAAATTTGAGACCAAGGGAAGAGGAGGAAAACATAATGGAAGGACACACGTACACTCACCATCTCCGGCAGAGATGCGGTGTGCGTGTTACCTTTTTATGTTTCTTCCCCTTTGGTCTTGGGGGTTAGCTACTAGTATTGAAAGAGGCTCAGATGTAGCCTTTCTTGTATGTTTTAAAATTATTATTGGCAAGAAATTATGTCTCTACTACTTATCACTTGCAGTTTTCGGGTTATACGGGGTGTTTTATTTTTTTATTGAATCCAGATTCTTTTTTTAAAAAAAGCCGCGAAAGCTACACAGGTGCAGTCTGTGCAAGTGAGCTATGCGGCCAGGCGGACATTATGTTCAAGATAGAATTTAGGGCACATGTTTATCTTGAAGAAATGGAGACAATCAATGCTGAAGGTCAGCCCAGTTCTTAAAAATCCTGGATTGAGCACGCAGTTGGAGTTATTCACTGTCAAAGCTTGTTCTGGAATTCTGTCGATACCGAAACTACTAAACGTGCGATGCTCACTGGAAGGATATCCCTCATTTGATGCCGGAGGGTCACGTGTTAATGATGAAATTTGCGTCACAGCGCTCCGAAGCTGATTGCAGTTGGTGCTCCGTGGCTGGCGATTTAAAGCAATAAGCCACCTTAGTGGCCAAGTTACTTTGCTTGTCACGGTTGTATAACTCACTTGCACAGACCGCATTTGTGTAGCTTTGACGGCTTTTTTTTTTTAGAAAAATTTGTATTCTATAAAAAAATACATCCTGTATAAATTGAATGAACCTTGAATTTGTTGCATGCTAATTATGTATGGAGTGCGACGCGGCTAGTGCGAGCAAGCAATAGCTGTATTTTCTTTTTTTTTTTTTTCGCAGCTGGAAGGCTGTCGTCAAAATTAGCAATGTAATGGAATCTGCTTACGAGGGACACCAACCTTGGCAGAAATATTTGGTGTTTGACAGTAACCTGTACGAATACAATGCTACAATGTGTCGGCTATGAAACATTTTGTAGAGTTCAAATAATTATACATATTAGGCAGCCCATTACTTTGTCCACAAAACATCGGTTGGTTCTTTGTAGATCTTATCAATTTTCTACAAAAAAGGTAGCTTTCTGGCAGATGTACTTTTCACTTTTTCTATCGGCAGCTTTTTTTTTGGGGGGGGGGGGGGGGGCTGGGCTGGGCTGTGTTGGGCTGTGTTGGGGCTGGGGTGGTTCGTTGTTTTTTCTTTTTTTTTTTAGAAGAGCACTGTCGACCTTATTGCTGACAACTACACTTCAGAGCTGACAGCTTCACCAACAGAATTGAGATTGACATGGTTTTCTTTGCTTGCAGGATACTCTCAGGCCAATCCCAGACCCTGGAGTGGCCAGGTGAGTTTGTCCAGAGATATTCAATGGGGTTATGCAAAATGACGGCATCGGTACTATTTGCCCATTTGCATTTCGTGACAGGCCTGCTGACTTCCGTTGCTAGCACCTAACTGGATATGGTTGGGTAGGTGCCAGCCATATAGCACGTTCTACGGATGCTCTGCGTCGGTGCTCATCTGGGCTTATCTACTTCGTTGGTTAGACGGGCTTGCAACGTCGAATTTTCACTGTGCTGCACTGCCCTGTGGTGGAGGCTTGGAAGGTCTCAAAACTGCCTTGTGCCTTCTAAATGCAGCCCGACACTCTGGGTCTACCATGTCTCAGTGGCAAAAAACTTTTGTTTGGTGAAAACAAAAAATTGACTAAACTTTCCGGTCCACCAGATGCAGTGCAACGAGATGAATCAATTGGGGCTTTTATTTTCTAAACCGGTCCTTGAAAACAGCTGCATGGGACAAAAATATGAAACGCTCGGAGTTAGTACTGCCGTGTCTTGTTAATATGAACCCCTTTAATATGAATACCCCGCTATATATAGACAACATTTTCGGGGACCGACTGGATAAATATGTCCATTTTTGCCATGTTTTTACGAAAAACTCGCATCGTGGGCGCTTTTTGGGGGAAATGAAGTGTCCATATTAACGAGACATCACTGTACTATACAAGCGACAGGTAGGCACACACCGATGCACTTGCACGCGACGATGTAGCACTTCCGGTACACATTTTCGTCACACAAGTTGTGTGGATTTACCTCCATGTCGCAGCCTAAGATATTTTTGTATTCGCTCTTTCTCGCGCGAGTTTAAACGTGGTGGTGTCAGTTTGCAAATAACCCTCAATCACTTCCGGTTTCCGACTAGACGGCGGGTTTTGCAGTATCTGCATGATTAAATCTATGCGCTATGTTTGGAAAATGGTCGCTTATGGCCACTTTAGCACATTATTCACTCTCACGGGGAAAGAAAGATGTCTAAAAATGGAGAAATATATGCCCGGACCGGAAGTATGCCAAGGCTACCGAATAGATGGCACCACTCAGTTTGTTGCCAAACAAAAAAAGGGTGAATAAAAAGTTTGGCCTACCTAAGTCGTATATTTTGTATCTTTACCGCCGAATTCACAAACCTCACTCCAATTGAGGTGCCCCTCCACTTCCTCAAGGAAGGCGACAGGGCAGGCGCTGGCCAATTGCGAGGACGGATAAGCAGCCCAGGCCGCCTGTCAGTTGTCGCAATTGCCTAGTGTCGGCCCTCGCGCCTTCTTTCAGGAAGTGGAGAGGTGCCTCAATTGGAGTGAGGTTTGTGATTTCGGCGGTTAGACCTGCCGAGACACCAGCTGAAGTTTCCTCGGACAAAGGCGGTACGAGCACGATTTTTACATCTGAACAGTGCTCTGAGTGAGAGTTTGCCGTGTGACGACCCTTGGCAGGCTGGAGCAGGAGTCATCGCCGGAGCCCTCGCTGATGGAAGAGCCAGGAGAGACGCCCGATGCGTCCCGTTCTGAGACGGACGACTCAGATCGCCCCTCTTCTGTCGCCGTGCCTGCAGGTGCGTTGGCATGCCACTGCGCCTTTCCCTCTTTGCTGGGGGAGTCCCTAATCACAAAATGCAAGAATTAGAAGAGAAAATAATTTAATTGTTTTTAGTTTGATGTCGCATACAACATACATTTTAATTCTTTCACTGAAAAAGTGCACATGTGTTTAGTTGTATCAGTCCAAAGTTCATATTCACTCTTTACAAGCAAATTTTGAAGAGCTTTTCTTGTTTTCTCGGAATTAGCTTTTCATCACGGCACAGAAGTTTTGCCGTGATATCTTTGGACCTAGAATTTGGAGCTGAATACTGTTTTCAGGGTTGTAAACCCCATAAATAGATGACTAAGATTTTGGGGAAATGTTAGCTGCAAGATTTTCTAATTAGCAAGAACTTCATTGGCTCGTTTCTAATTATCATTGAAGGATTTTTTACTTTTTTTATAATGCTTTTAAAAATATAGAATGCATTTTTTTATTTTTTTTTTGCACTGTCTACTTTTTGTAGAACGTAGAGACATACTTTGTGCTATACGTTGTGACGAGGGTATTCTAATGTATTTTAACAAAAGGATATGTGATAAAGTTGAGATTTCTTTTATATGGGGGTAACGATAAGCCAAAACTTAAAATGGCAGCCACATATCATCAATATCTGCGCAACTGCGTATAGGAAATTATGTACGCTTAGAAATAAACTTAAAAATAGCAATGAAGAAGTAAAACTTACGGCCTACAAAACTCTAATACGACCCACTCTAGAATATGCCTTGGTCGTTTGGGACCCCGCAACCAAGACTGACATAGACAAGCTCGAGAGAATACAGAGGAAGGCTGCACGTTTCATAACTTCAAATTACAAATCAACGTCCTCTGTGACCGAAATGTTGAATGCTTGCTGGCTTGAACCCTTAGCGGTTAGGAGAAAAATTGCACGCCTAACGTTTTTGTTTTTGATTTATCATGGACAAGTAAAGATCAACCGAGACACTTATCTTAGAAACATAACCAATAGATCAGCTAGATTAAATCATTCCAAAGCATTGCAGTCGTATCTGCCCAGAATCGATGTTTTCAAGTATTCCTTTTTTGCAAATACAATTAACGACTGGAATAAGCTTCCCGAACATATTGTAAGTCACAACGATGTTTCAGTGTTCGAAGACGCCGTTAGACTTTTTTACTCTGTTTAAAGAGTGAGCATATTGCCTTAATGTTATTTTGTCTTTTTTTTTTTTTTTTCTCTTTTTGGGGTTAAATATGTACATATTACGTGATACTTTCAATATTGTACTGCTTTTTTTTTTTTTTTGTATATAGTGTTTTTGTACACGGCACGTGCCCTCAGTTATTAGTTATTGGTGATAATTTTTGTCAGTATATTGTCATTGTTAAATTTATTATCACTTTTTACGTGCATTTAGTGTTCTTGTTTTCTATTTTGCGCTCACGGCGCGTTTTGTATTTAATCTTGTAACTACTTTATTGTTCGTAGCTCTGTTGGAGGCATGAGTCATATTCTTTTTTTTTTGTGTGTGTGTGTGTTCGTTCCTCCCTGCCACGGCCCCACAGGCCAGCAGTATGTACAAATAAATAAATAAATAAATAAAAAAACTACCGTATAAACACGTTTTAAGGGCAGGATTTTTTTTCTAATTTTGGGGTAATTCTTTTTTGTGTGGCCCATATACGGATAAAAACGAAGTACTATTGGATGTGCCTCAGAAAATTGATGTAGGTACTTGCAATCGCATGCAGTGGTCTCGAGTGGATTTATATCTTTCTCGATCGTTATAACCTGTGATATCTTCGGTGCTCGAACCAAACAGGCATCAACAGTGGCCAGAGTTTCTCTTTTGAGTTGTCCGGTAAGCACCTTTTCAGGGTTCGCGTTAGCCATTTATTCCATAGAATTTCACCTCGACACCCGTATCGATGCCGATGTCGAGCGACCGCAATGTACCAACGAGCCCGCCTTCGACCACATGCTTCGTCCAGCATCGTACGCAGATCTTGTCGATACCGTATTTGCGACCCGTTGCACGTCCGTTGCATTCCAAGGCACAAGTGCCATTTCGAAAGTACTTTCCCTCTGCTCTCAGGTTGTGGGTCCCGCATAAACAGACTTAGCAGAACGAAACATTCACGAAGCCCAACGGCGACGTTCGGAAACCCGAGGGTTTGATTTTATGGCAGCTATTGTCAGATGAGCAGAAGGTGACCGTGGGTGATACGAAAACCATCAAAAGTACAGCTTTTCAAAGCTTTACTTCAGTAACCTTTTTTTACACGCGCTTTGAAACACGGCAAAAAGCACGAGCAGAGCCGCACACGTGGCAAGGTAGAGAGAGATGGCGAAGACACGGTGCGCGTGCCACACTGCTGAAGCACTCAGCGCAGCTCGGAGAAAAGGGAAGTGCAGCTGATGCACAAATTTGCAATCTTCTTTTTTTTTTTTTAATCAGATCTAGATATAGGGTGTGTTGCCCTACACACGCAATTATATTGTATAATAGATAAGAAAGCAGTTGGCATATGCCTAGCACAACAATTTACAGTAGGGGTTAAAATTTAACATAAATTGGATGAGCAATTACATGAAAACCTTCCAAGACCAGGGTCTCCCCAGCTGTCTGGTTGGCTTTCTGACAGCCGTGCTCTGCAGCAGGGGCATTCGAACTTGGTCGTGCAGACCCCAGAGTGATTTGTCGTGCCTCGCCGCCTTTTCATCACAGAATGTGTTATGTGGCTGTCTCCCAACAGTTTACGGTAACACTCCCATGTAATGGAAGGGCGCCGTACGAGCGCCGCGTTGGCTTGCGACTGGAACTCGTGTGAGAGTCCTGAGCAATCACCAACGCTGCACTCATGCCCAGGCTGTACCGAAAAAAGGCCGTCTGGTTGGTTGATGTCGTAAATCCGGCGCTACGGCTTCGCTTGCCACAAGGTGTTGAGCAAGTGTGCTCGCACACACCATGAAAGAAAGTGCAGGAGGCGAGGGGGAAGAAAGCAAGCGCTTGGCTTCTGAGGAAACGGGGGGGGGGGGGGGGGGCGTGAAACGGCAGGGTCAAAGCTGGGGTGTGCAATCGCGAGAGACGAGAACTTTGCTTTCCAGTTTCACTCGATCGCTAGCTTTGGCAGGGCTTTCTTTCGGAGACGCTACGCACGACGACGTTTGCACCGTCGAGGTGCGAAACACCGTCCGATGTTCGTCTGTGCTGCACCGCTGCGAAGGGACGCGCAATATATTCTGCATTGCCCTGGCCACGATAGTGTGGGTAAAGAGTGAATTTTTTTCTCCTTTTACTGTTTATGGCTCATGGAACTTCTCATTAGCATGCACGTTGTAATAATGTGTTATTGTTATCATCAAATATTGGTGTGCCATTAACTCTCGACTCTCAAGGTATGCGTAGCATTTTTATAGCTTTGGACAGAGGTTGTTAATTGAAGGTAAATGAGGGATTGAAGATCAAATACTGTGAACGACATAATTTTTTCTTGTACAGTCGAATCTTGTTAATTCATAATTAAGGGGGACCGAAAATTTGTTTTAATAAAGCAAAGTTTGTATTACCGGGAGTTTCCTCCCATAAAGTGTGGTACATTGCTAACTACCAACAGAGGTACCGATAGAGTAACCAAAGGGTTGTCTCAACAGCGGTGGTGATCTCAAAGGAGACGTCAAACCTAGTAGCGCGGTCCCCACATCTCCGCGGCAACATAGACGACGTTTAGAGCTACATTACCGCGATTCGGTTTGATTAATTACCTCCGTCGATGCGAATGATCGACTACCTTGTCCCACTCTCTCGAATATAGCGGAAGAGAAGACACACATACCAGAGTAAGGAAAGAGTCCAAGAGCATTTATTAGAACACCCTTCTAAAAGAACTACTACTATGTCCCCATCCAAATTGCCCTCCGTGCCGGCAAGGTAAGAAAAGGTCCTTACCTGCCAGACGCGGAGTTCCGGAGAGCCCAAGACCGGGGAAGCATCGCAGAAGTCGCCAACACACGTCCTATCTCTTTCGCGGTCACCCGGACGAGTCCCTTTCCCGAAAGCGGGAAAACAAGAGGCGAAACCTCCTCGCCTGTCAGCAGTGATCTGCATCCGAGGGGGTGAACGGAAAAAGGTCCCCCCGGAAGAGAGTGAAAAGGAGGGCCCCCCAAGCGAGGCGGCCCTTCACCTCACAAACAGGTCGGAGCTCACGGCGAAGGAGGCCGAGTGTTCCGACCTGCGGCCATTATCGAAGCCATCGGGGAAGGGAGACCACAGGAATCCCCACATCCCCCCCCTCGTTAAAACGGTAGGTGGGTCTCAATAAAGAATAAAGGAGGCCCACCTGCTCTTATAAAATAATATATCTCTTGTAGAAATAAATGAACTGCACAAAGGACGAGGACAGAGGTAGAAACAAGTACGACACACGGAGCGCAGACTTCCAACTGTTTATTTGGCGCAGACACAACAGTATATATAACAGCAGCAATCAGTTTGCGGTGAAATAAGGTTTAAACATGACCATCCAAAAAAGAAAATTCCTTGTCTGATTGTGAAACAGATTGCATGCTTATGCAGTCGTGACCTTTCTTTTTAATGAAGTAGGTTTCTACGAGTTTTCTTTCCATTGCCTCATTTGCTTTTGCGAGAACACGTGTCCTTTGCAAATTAGGATGACAACCGCATTTCAAACAATGTACAGGCAGATGTCCGCCTGTGTTGTTTTTTATCGACAGAAAGTGTTCATGTGCCCTCAGGTTGAAACAACGTCCAGTCTCGCCAATGTATACTCGCCCGCAAGAAAGCGGAATTTCATAGATAACACCGGATGCGCATTTTGTGTAGCGCTCGCTGTGCTCCTTTTTGCATTTGTTGATGTTCATTCTTGGCTTCATCATAGGGCATACTTTACTGAGTTTGCAGGGCGCTGAAAAGACGACCAAGGTATGGGTCTCTCGGTCGTCTTTTCAGCGCCCTGCAAACTCAGTAAAGTGTGCCTATGATGAAGTCAAGAATGAACATCAACAAATGCAAAAAGGAGCACAGCGAGCGCTACACGGAATGCGCATATGGTGTTATCTATGAAATTCCGCTTTCTTGCGGGCGAGTATACATTGGCAAGACTGGACGTTGTTTCAACCTGAGGGCACGTGAACACTTTCTGTCGATAAAAAACAATACAGGTAGACACCTGCCTGTACATTGTTTGAAATGCGGTTGTCATCCTGATTTGCAAAGGACACATGTTCTCGCAAGAGCAAATGAGGCAATGGGAAGAAAACTCGTAGAAGCCTACTTCATTAAAAAGAAAGGTCACGACTGCATAAGCATGCAATCTGTTTCACTATCAGACAAGGAATTTTCTTTTTTGGATGGTCATGTTTAAACCTTATTTCGCCGCAAACTGATTGCTGCTGTTATATATACTGTTGTGTCTGCGCCAAATAAACAGTTGGAAGTCTGCGCTCCGTGTGTCATACTCGTTTCTACCTCTGTCCTCGTCCTTTGCGCAGTTTATTTATTTCTACAAATCATGAACCAACTAGCCCGCCAAAAGGTGTTACTTTAATATACCTCTCTGCACACCTCCAACAAATACACGCGACACCCAGCGCAGGGGGAAGGGAGACCACAGGAATCCCCACAAGAGACACATAGGATGGGACCTGCATGTTAGTTTGAATTATCCGCAAGTTTGAATTAACGAGATTCGACTGTAGCTAAGTTTGGCAAATAAATTTGCAACTCGGAAAATATGTACTATTGTGAAACATTAATCCCTCAAAATGTTCTCGAATCCCACACGTCGAAAAATTTGCACATGTTAGGGCTGTGCTATATCAAAGACGCATCATCTTTAACTTACTAGATGCAACACAAGCATTCCATTGTCTAACCCAGGTGAATTTTTGTCTTTTTGCAGTTTCCTCGCATATGGATGCAATACTAAGATTGTTTTTATTTTGTCCTAGTGTATTGGTGGGAGATCTTATTAAATACTCTGCACTGAGTTGCTAGAAGATAAATGACTCCATGCTTCCTGGAAAGCGAAGAGTGGCTTCTATCACAGAACTTGTATCCACTCCTACGTTGCCACATGAATGGGCGTACCAACCGGGGGGCAAGGGGGGTTCTTGCCCCCCCAGTTCTCAAAGTAGAGGGGCAAGGCATGCGTTTTGCCCCCCCCCCCCCCCCCCCTCCCCTCCCCTCCTGAAACAGCCACCACTGGGCAGGGCAAACACTGGCCGGCGGCACCAAGGGCACTGCTGCCCGGCCCTAAAAGGGGGGAGGTCTGGTTTACCCCCCCCCACTCAAAAACAAGTTGGTACGCCACTGCCCACATGGGAGTCACACACACTTTTCTTCTCACCATTTTAACCCTGCTCTAAGTTGACAGGCAGAGTATGACGAGGCTCTGGACAAGGATTTTTCTACAATTTATTTTTGGAGGCTGGGTAGAAAGAGGATGGAGGAAATGCAGCAACACCGTTCATTCTGTTTTCTCTCAGAGAAAAGAACTGTTTGTACTTAAAAAATAATTTGAAAAGGTATTGTTTGGAAGGAGCTTTTTAATAACACAACAGCACAAACCAACTTTTTTTTTTTTTTATCAATTTGACGATTAAGTTTATTTAGTTTGAAAAAAGTCAGAGTGGACAATGAGGGTTTGCCAGTCATCCCCAGTCACTTGTTTGAAGACCTCTCCAGACCCATATACTTCACACGCATCATAGGCTTGTTCGTATTACCATAAAATACCAAGCATCCGCCCAATCCACAATAAGTACCCACCCCTCAATTTTGTAACATTCGCAAAATACACAAAAGACATATCCTTACACAATGTTGACCTAAGAAGTGCCCATCCTGCAGTTTTACATGATTATTACCAAATTCTGAGTAGGCTTGTTCGGGATTTTACGGTATGCAACACACTTTGGCGGCCGGCCATGTTACCATTCCTATTATTTTATATCTAGATTTTCATTGAAGTATTCAAACTTTGGAACTATTCTAAAACTTTGGCAAGCTTCGGTTTGCCATGGTATTCTTTGGCATTATGTTGTAAGCAGCGCATCATCTTAAGGCTTGAAAGGAAAGCCTGATAAAGTTTTTAAAGTCTGACACAAATCCAAGGTGCTTGTTAACTTAGAGTTTATACTGTAAACAATGCTGCACATAGGCCCACATTTTGGAGGGCACAAGCTCTCAGCTCGCGCCTCACATATTGACATAATTATTTATCAAACATTCCACGTCACCCATAAAGGCACGTTGTCCTGTAGTCCTGCCTCGCCGATCCAACTGCTGCTAATCTGGCATAAACTTGGAGTCAAAAGTATGGCAGAAGCACCTCCCACATTCTTTAGGCTGGTTCAGACATTTACGTTCAAGTGTCACTGACTACATTACTGTGGCTTGTGACTGCTTGTGACGAGATGATTGCTATGGCAACTGAGGTCTGTGCAACACATCGCAGTGGAATGCAAGAAGTTGTAACACGCTTGATCATACTCAACTTCAGATGTCTGAACCAGCCTTCGGGCTGCGTCCCAAGCCGACCCTTATGCGACTCGGCCATGTTTGCTTCTTCTCCGTCCCCTCCTTCATTGCAGCACCTCCGATTGACGAACAAGCCTCCCAGCTGGTGAAGCAGATCACCGGTGAGGAGAAGACTCTCGTAGCCGCTGCAACCCCGGGAACAGTGCCCCCTACAGAAAAAGTGAAGGGGCTCAAGTGAGTCGGCACTCTTTTACCCTTGTGGCATTTGTGGGAGCTTGGGAGCTGGACCGTGAAGCCGTTGTTGCAGCTGCTTCACAATGGTAGCACTCTGGAGGGCATTGGGGGGGAAGGGGATTGAGGTGGCTGGGACGTCCATGAATTTGGGTGTTGAGGGGGGGGGGGGGGGGGGGGGGAGAGGGGGCCAAAATGCATGTGTATATTACAGGGTCGGCTGGATTTTGGGGGGGAGCTGAAACCCCATAAGCCTCCCCCCCCCCCACTGGCTATGCCGTTGGCTCCATGCTACAGCTCTCGTTAACAATTCTTTATAACATTTATAGCCACTACCAGACATCTTGTTTTGACCGGTGCAGTCATGTTTTAGAGGTGCAATTCTGCCTTCCCATTCATTTTGTCTCAATGAAGACTCGCGTCCCGCTTTCATTGGAATGTGAGTGCAGTCGCGATGTAAGTGCTAAGCGAGCATACTTGGGTAGTAATTCAGTTACAGTAATTTAATTACTTTTCTTAGTAATTTGTAATTATAATTAATTGCTTTCGGCCAAAAGGAATTGTAATTGTAATTAAATTACTTTTAGCGTCAGTAGTTGCAAAATTTCAGGCGATTACAATTACTTTTGCAAAAATTTTCTGCGCTGACGGAACCTTTCTGAAAGCCTCAGCGCTCGACCAAGCGGCCTAGCTCCCAGTGAAACACCTCGCACAAAGACACACACATGTACAACATAAATAGTGTTGCATCGTTTGTTGTTGTGTTGCTTACACTGCGGGCTGAGAGACAATCCTTTTTACAGCCTACCTCAATGGCGCCGTGCTGCGCCGTTTGCTGTGCGAGCATAAAACAATGGCGTAAACATACCAAAATATTGAAAGAAGAATAAATTGAGCTTCGGCTTTCTGTTGAGCTAGAAAATTTTCATTGTCTGAAGTTGTTTTTTTTTTTTTTTTTTTTTTCTAGTATTGTTGCATATTTGTATCAGTATATTTTTCAAGTTTATTTCCTGTTGGTTTTACTTCGTATATTTTTTGCATAAGCATTTTGGAGACTGACCTCGCACCTGTGAATATTGTTACCGATGATTCGGGCACCCCGATTCGGTTTTTATATATTTCTAAGCGATTACAATTTCAATTCAATGTAAATAATTTACAATACCATGTTGTTTGTATGTGATTGGTCGTATTGGCACGTGTAGATTTTAGTTTTATATTAACACTTGTAAAATATTCATATATGACTAATTGTCGCATTTTTATTTGCCGGGCTAACAAAGCTCTGTCAACCTAATCTTTTCTTTAGCGATCTGGCGTCTTCCAGCATATAAACTAATTTAATATTATTTATAAAAGATATAAGAACGTACTTCATTGCCTCAAACTGTCAAGTTCCATTATGAATTTAACAAAATACATAAAAGGAAAGTACAATATGTGGCATTTATGCAGCGATGTCTCCTCAAACATTTGGGCAAGGAATGAACAAATATGTTGTTGCATTCGATACAACTCGTTTAAAGTTATATGGCCCAAGGTCGGGTCGCTCTCAGAAAGAAGTAATTGTAAAGTAATTTGATAACTTTTTAAAAGTAATTTGTAATTGTAGTTAAACTACTTTTGAAGCAAAGTAATTGTAGTTAAACTACTTTTGAAGCAAAGTAATTGTAGTTGTCATTAAATTACATTTTGAAAGTAATTTACCCATGTATGTAAGCGAGTGGACTAAAGCTAAAAAATTACCTACCGTAAAATACTGTGGAAGGGCTCACTTCATTCAGGCACCTAGTATTCGCATTTCTTGAAATTGGAAATCCTCCAAATTCAGTTTGACCGGACAAGTGCCCATGCCTTGATTAACCCAGTTTTCAGTGAAAGTAGGGTGGGCGCGTCCCCGGTATTTATGGCATGTTTTATAAAAATGAACATACTATAAAATTATTCCCTCTCATAGAGTAAATTTAGAGTTCTTTCTGTGGTTCCATCTGTCAATGCATTTTGTTTGCACAGTCCCTCATTCCAGGCACTTTTCCATATTACTATATTTGGCTCAGTGTTGGGAAGTACTTCAAGTACATTGTACTTAAAGTACTACTTCAAGTAGGTTTAGGCAACTTGTACTTTACTTGAAGTACATTCTCTGAGTATGTACTTAAAGTATTTTTTCTGGTACTTTCCGAGGAAAGTACAATTCCCGACTTCAAAGTACATTCTCCAAATTTGAGTTTCTTAAATTTGTATCACAAAATGATGCTTTGTCAACTCCGAAGAAATACTGGGAGGGATAATCTACTCTCGGCAGAGACGTGAGCAGACGACGCATCGCTCCGCTTGTTCTGGGGGCGGCTTCCCCGTAGCTTTTTGAACTCAGGCTACTTCTCAGTCGGTTAGAGCAAAATGAATTATAATCTAGCACCTGAAACTATGGTGCGGAACAATTAAACTTTCAAGTTGAAGAAAAAGACAACAGAGGAGAATGTCACAATGTCTTAAGACATTCTCTTTTTTCTTTTCCTTCGGCTTGAAAGATCCTTAATTTGTTTGCACCCCAATCTCGGGTGTCACATTATGGTTAATTATAACCAGCTTTCTTTCACACTCACTATTTTTTTTCTCATTAAAAAGAGGACACTTCTTTTTGAGAGGATTGCTTGCTGGACCTATGGGGCTGACGTCATGGCGCAACAATCCAGCGCAAGCGGCGCCAAATTCAGAAGAGTGACTTCTGAATTTGGCTCCATTCATGACAATGACTACTCTGTGGCCACTTGACTTTATCAAATAATCGCCACTGTTTTTGAAAATAGGTCATGCAGCCCTGATTACCCCTGGGCAATGCACACCAGTTCAAAATCACTGTATAGGGGAATTAAAGGACATCATCAAAGATTGCGTTAAAATACTTGTACTTTGCTTTTAAAATACATTGTATTTATTGTACTTTACATCAATTACATTGCACCCAGTTAACTTTTTACTTTACTTGAAGCACATCACGTCTCGTTTACTTTGTACTTTATTTGAAGTACCTTTTAGATGTACTTTACCCAACACTGATTTGGCTTGCTTCAGTTTTGTGTCAAAACAAAAAAGAAAAGTGCTCGTGTACTCAACGAAACGAAGGACTTCGAAAATTTGTGCATTTGTACAGTGAACTGAATTGTAGCAGAGCATGCTTTTCCTTTCGGCCCTGCTCCATGCTCCCGCTCCGCTCTGCACCCCCCACCACCCCCCTCCCGATGTCCCGTTTTCGACGCTGTAAATTATGGTCACCCTGCTCTATGGTGTACCGGAGAGGAAACAAGTCGTGGCAGTGGAAGGGGAGAAATGTCTGTTGTGCGTGTTAACAAGAAATCTGGCTGTCTTGGCTGATGTGTTGTCCGAGCCCCCTTATCCTTGCGGGGGCGTCAGCGTGCAGGAGTACAGCATAGCGTTCAGCTCCAGGCCCAAAATCCCGCGCACCCCCGAGCCGAGCAGCGCCACCTCGAGGGGCGGAGACTCGACGTGCAGCAGCCTGCGCACCCGCGGACGCCGGTCCAGCAGCACCCTGTCCAGGGACGGCTCCTCGGCCGCAGACCGCCCCAAGATACGCAGGCCCGGTGCGACACTTCTCTCCCACTCTCTGCCCCTGCTGTCCCGCAAGGCCAGCCTGTAAAGTATAAACCATGGGTTCTCAAGCTGGGTTCCCAAAAACTCGGGGGTTTCACAAGAACTCGGGGTTCGCCTGGAGTACCCTCTGGCGTTCACCGAGCACCAAAATTCTCTCTATCATACCTACTCCGAATAAACGAGGTTTCCCCAGTTTAAACCGTATCAGAGCCATGCATTGATGCGCAGCTGTGAGCGAAATGCACCCTATACTCCGTGACAACTTTTCTTGGCAATGCAGTGGAAGGTACGTCACGTGTCCCCTCTTCCATTTTGAGTGTACGCAGGCTCTCCTCCTCTCCCCGGGAAGGGGGGGAGGAGGGAAGCCTGCGTACATTATACTTCGTCTCACCCTACGATGAACTAAAGGCAAAAGCTACGCACCGCCAGATCCAATCACGAGCCACTTAGGAATTGTGCGGTATTTCGCTTCGATGCACGTATCGGTGCCCGCGTCTCGTATCACTGATGAGGGGACGGGTGGACAGAGGTTCAAATCGAAGAGCACTGAGTGACTCAACAATTTTACATCGCAAAAAAAGCCACGACATATATAGGCTCTTTGCAGCGTCGAAGCTGTAGAAATGATGCAGCGCTTTGGATTCGAGCATTATTTGTCCACCCCTAATCAATGTTAAGCGTGTCATAGTATAGAGTGGAACGTGATTGGGACTTGGCGGCCTGTGGCTTTGGCCTTTAGTCCATCGTAGGATGAGACAAAGTATAGAAATGGGAGAGGGGACGTGTGACGCACCTTTTACTGCATTGCCAAGAAAAGTTATCGCGGAGTATAGTGTGCGCATTATTGTTAATAAAGCTCCTCTGTACCATGCAAAAGAGGGCAGGGTTTCCTCACTCTCATTCGAGGCAGGTGGGTGTTCTTTAAATTGAAAACGTTCCCATGCACCAGACTCTGGGTTCTCAAAATCTAGGAAGTCAGGTGTTCCCCAGGGGCTCCTCAAGCACCCAGATTTTCTCGATAATTTTAACCCCCGAATAAAGTGTCTTCCTCGTTGGAGCACTATTTTCATATATCTGGGACACATATGAATGCATAACCGTCAGCCAGACACTGCTTAGTGTATGTAGTATTGAAAACCTTTGACAACAGTATTGTTTAGGTCCTGCGGTATTATTAAATTTCGAGGGCTCTGTACTAGTTTGTCAGAATTTCCTAACATTATTTTTTTTCTCTTTCTTGTTTTTCAGATGCATCCTCAGCACTTGTGGAGGAGCAGTAGTCCTTAAGGAGCACAGAATGGGTGTTCGACTTTTTAGGCCTTTACCTTAGGATATCCTGGCTCGCCACTAATTTGTAGGGAAAATGCCAGTCTGGAAAGCAATTGTGCACAGTTATGCACGGAAAATGGCGCACAGCTATGGTAGCTTACGTCATCATAAATGGGCTCTGTTTGTGGCTCCAAGTCTCATGTACTGGTGCCACACCAGTTCCTTGTTCATGCTGAGAATGGGTTTGTCCCCATTGGCTGTAGCCTACACACTGATTTTCGCAAGTTCAGTCTACCTGCTCCAAAAAAATTCTTAAAAGCTGCCAATCATCTGCATGTACATCCTGCTTCTATATGAAAAGTTTATTAAAAGACCTTTTACCACATTTAAGGGGAGGAATGTGAGAGGCAGGATGGAAATGTTCAAAGTTAGCACTAATACTTTTCTTCTCATGCTGCTGACACAAACTTCGAACCAGTCGTGAACAACACAAGTTTTCTGGCAGTAAGCTGAGGGCACAATAAATGAAAACTGCACTCTTGGAAAAAAGAAAAGAAAATTGGGTTGTGTGTATGTTTATACAGCCTAGAACTTGGTTTGCCTCAACGGGCGACGAGTCTCCCAGCTCTGGATGAGAAATTTAGCCAGTGCAGTACAACCGCTAGCCTGGGGTCTAACGTGCACCACGCAGTAGTGATACACGACCGCACGCCGGTACGACGCTCATCCAGATTGAAACGGGCAGGGCTGGGGATTGAACCCAGGATCCCTGGGTTCTGCAGCGCGAGCTTTCGCTCCACGTGCTCCGAGCTGGTGTGCGCTAGCCCACTCGGCCACCGATCTGCCGCTGCACTTTTGATTGACCCCAGTTGTTGCATTCTACTCCCGCTACTCTTCTTCGAGTCTCCTTTCGGAGCAGGAAAGAGGGGGCATGCAAACCTTTGTGATATTATTTTTCCATGTTGAAGAAGGTGTGCGTGCTTTGAACTTGCAGCTTTTTAGAATTCTTGGGGCATGTAGATGGAGTTAGTACCCTAGAAAGACAAGGTGAAAAACATCTTTAGCGCACCTTTAAATTATTGAAAACCGAAAAATATCTATTGTACATACTTTTGGCACAAATTTTAAGTACAAATGAAGCACAGGCGTTTTTTTATGAAACAGAAAAAGCTAGGAGATGGTAATCCTGGAGTGTGGAGAAGGAGAGGAGAATCGCAAATGCAGAGCTCTGGCACCTCTTTTACGAAATATCTTGCTTGCTTAATTTTCACATTCCTTTTTCTTTCTTTAAGAATCGAGGTTGGGTGTTGTTACAAGCCACACTTCATTCAGGTCAGGTCTCAGGCAGTTCTGTACGTTGTTAAAGTTTCATGGGTGGGGGCATTTTAATTGGATTATTTAATTAAGGTGAAAAGGAAATAATTCTCGAAATGGGGAAGGGTTGGAATTTGGACTAGTTAATAAAAGTTGTTTTTTTACTTACGATGTATGCATATTTCTGTGATATGAATGTCCGTAAAAAATATGCAATTTTCATAGAAAAGTGTCTTAGGTTGACAGCAGTGCCAGTTGCGATTGAAACAAATTGGCGACGCACGCTGGCAACAAACGCTGCCGTTATCATGACTGTGATGCAGCTCACTGTTTCTGCACTTGCACAAGGCTCCACTGGTTTACATTTGGCCTTACGACGTTCATACCAACACTTGAGGCTAGCGTAGCTTCTGCAGTGCTTCAACTCTGGCAAGTTGCTCGAATGCATACGAATGAGACTCGAGAGCAGGCCACATGCTCTCGCAGCAGTGCGGGGCTGCAGTACTGTGGAAGCTATGCTCGCCTTGACAATGTAGCACAAAATAGTTGACGCTGTGTATAGGACTTATTTACATGTTTCCTGAAGGCTCTTCCGGCCTTTCTCTTCTTTAGGTGTGCACCCACTGTATGCTGCCATTTTCCAGCGAAGCCGGTGGCAAGGAAGAAATTTTAAAATGCTAAATCTCATTACGCTCTAGCTTTTCACTTTCTTTACGTTGCTCCATAGCACACTTGCGAATTTTCGCAAGTGTGCTATGGCGCAACGTTGACTGCAGCATGCCGAGGCTCTTTCTGCAGAATACGAGGAGATGTACGCTTTGTGAGAAAATGATTCACTGTTGAAATACTCGTGCACTTGATTCTGTGATTCTAAAAATGTGCCCGTTAAGGCCTTTCAGAAGCTGCTTCTGCAAGGCCTCAACGGGCACATTTCTAGAATCACAGTGGCGAAGGAATCATATAAAGGCACATATGTGCAACTTTACCCTCGTACCTCATACTAAACAAACGGCAGTGACGACAGGGATACAGCTTAATAATGCAACAAATATGCATATAATATTTCATGTCTATGTGCAGCACGAACCTTACGATGGACCGCAAGGACGCTATGAGCCAGCTTCGAACTATGGATTGGCTCGTGAAGCTCATAAAACGGAATTTATCTGATTATGCCGAGGGGCAAAAGAGCTATTGTTTCTGTGTGCGTCGGTGTGTATTGTTTTTTCTTGCTTCTAAGCAATATTTCTCAAGGAAGGAGAGCGAGCACGAACATCGAAAGGAAAACAATAAAAGTAGTGGACGGCTGTCGGTACCCTTACTCCGCGGAGGTGAAATCAAGAGGTGCCAAGAAGCGAAGCCGCGAAGAGTGCGACACTGTGGCACCGGGACACCAGTCACCCAAAGCCCTGGACGCTGCTTAAAGGAAACAAAATTTGTGTACGCGTTTTCTAGAAACATGAAGTCGCCCATTGTCTTTTTAATGTCCTCTTGCTTTAATCGCCTTTCGTCCGGCCTTCGCTGCCCTTAAAGGGGTACGGAAACAGAAATTGAAATATTAAACTTTTGTTCGGAAATGAGTCAAGCATGACGGATAATAACCGTAAATGATAATCTCACGTTTGTATTTTGAACGACTGGCTATATTTTTCGTTCCCAACGGTGCACTCCAGCAAGCGTTCAAAGCGATGCGTCATGGGATATCCGGTGCAAACAAAAACAGAAAAAAAAAAAAAAAAGATTCCCCGCATTCGTGACCTATCAAGGCAGGCGTGGTTATGAGCTTTGCCCTTGGTGGCGTTGTCAGCGTTGTGGTGGTGTCGATAGCGTCAGCGCGTTACAAGCGAGCCGTTCGAAGTACCCGTGTGGTGACGAGCGCATGACTTGCCCAAGGAGCACGTAGCTTCCACGACACTGTCAGCTTAGGGCTGAACGGGGTGGGGAAAGCAACCTTTGTTTGAGTTTTGAGCAACGGACTAATCTTCTAGGGAGAGAATGGCTGTGTCCGATTGCACGAATGAGGATCCGCGAAAGGGGAGTCCTTCCTTTCCGCCTTCTTGGACCGTTTGGTACAATGCGTGATTTGTGAGTTGAGCTAGGAGGAAAGCTAAGAAGAAGAATGTTGAAATGCCAAAGAGCGGCGCTGCTCCGAAGGAATCTACGTCACGACTACGTAGCAAGTTCCCCAACGTTGCTAGACTACCTCCGAATTAGGCTCCACATGCATCCACCAGGTGCGCATTGAAAGATTGTTTATTTAGCTTTAAAATTAGTTTTCTTGTGCCTTTCAACGGAAGACTGGTGTTTTTGAGGTTAGGGTGCAACATGCAACACATTCAAGCTAGAAAATCAGCGCTGGAATGTCGTTTCCCTAACGGTTTAAAGGACACATGCAAAGGAAAAAAAAACATTTTTTTTTAAACAGCTTAGATGGAAAAAGGATGTCATAAAACAATATTACAACGAAGAAAAAAAATTTAGAGCTATATTTACGGCGCTATACGAATTTGTAGCTGGCGCCCGCCGCCGCCGTGGAAAACTGGCCGTTATTTATCACGTGACTGGCCCTTATTTATCACGTGGTGCTTGCGTTCTTTCAGAAGCTTCGTATCGCGTCTAAAAGTAACTTATTAATCTTTGTTTGAAGTATAACTAAAAACTAAGATTAATAGGTAACTTTTAGAGCCCAAAGGAAACTCTTGAAAAAGCGCAAGCAGACATGATAGACCTGTGCGCCGGTCAGACGACGGTGGCGGCGCCCCGACGCAGACGAACTTGTGCGGCGCGGCGACGGCGGCGTGGAGAAACGCGTTGAAGCGGCGTTCGCACAACGCTCACCGTGCGGCGGCAGCGTGACTAGCGGCGGCGGCGCGCGGGCCTACCACGTGACCAGCGGCGGCTCCCGCGGGCGCCAACTCCAATATAGCTCTAATTTTTTTTTTTTTTTTTTTTCGTTGTAAAATTGTTTTATGACATCCTTTTTCGATTCCAAGCTGTTTAAAAAAAGTTTTTTTTTTTTGTTTTTTTTCTTTTGCATGTGTCTTTTAAATGCGAATGAAATGAAATGTAAAACCTTTCTTCCTTTCAACTCGGTCGTTCGGGCGTGCAGTGTGTGTGGTTTGCCGCTTCTATCTGGAGGAGCATCGTACCGCAGCGCGCGGTCGTGTATCAGAACTGCATGATGTCCCGCTCAAGACTCCAGGCTATTAATCATACTGCACTAGATAAATTTCTCATATACGGTGGGTAACGATGTTTTAGAATGGCAATCTGGGCTAGTTGGTTCATGATAACTTTCAGGGCGCCGAAAATACACAAGGACAAGATACAAGAAAGGAGACGTGAACAAGGCGCTTAGCGTTTATGAAAAAAACCACTCAAACAACACAGTCATACTACGTCCGCTGTAGCCCCCTTCGTAGGGTTGCCATACGATGTTGCCATACTCTGGCCAAGCCTAACTCCTGCTACCTAAACAACTAAAGACTGATTTGTTTTTGTGGGTAGTTTGCGTGCTGGCTGATTGGCTTCACATGTGAGTACTGTGCTTTGGTACTGTTTCCAATATAAACAGGTTTTTGTGTTGAAAAATTGAACATCACAAAGCCAAACTTAAAAATATGTTGGTGCATTATGGAAAGACGAAGCCAAAGGAATAAGTTTGTTCCTTGCTTGGAGCAAGTAAGGCTTTTTTGTATTTTGCCCAATTAACTAATTAATTAAGATTAGATAATGAACTTTTGAAATATTCAATTGAGAGCAAAAGTTAAGATGACAAAGTCGTAGAGCGTCCTCCGAAACATCAAATTCAGTGGTGTTTATGAAGGAACCTTGTTATGGTTCTTTCTGGGGGGCTTCAAAAATAAATAAAAAGCCCACAAACTGCGAAAACAAACACGTGACTTCGCGCTTATGCACCTAAAAAATCCCCCCCGAAAAACTTTTTTTACGACAGCTTGGTCGGCACACGCGTGTGTAAAAATTAGTTTTATGCGAAAAAAAAAATAATTTTTCGAGCAGTATTGACGCCGCGAGACTTGTTTTCTATCGGCATTTCGGGCGCTTGGAGGAGAGGCGGGCCCTAATCTGGAAGTTATGAATCCGAAGTAGCCTGGTTTCGTAGCAGACGACTCTTGGCCAGCAGACGACAGCCGGTTCCTCCGGCTCTTCCGAACCTCGCATTCGGCGCAGTGATCGGAAAAAGTCGGCGAGAAATTCGGCGGCTCTGATTGGCCGGCGCGGAGTCGGGCGCGTGCCCTCTCGTTTTACCCAGTCGAACCTGCTGAACTTCCCGTATGTGTGGAGAGGGCGCTGCGGTCGAACAAAATGACGCCGCCATGTTTGGTTCAGCAGTCCAACTGTTCCCCGGCTCCCCACACTTTCCCCGCCCCCATTTCGAAACAGTAACAGTGTAAACAAATTACTTGGGGTTTTTTTTCTTTTTTTTTTTTTTTTCAGGGTACGTTAAAGGGACACTGACACCCCCCCAAAAAAAAATTTTATTTTTTGCCAGGCGCTTCATTATGGTGTCGGAGGACTACCCAATTAATATTTTGCAACAGAGTAGCGTATTTTTTTAATAAAGCCAAAAGACGCAACTCCTCGAAACCGAAACCGAAACCCGACGGAGGTCGGAGAAGTGGAGAGAAGAGAGTGAGTGGCGGAAGTCACGTGGCTACACCCTACCGTGCGTTTTTTTTGTTTTTTTTTTTTTTTCTCCTCTTCGGTAGCAGACGACAGGACATGCGGCGTGCGATGGGGCGTGCGGGAACTGCTCGCCGTGCGATTTTTTTGCAGTTATGTTTGTTCCGCTCGTTGTTCTGTACTCCAAAATGAGTTGTTTTGTACATTGAGGAGTTGGACATGAGTAGTAAGTGCCCGTGGTGAATTTCCATGATCGGCTCCGAAAAGAATACACCCAAGATGTTGCGTGAAGAGCTGGCTCACATTTCCTGAATCCAAAAAAAAGTGGCATTGTGCGACAGAGTTTCCGAAAGATCAACGGGATCGGGACCAACGGCTGGCTGCAATTCCTGTAGAACATATACGGGCACCTCGGAAAGCGGACGTTACCTGATTTATATGCTCCTTGCATTTTGTGGAAAGTGATTACATTGAGCTCGCAGGTGTCAAAACGGAAATCCCATACCATTTAAATCAGCGAAGTATCG